CCCAAAGCACCAATTTCCTGACGTGCGAATTAAAAACGATCCAACTTCCTTTCAAAGGTAAAAGTGGTTTTGCTTCCGAGAAATGAAAGGCTTTGGAGGGTGTCAAGCATGTTATTTCGTATTTACGACGCACATATTAAAGGCAACATGGTGTTTTACCGCATGGCGGGTTCGTGACATCAAACAGAAGGGAACACAACAACTTTTTGTCAAGTTTGCCATGTGCGTTCAACGCATGAAATCACCAGCCGTTCGCTCTGCAGGACATTACAAAAATAATATGATCTCCCCAAAATCGAAACTTAATCTAATATGCTGCAAGTGCGAGACAATTTTGGCGTAAATTCAAACAAGAGGAAGTGCTTTTCACAGAGAAATACCATCACGACAGCCATTATCAAGCAATAACGATTTATTCAAAAGATTGTAGAGACGCTGCAATGTCTGGCTTCGCAAGCACTTCCGGCTTTTCTAGACTGTTTCTTATGAAAAGGCATTAGAACTGAGTGTTCGCGCACCTAACTTTGCGTCCACTTGTGACGTGGATGGCGATATAACGGCGAGAGAATTAATAACATCACGGTCATTTTGATGGGTCTTGAATTGAAAACGTCACTTATGGTTTCCTCAAGTTGTTAGAGGTTTATATAAAAAAAAGGTTATTGAAAGTGTACGCAGGCTTTCATTGCCAATGTATTGGAACAAACAAAGACAAATATCATGATAACCTCCTGCTTGAAGTTGTAAGTTCGTAAAGCAAAAACCAAAGTTAAGATGACGACGGTACTGTTCTATCTCTATACTGTGACGTCAATGTATTTTGATCTATTCTCATGACAAAAGACGATGAATAAATAAAATCACTGCATTAAAAAGAGGCATGTTTACGAGATGATAAGAACGCGTGTCTTTCACCTCACAAACAACGGTCGATGACGTTTGTGTTTTGGGCGGCTTGTTTTTCCCGATAACTGGCCAAAATAATCAGCGTTCCGTATAAATTGACATCTTCCTGATGCGTCTTTTGCACCGCGACCGGTGATTTATTCTACTAAAAACGGAAGGAAAGGAGGCAACTCTATGGGAAAAATCGTGCACATCACAAAGGGCAGTGACATTCGCCCTGCTGCAAGGATATCCTCAGGGTAAACTCTTCTCGAGCCGGTTTCAAATGGTAATTTGTTTAACAGCTATCCTCGTCAAGCGCGACAGTTTTAATGAGTGACCTTACATTTTCTAATAACACTTATCGCCGTGAGGCTGCATTGGATGTCACTGCTACACAGGCACCTGCGCGGCAGAGCAACCCGTGACGTCATTCGCACCACGTGACCAAAAACAAAATCTGCTTTAGGGAAATTAAACTAAGCCGGAAGGTAGCTGCTTGTTAGATTTTGTCGACTGAATTCCTAGCAGTCACGATCGTGCCCGATTCTATTTTGATCATAATCAGAAGGAACAAAAAAATTCGCAAGACAAAAAAAAGCGGTCAGTTCATGAGGTTATCGCATATCATGTGCTATTTTTGATGGCAGGAAAACCATGCACGTGCCGTTTCTGACAAGTGCATATTAAAAACAACAAAAGCAAGCGCAGGTTTAACCTTTTTGGATATATCGCAAAGGACATGGCGGTCATTTTTCTAAGTACATGTAGCATCTCTTCAAGATAACATCCACTTTCAGGGTACGAAGGACAGCACAATGACGAAGAGTATAGGCATGCATTTCTCCATTCGTCTATATATTTGGGTGCATACCTATGTTCCCCAATACCTATATGTTCCCCAACCCTAACCCTAACCCTAAGGATTTTGGGGAACATAGGTATTGGGGAACATAGGTTAGGTATTGTAATGGGGAACATCGGGATATCTTTTATTTGATGTATTTCTCTAAAGGAGTATGAAATAAATGTTTATTGCATTGAATTGAATTGAATAACACCCAGTAGGCCTATATTTCCTTATTGCTTGACGGTCAGTGATTTCCTTATGACAGTCAATACATGTAATACGAAGCTCAAACGGAGGTTCTTGCTAAAAGACACAGGCTGGTACCCCTGCGGTTGATTTTAGACGATCTGAGGAGCCATACCTCAGGAAGCTAGACAATCAGAAGATGTATAATTACTGTCGTCAAACACCAACCAGTATATATTTTCCGCTCCTAAATAGCCTACACAAGTGTATACACAGTTGTCCTCTACCGAAACGATAAAATCGATTTCCCCTCCAACAGAAACGATACAAGCGATGCGGTGTACATTACTAAAGATGCTTATGGTTTCCCTCTTTCTTTTACTGTACGATCGAATACCTATGTGTTTTCCCCTTTGCTTCCCGCAGCGCATGAAACCTGGTTAGACTCTTTCGTCCAAATCTTGAAACCAAATGCGAGACCCGTGACGTCGATTGACCGTATACCCTTGTGTTGCTATTATCGGATTGATGTCGCATTTCCGGTGGAATGTTTCTTACGGAATGGATATAATCACGGAAGTCGGGGATTAATAGATGAAACATAAATGGCAAATTGTATTCGTAATTTTCGAGGAACGAAAAACAATAATAAGTGACAAGAAATTATGAGGTTTTGGTGGTGAAAATTTAAAATCAAAATGCATGCATGACTTATAAATTAACGGCAATCATGGCAAAGCCCGAAATGAGATGAATGGGCCGACTAAACTGGCGTATTAAATCTCCATCTTAATGACAAAAAAAGTGTTCTCAATGATCTTCAAGTCAACATTCTTAATTTATTTTTTGTCTCAAACTCAACTAGGAGGAACTCTGAGAGGATTTCAGCCCCAGAGCCTTCTTTTTGATTCATCGGTGATAATACAATAATACCAACCAAAGAATAATTCATATCTGTGGACATTTATCATTAAACCATTCGGCATCGAAATGGCCGGGCTCAAAACAATGTTGACAACATCAGCGGCGTTGCAAACCATGTTGCAACAATGAACAGTTTTCATCGCCAACATTCCAGAGCCGTAAAAGTCAATTAACATACCTCGCGACATCTAACCACATCAGTGAAACCTCTGTTGTTTCAAGTGGCGAGGACGAACGTTCAATCCGAACCGTCTTACCAAGACAAAAAGATCCACGGCGATCGCTTACCTCTATACACGCCAGTCATCACATCATGTTCACGGTCCCTCACGGCGTTGACATAGTCGGCAAAGCCACCTATTAGAACTCGTTATATGCCAACGAAGGCAGCAGTGAACATTTTCACGAGGCACTGTCGACGAAAAGCCCTATAGCTCACCAAGCTCTTAACGCCAGTTGTATACTAATCAAAGCTTATAGCACTTACGATCGAAACCCATACAGTCCAGCACTCCACTGTAAAAAAAATACTGCTTGGGTATGTAACAAGCGCAAAGACGCGGAAATAAACTGCAAACAGCAGTTTTTAACATTGTGCAGAGAAGCGGTTTTATAACTGGTTATGTCTTTATATAAAAATCGGGCACGACTCGCACGTGATATGCCAGGGCACGTAATAATTGCCGCAACCCCACATGAGGCAGGATGTGCATTGCACGCTGCGCGATGTACACGTCTTTGTGACAGGCGCATTTCGTCCTCATGTAATTCTACCTATGAGCGCTGTTTTACCCATACACCGAACGGCGCATTAGTTATAAAAACATCATTCCCTTTATGCGCCGTTCCGTGCATTTAACGGCGCAGCGTTTTATGAAGAAAGGACATGACGATTTCCAATGCCACAACTATAGATTACTGCGAAAAACCCTCGCAAATGCTTCAAGAGCGTTTTTATCAATAAGGCGTGCACGAACTCATGATATTTTTAAATTGAATGATATTATGTTAATATCCCACAGGTTAATGAAACTAAAAGGTAAATGGTCATTACAGGAATAAACACGCGAGTATAATCAAACATTACAGTAAAGTTGAAAAGGACGATAGCATATTTGAAGACCTAATGCGATCGGCAACAAACAATATCGTGTATATAGATAGCTCAAACAAAGAGTTCGAAAACGAAAACGGTTAAAATAACAGGCAAAAGGTCAACAAAGGATAAAACGGAGGTTTTAATTTGAAATACAACGTAAGACGTCATCTCAGGGTTGAACAAAAATACTTCAAGAAAAAAAATCAATATGGCAAAGACGGAAATGGTTATCGGTATAATCAATCCGTAAAAATGTTTCATTATCACTTTGACATTTAGTTTGTTATCTCTAAAAATGAAAGTGAAACAAATATATTGTCTTGTTATCTAAAAATATTAACATATAAATAAAAACTTCATATAATGTTTAGTCATAAAATATAAGGAAACTCGCCCATATTTATATTTGGCGGTGCATTATTGCGCAAGGCGGAAAATGAGGGAACAATTATTTTCCCCGCCTACGGTGAGGACAATGCCGCGAATATTGATAAAAACGAAGAAAAAAAATAGGAAATAGGTCAACAAAACAGACAAACAAAGAGAGGTTAAATCAGCTTACACATCTGGCACGTTATCCTGAAAAACAAACGGATGCCTTCAGGAACATGGTTTACATTGTTTGTGTTTTTAAAAGGTAAATCTGTAATGAATCCAACAGTTTCAACATCAATCTCCATGATTATATTAATAAATCCAAGCATGGGAATTACATCCGAGCTGCAAAACAAAAATGTTCGTTTCGATCCGTCCAAAGCTCGTAAATCGCGAGTGTTAGAAAAAAAACAACCTCGGACGTTTTCGCGGAAGCAGTACATGCAAAATACATCGGCAACATTCACGATGCGTCACCGTCCGAAAAAAAATATATTATGGAATTTGCCACCACGCACCGATTAAGAACCTATTTGGGAGAGGGAGTGTTTTAGTATCTCCACGCGCTACATGCTGTGCATATAGCCTACAAGTCCGCCCGATGCCCCTTAGGATCTACTGGAGATTCAATCACACGCGCTATACATTTTAGAAGATCGATGTCGAACGCCATTGACTTACCCTTCGCATGTTATAGAAGGCCATCATGCGTTACCGTAATTCAGAAGATAAAGCTCGCGCCTAGCGGGACCGATCATATCATCTTCGCCAACACGGTCTAGATTGGTCACCTCGGCACGTCTTCACAAACACACGCGCATTCCGAGTTTGGTTCCTGGCTTCAAGTCTCATGAAGCAATTGCCGTGGTTTTTTCTTTTACCCGTCCGAGGCAACACGAGCCGGCCAGGCCAAACGCCTCTTCTAAGCTCCCGATGACGTCATTCCATCGACCGGTCGCGCTCGCTCCGTAAACATCACTCTGCTTTGTTACCTAAACCAGTCGATATCAAATGTTGCAATTTTCCGAAATCGTCTCCGAGACATACCGCCAGAAATGCATGTTATTCTCCCAGTGATAATATCCTCATGTTCTCGCACCGTTATCGCGATTCGTTTTGAGTGACACCCTACACTGACTGCCGTTTGTGTTAATGCGGTAAATAATCACTTGGCGCATCTCGACGCCAAAAAGGCGGAAGCGGATGCATTTCGGCTCGATTTATACCGAGTATAATTATCATTAATGTGAACACCGAACTGTAATCTAATTGAAACGCGTAAGTGTCTTACATCATTTAATGGAAGCCAAGATTATACAGCACGTGGGTATGATTATGCAGTACACCGCAGACAATGATCTAATGCACGAACAAAACAATTACTATCACCCATCAGAAAATGTATGACTGCGTACTAATGTAACATTTTTTAAAAAATAAATATCTTACCAATCAGCGACACACTGTACACTCTTGTATACGCCGACGTTGCGTCTCAACCAAAGTAATCATTTTCATTTTAACCATTGTATAAGGCACGCCAAAATGGTATCCAATTGTGATAAAAATAGACCAGTTTCTGCTCTTCAAGGCAGCATCGGATGAATTTAGCGTTGTCTCTCCCACCAGTCAAAAAATAAAAGCAAAGGCAAGTGATATAGAAACGATGTACCACTGGAACAAAGGCCAAAAACGTGCAACGGAAACGAGTAGCTCGCAGCGAAGCGTGTCGGATACGCCCGTAAGTAGACTCAAAACAATCCGGTTTTTTTTGTCAGGCACTCCAGTGCATCCTCCCAAATCGTCGATGTTATAAAATGTAACCGGCAAAAAAAAAGTAAACACGGACTATTTACCATATGTTCGATATTTCGTATGGCATCAGATCCACTTGGTAATTCGAGTGTTCCACTGAAATGAAATTTGAGCAACATAAAGCGGGTACTGTAACAGTACTCCGTACTTAGGTCCATAGCCACACCCGATGCGACACCCGAAGTATTACACACATTGTCTCGTCCAATTTTTATACTTGCAGACAGCACGCCCGGTCACACTGCTTGGATCCTCCATTCGGCGTACCAGGAAATATAATACAAAGTAATTAATATCGTTAATTTCCTCGTGGGTAGATGGTGAAATCGTCACCGTACCCGGACATAAATTATTGATAACGTTCAATAATACAGCATTTGGAATAACTGTCACTCTTATATTAAAAACATATTGATCCAATTGCGGCGCCACATTGGGAATGTTTCGATGGGTTGTGAAACAGAATTAGATTTTATGTGACAAAATCCATAAACTTGCATATAGGCCCAGTTAACTCTTTACTCTTGACGACGTATTTACTATAATTTTGTGTTTAGATTTAAAGGGTACGAGAGGTAAGTTTTTCTTAGGAACACAATTTGTGCAACTTTCTACTCCTATTAAATATATGGAAACTATTGACATCCCTGTTTGCTTAACGTATTTGGAAAATTGCACTTTTTTAAACATTAATGTTAAAAGTGTCCATGTTTTTTCCGGACACTTGAGGGCTCTGTTGCTGTGATGTCATTTGAGGAGGACACTGACAGTGTTCAGTTTTAGGGGTTTCTGATCACATTGTGAACCCCCAAAAATGCTCATTGAAGATATCTTTGAGAAAAGTTTTCTCATTGGCTTACTGCCATGTACTGACACAACAATGAATCACAAAAGAACGAATTTCTTGACAGCAAAATATTTCCAATTCTGGTAACTTTTAGTGCTGATATAGCTGTAACATGGAGGTTTCTGCCTGAAATGAAATCACACTTTTGCTCATGAATACAGAATTTCCCATTAGCATAAGAAACAAAAATGCACCAAAATACCCTTGAAAATGACAAAACGAAAATTGAAAAAAAAACACTTAAATATGGCACAACGGTGCATTTTCAAGGGCTGAAGAAAATAACATTACATGGACCCCTTTAATTTGAGAAAACAAAAACGTACATATGAGGAAAAGAGTAAATGGCTATAAAGCTGCACGTTCAATGCAAACATAAGGAACAGCCATGAACGATTAAGCAACGCATGAACTAAGCCGCATATTTCAACGGCCTTTGTTCCTGTCGCTCGCCTGACATTTTTGTTTATATTCTTGCATCCAATATTAATACAAATTGTGTCAATTAACCTTTAAATGATGTTGATGCCATCAGATACATCAAGCCCTATAACGTCTGTGAGCCTATCTCATATCAATATGCAGCCCCAAACAAAATGAAACACTAACAAAAATTATAATTAGAATACCGTCTGTTTTATGTGTGATAGTGAAACATAATAGGAACAGGACAGAAAAAAAGACAATACCGCTTAAAGGGCCAGAAATGTGAACATTAAAAAAAAATCGTTGATTTGCAAATGTGAGTCTTTTGTAAATGTGTGTTGTTTGTTAGTCTTTCCATTGAAGTTATAGAGTGAAGGCCATTGGATTGTATGCTAATTATTGTGGCCATGCATATTCAACAGGGCACAATCTTTGAAGCTGTTGCAATCGCTTCGGTCTCAAATGTTGCTGGGATATGTGGGTTTTTGCTGTGGTTATATCTCTCTTGTCTATCTGGTTTTTTTCTATCAATATACCTAAAAGGGTGTCCCAATCATTGTTTTTGTTTGAAAGGCGACTAACAAGAGCCCATTCCAGGATCTCAAGGGATTTTTTTTTTTATAGAGAGCTAAATCCCGAGATTTCGGCCCCAAAATAAAAAAAAATGGGTGCGGCGAACCACGCACGCGTACTTCGGACATAATTCATCATTATTACCCACACTGTCATTGGCAACTGCCGATTATAAAACTCGTCACACGCACCACTGCGCAGTTCGTGCATCGTTTAATTATACTACCTCAGCCCAGTTTTGGTGGACACATCTACATGTTTCTATGGCAACTGTCGGAAAAAATCGACATCTGTGTCTATTTGTGCCGTTGCGGCAATTGACAATATACAAAGCCTGACGGACGCGAACACCAGTGAGAAGTTGCCTATTGGGAAATTACTAACGAAGGGTACATTCTTGCTTAGATTTATGAGAGGATAATAAAACAAACTAGATGTTTATGTTTATTATTTTGATAACAGGACAAAGGGCTTTTTCGATTATGATTTTTTAAAATTAGTTTATGCCTTTTTGGCGATGTGGAGTCATGTAAATTATATTTTGTGTACAAAGTGCATTCAATATAAAATAAAAAAGTTTTGACATGTATTACAAATCAGTGGATGACGTCATCTTGGCGCCATGTCGAACTTTGTATATGATTATCTAACTTTCCATCAAGTTTCAAGACGATCGGACCTTCCCTTATATGTGTTTTGAAAAATGGTGTTTTTTATGACGTCATGATGACGTAACACATTTCCACATTTTTGTGCAAATATCTATGACCTCACAAACCTATTACTACACGAATTTGAATTTTATCATAATGTAGTGTGTTCGTGAGATATGACGATAATCGTCAAAATTTCAGAAATCAATTTCAGAAATCTGTATGAAATCACGTGATGACATCAATACGAGTCACCTCGATTTCCAATGATTTTAAAAAAGACAAAACACCGTTAAATTCCAGAATGTCGTTTCTGGCTATGGCTTTACTTTCGAAGCCATAACCATTTTTTAACTGAGATTCTAGGCCAATAACCATGACTTTCGTAAAGCATCTAACACCACGAAAAACAAGTAAACACTTAAATCACTGAAAATGTAGGACTTTCGTTTTGAGTTAAAACAAGATTTTCTAATGAACCCCTATTGAGAAACTCATAGTTTGTAATTCAACGCGCTGAACCCAGATGCAGAAGGTATATTAGCTTGAACTAAGCTGAAAGAAAATGCTGGCGAAATCGTTTCCGATATTGTTAGCGTTGCTGCAGATTCCATCCTGTTCATGACTTCTTAACAATGGTAGGTCTTTTTGAAAGCACAATAATAGCTGCGACAAGGTGATTCAACCGTGATGACCTACGCTTATTCCCACGCATAAAAATTCACTTTCTGTCGGTGAAACCATTGAGGAATGAAGCAGAGGTGAAAAAAACAACGTTGCGTCACCACACGTTTAAAATAAACCCCGATAGTCAGAGGACTGGGCATTAAGTCTAATGTCTATTCAACCTTGAACTCAAAACGCCCTCATGTTTTGTAATGACTCCCATCTGCCAGGCAACGAAACACATCTCCCCGGGAAAACAGATTAGCGTGGATGAATACGTGGAAAAACACTTGGAACGGGAAGAGAGGAAAAAAGCGTGGCAGCGCCACTTACTTGATAAAAAAAAGACTTATTGGGAAAAACAAGACTTAATGCCAACCTAAGAGCGACATGTAATGCCCAGGAAGCGGTTTTTTTCAGGAGCTAACTTCCAGCATCCATGCTTCTAGCGTTGTGACTTAATAATGACTTCACCTGCACCAACGGAAAACTAAAGCGGTAAACAGGAAAGAACTGACACTGAGATTTCGTTCTGAAGTTGAAAATTATCACGAGGACTTAATTAATTTGCTACCATTCGATACAAACAAGACGATCCCGCACGCTATAGCTGTTACCCCCACCAAGTTCCATTATCTGCAACGTCGCATCACGAATTGATAACAACTTTCTTTTTTTAATTTCACGATCGAACGAGTCATGCAAAACAAGCCAAGCCCGAAACAACCTTTCGAGCTACTATAATCGATACTTGATCTCGACAACACTCGAGCGATTGGAATCGAAGTTCCGATTTTTCTCTCCCGATCGTGTTCACACATTGCAAAGGCCATTCGCAGAGGGAGTACGTCGAGTAATCCGAACGGCCCTCTCCTTCCCATTAAAACATTATACCTTTACAGTAAAACTTGTATAAAAACAATCTAAAAGCAGGGCCCAATTCCATGGAGCTGCTTAGCAGAAAATCTTGCTTACATTCGCTAAAAAAATATGACCTGGAATCCAGGTCCTGTAGTGCCTGACACTTTCTGGGTCAAAATGACATTTTTTTGACCCTTTGACTCCTTTTCTGGGTCATTTTGACCCGGAGAAGTGTCAAAAGAGTCAGGCCCCATAAATGACCCGGATTCTGGGTCAAATCTGATCTGGACCTAGCAAATTTATGTGCAAAGCAAAAATCCGCAGAGAACCAGCCACGATTAATATACATGTACATGCATGACAATTTCGCTGGTAACCCATTTCTAATCAGCAAGTGTTTTCTGTGCTTAGCTGAGCTCTGTGGATCGAATCGTCTCCAGTCTGCAAATGGTCGGCTATACCTTTGTGGACCCTTTACGGGGATAGGATGAAAGCGAGGCGAAACTGTCAACCCAAAAAGTCCCACATAAGATTTGACGAGAAATCTAGGTTCTATTGGGCCTGACACTTTTCCGGGTCAATATGACACTTTCCGGGTCAATATGACACTTTCCGGGTCAAAATTACACTTTTCGGGTCAATATGATACTCTTCGGGTCAGAATGACTTTTACTGGGTCAAAATGACACTTTTCAAAATGACCCGGTAAAGAAGTGTAATTGTGTAATACTTTTTTTAAAAAGTGTCAGGCCCCGCAGGACCCAGATTCCGGGTCAACATTCTGACCCGTGAGTTTTTAGAATGTTCGGTTACATGAATGGACACTCATGTAATATAGCTTTGCAGACCTAAATAGTAAAGACACGAAAGAGCCTTGGCTCTTCAGATACAGCCTCGATATGATTTTTCAAATATGGCGACTATGTGCACAGATTTTACGGTGCAGCCTTATTATACAAAGCTATGTTGTCAAAATAAAAGTAGCTTTGTGACGCTGCAATCTCGAATGAAAACCTGAATCGAACAGCACACGGCGTATCGGTTGACTCCAAACGACAACATCATTTTTAGGAGTGGCAAGATGAATGGTTTGGCTCTGTGCATAGACAATAGAGGCTGGTGCTTTTGCGCATGCTTGCACATTTCAGAGTTCATGTTCGGTGTCAGTGCCCTAGGGAGGGACGAGAATCCACGAATTGGCACATCGGTTTGTGATCACTCATACAATTCCTCGTCTCGTTCCCAGACAAAGGCAGAGTCCATTAAAGAGGTTTTAATAATACGTTCAAGCTTGTGGGCGTGACTTTCAAAGCGAAGAAAAAATTAACAACAGAGAGATCTTTCAAATAAAATCAAGTGACGCGGAGCCATTTAACAAAGCCACAGGACCACGCTGCACGAAGATCACGTCTCACTTGGGTAACACAAATTGCAAGTTATGGTCGCGTGACGCCGGCTTTAACCTAAAAAACGTGAACCCGGTATTGCATGTTTATCTGTTGAAATATGAGTGGTTTAAAAAACACGAGAATGGAAAAAACGAGAATGACAAAGTTTGGTGCCTGTTTTTCCAGACGGTATTCAATAGGCATGACGTCACAGGTAACGTGATGAGAAATGCTATACCTAATGTCGCGACAAACAAGGTCTAATGTAACTAGATTCCTTGGGTACAGACAGACAGCAGACCGAAAGACGGATAAGAATTGCAAAGTAACTCGATATACAGAAGCATATATCTACCTATGGTAAAACAAAAATAGTGAAATTGTGGAGAAACTACCTACCAAAAGATCGTATAAGCGCGCCATTTCGTGCGATTCGAATATAAACTTTAATTGGGAGCCCGTTTGTTAGGTTCCACGCTGTGATCTACATTCGATAGCAGAACAACCGTAGAATTATAGTATGCCATTATTAATTTCGGGTGAAGAATTAATTTGGCCTCTCGCCAAAATTTGCTGGCAGCTTTGCTATTGTGTCGAGTTCGTCAATCATCCGAAACCATTTTCGCAACGATATTTATTAAAGGCACACGCGTCTGTTCTGCTCAGAAACGCTTTGGACAACACAAACGTTATGGCTATTAGTCACAAAAGGACTATTAAAGCAAGGAAAGCTGTATGATAGGATCCATTTGTAGGATCGATCTTAGCCGCAACGCAGATGTCACGACAATTTACTGAAAAGATAATCTTCCCTAAAGATACTTATAAAAAGGTGAACCTCGACATAATATGACATTTGCAACTGAAAGAGCGCGAAATATCAAGACCAAATCCTCCATTTTTTATGATCGTAGATTGAAGCGTTAGTACTGTTGTTGGTTCGCCGCGGTACGATTTTACATTATACACATCGTGACAAACGGCCGGTCACCGCTAAACCACGGCACGTGGCCGCCGTGTGTTTGTGCAACCGCCACAATCAATCCAGTCTGTCCCCGTTGTCTCCCCCCCCCCCCCCCAATGTACACACGCCGAAACACAGACTGCATTTTTTTAGTTTTCACTTGCCTTTGCGTATTCCTTCCTTTGTAGCACGCTTCGTAGTAGACTCGAAGAATTAAATGCTTTGGTCGCCGCGAAGTCACTAAAAACAGCCGCTAGAACGGCAGTTGCCCAGACCGTAAGATATCTCACAGCCGTCCAAATCTATTTTTAGATTCTGAAGTCGATGCTGGTCATCACATCACAATCCGGGGTATAAAATACACACCACTCGCAGAACGCGTCATGACGTCCATCCGCCGTACCCATTGAGAGATATAGCCAAAAAAAACTAGAGCGATGGTTTACCGCCGAAATTAGTCCCTAGGGTACTGCGCGCCGCCGTGCGGCGCGATCATTGTATAGTGGTTGGTAATCCGCAAACGAACAATGCCGATTTAGGGTTAGTTGTCAAGTGAACCTTGAGGTCTCGTGTCCGTGGGTACAGGAGGGCTGCTGTACCCGGCACCCTCACTTCATACGGCACAGACAACCCGTCTGAACCTAGTTCATACTGGGTGCAAACCTACACAGAAAAAAAACTGCATAACAAAGAAAGTCGTTCTACCACACAACATGTACACAATGACATTACGTTCAGCGCGGCAAAATTAAGTACATGTAATTTGCAGTTGGGAAATCAGATAATTATGATGGTATGTCATACATTTTGACCCTGGAAAGTAGTTATGATAATCATTTCACATCTAGCCCCTAGCGGCGAGATATCAGACTCACTGGTTTATGCGGACGCGAGTTAAGCAATTACACAGATGCGTTCACACATACACACTCAGGCTGGCACTGAATCTATAAAATAAAAAAGGTGAGAGTATTTTGCTGCAACTCTTACAATATGATATCCTGACTATTGAAGAAGACAACACGAATGTTTCACGGTATTCAATCCACTAGGGCATCGCTTCTTGGATTTTCGCTATAGCTGTTGAAACGAAATGGATTTAACGAAAACCAAATGAGATAATGTCCACTCTTGCGTTAAACACATTGAAAGCTGCGCCAACCTTGCTTTTCATTTTTGTCCCTCCCCCCAAAAAAACTAAATTAAAAAAAACCTACAGCATTTTAAAATCGATTTTTACCGACAGTAGGCGTGAGCTGAGCGCTGATTAGATTACATCGCAGGTTAGAGATTTTTTGAGGACAAGCATTTCAAAAACACGTTATTTTTTTGTCAGCCATGGTTCTCAATTCCCATTCAGTATGCCGTATGCCTAGGCCATCACCAAATCCATAAGGCACGGCCGTTACATAGGACCGAATTAAATTTCATTAGTGTAATAAAAAATCCTGTCCCTGGAGATTTTAAAATTCCAAGGACGCAATGGCTAGACGTAATAATGAATAAAAATACTAGTAATAAAAATAATCAAAAAAAAAAAAAAACGACAGACAAGTGACGCGTCTTTGTTCGTCATCTGCACAGTAATACCACTATATCAAACGGAACTGTTAAGCACATAAATTTGCATAGCAAAACAAGAAGGAAAACAAACCCAGGTTACCAATCAGAATGTAATGCAATGAATGCATCCTGTAACTGGTACTCGTTTGGTTTTTCTAACTTAATAAGCATTTATTATTATTTTTTTTGGGGGGGGGGGCTTAACAGCTCCCATGGTATAGCATTTCGTTCGTACTTTCCAACGAAAATGTCATCGATCACTGATCGAACCAAAATCCACGGCCATGTATTAAACCAAAACAAAGCAAGCATGCAATTTAAAATGCCCACAAACACCACTTTCGATATTATTGATGGATATCGATTAATACATTCCATGCCCCGAATCAACCGATCTATGCATGAATTTCGAACGAGGACTCTCAAATGTTTTTCTTTTGCGTCCGCGTTCAGTTAATTTTTCAGTCATCGCTTAACTGATTCCGTCTTGCTTGAAACCCGCATCTTTTTTTCCATAATTGTTTTATTATTTAGCAAGTAAATATGAGTCCAACGGCGATACCAGCAATATGCGATGAAATTACAATTACCACAAGTGTATCCCATTAGTATAGGAGCTCGTTTTGGAGCTGTGGGCGTCAGCCTCACGGGAAAAAAAACGATGTTTACCTGTTCATTTTGCGCAAAAATTGTTGTAAGAACATTTTTGTATAAAGTTGCTTCTTCTCGACCTTTTTTAATTGCAGAAAAAAAAGAAGGATATTATTTAAGGATTGCTTGTGGTAGGTTACAGACCTTGTCCTTGGTAAGGAGACACATTTATTACGGTGCACTGCGTGTGATCGATCAGGCATGACCATAATTGGCTTACTAAAAGAAGCGGCGAATTGCATTCAAAGCACGCAGTCAAGCGGAACCGTGTTTGTTATGTTGAGTGTGACTGATGATACAACATGCACAACACATAACTTTTTTTTGCCCCTGCCTACCTAAAACGATACAGACATAAAAGCTCGCTTCCTTATAAAGACGGGCATCCAACCTGTGATGACATTTAAACATTTGCTACAAACAATGTGTACAGAAAATGTCATTTCACACGCACGTTATTGAAAGCTGATTGCCAAAAAAATGCCTCAGGCTGAACCACAATGAAGAGCATGCACTTACTGTAAAATCATATCTTAGCAATACAAGGAACGCAACACCAAAACAACAGTTTCAATTTTCGAAATCCCATCCAGTTTACGTTGTTGACTGCAATAGACACTTGATGTTGTATATTTTCCTCGGGGTAATCAATATGCATTAGATAACTTCAATCGATAGTATTGATTGGGATTTTTAGGTGGCGTGGCTCTCGAATTCTTGGTTTCCCCGAAGTAATCGATTTCCATTATCATTGAATGCAGTACAATGAGTTCAGATTTTTACACTGAACTAACGTAGGTAGGCATAGCTGGACATAAAGCGATATTTTGTAACGAACTATGGATAATATACTGTTTAAGTATGCCTGGGTTTCCATATTTAGTAGTAACGGCCTTGGTTGGTTGCGCTCGAAATTTTGTGATAGTAAAACGGACATCTTTGGTATGGTAATGACAGCGTTTTATCAGTCTGCACTATCGGCGGTGTGTAAACATCCGGGAGCCCTGCTCCATTCTTGCCGCGCGGGGGCGCGCGTGCACGGGTCACGAAATGTTGCAGCATCCGCACGTAACCACCCAAATCGCTCACATACCACACCTTTCGCGCAGTTGCTACGGGAAACAGTTGCCCGGTGACCGCCAAGAGCACGAGATAATCACCATGGCGATAAAAGGGGCAACTTCTCGATGTCGGAAATGGCGACACTGGAGGCCAAGTGCATTTATTCCACAATAGTATGAGTCTAGTCTAAAAATAACTTGCAGATCGCCGAATTGTCGATAATATCGCGTGCACAATAATGCCACGTCTGCGGATCGTTGCTACAATTTGACAGTCCGTGATCTGAAAGATATTAGCGAAGTGAAGGGGATAATCTTCTCCTTCGGCAGTACCTCAGTGTCCGAAGCGTTGCACACGACAGACACATAATCGACCAGTAGTATCGATAATGTGATTTGGAATAATGAACATCGTCACATTTATGAGTGAACAAGGAAGATGTATGGCTCTCTTCAGCAGAGGCGAACCCTATACACAATAATTACAATGTACTTCCTTGTTTCGCACTGCTCGACCCATGCACGGATACAGTTTAACCTTCGCCAAACTTCATATTTCCGGTGAAGCATTCGCCGATATGTATCAGCAAAACTGGATCCGTCTTCAACAGATTTGTTTGGCAAGGGAATGTTATGGGGGAAAATACAAATCCTCCCAATTCCCAGATGACCTAGGCCTAATGATGTCGTTAAGAACATAAGGAAAGAAGGGGGCTTTAAGACTGACGCAAGGACAAAGACACAGATTGACTTCAAAGAAATCATGAAATGACATTTCCAAGACAGCAAATTTTGTTTTATCGATTTCGTAGATAAAAGGTTATTTTATTTGCTTGGTAACTGCTGTAACACACAGCGGAGAATCTTAATTCGCGGCAGAAATAGTCAACTGTCGGAAAAGCTATACAAGTACGGACGAAACTTCCCGCGTGGCTTGCAAAGTGTGTCCCGCGGCGATTTCGGTTTTTATTTAGCGAATGAAACTTGGAGAAAATTGGAGGTGAAATACGAGGCGTGAAATTGTGAGATTGGGAAGAACAAAAATCCAAGAAGTCTGATCGATGAACGGAACTTGTTTACAATGCACCATGATTGTATACTCTATAAAAGAAATTCACAGATAAACATTATAATTTTATTGCGCTTATATTATGAACTCTGATGTGCCAATCCCCTTTTGAAAGCATTAATGTTTAATCCCATTGTAATGTTTGAACTGAGCATACAAGAATCAATTCACGGTATAAGGAAGTGTCAATGCATTAAGTGGAAAAGGTACCGAAAAGCTCTTAAATCCAAGTGCAAAACAGGCTCAATGCATGTGAATCCCACATGAGATCAATATACAGTCGAGTCTCATTATAACAAACTCGTTCGGACCTAGCCAAATTGTTTGTTATACATTGTATCAGAATTTTGTATTAAGAGGAAAATCAGTCCCATTCATTGTGCATATAAATGCTCAGTCGGGACCAAGGCTTTATGTTTGTTATAACCAGAATTTTGTATTAACAGAGTTTGTACTAACGAGAGTCGACTGTAATGTTATAAACACAGACATAACAAGTGAGGGGAAAAGAGTTTGCTTTATCAGCGTAACACTTAGTGAGGTTTAGACAACATCACGCGAAGGCCTATCATGTAACTTTATACACACAGCAGCGTAACAACCGCTGGTCACCAATTATGATATAGCCTGGGCCTACGTCAGAGACATTAAAGGGGAGGTCACAACCGTAAAATTGAGACACACAACTGACGAACACTTATAACAATATGAATATGACAAGTGTATAAAATTTGATCGATGGGAAGTTGGAAGTGTATCAGAAATTTAGAAATTAAAGAGAACGAAAACCAGCCTCTCAAAAACTTCTTAACATGAGTATCTCATCTTGATGCTGGAGCATTATTAATTATACTCTTTGTGTATATTCATTAAAAATGCCATGGAAATCCGTGGGATGGGATTTATACACAGTTAACTTAATTCACACTCGGAGTGAAAAGGCGCATGACAATCTGATGCACTGATATCACTAACCCATTACAATTGTTAGATCTCCGGTTTGCATGAACGGATGTCCAGGGAATTTTCACTGATTATACACAAGAGTATAATTAATATGCTCCACTAACATGAAATACTCATGTTAAGTAGTTTTTGAGAAATAGAAGGATATCTGCTCGCACAACTTTTTGGGGGATACCCTGTATGAAGGGGATGCCCCATTTCGATTTGTGCATAATAGTTTTTTTTTAAGCTAAGGCGGGTTTCTCTTTAAAATCCATCACCTAATTCTGACCTTGGTACGTAAATGACTGTTTGACCCGCCAGAAGTTCATGGTTCTCGATGGAAAATCGTTCTTTTTTTTTACTCTGAGGCCGAGGGGAACTAAGAAACTCAAGGAATACAATTATTTGATTAAAGGGGACGAATATAGAACACTTCATTTTCCTTCCTCAAAAAGGGCAAAAGCACGTACATGACAGCAAAACAACTCGTTATTATAACTCAACTCACTGACATTTCGAGATGGAGTTTTTCCGACAGTTATGCTCTCTTTACGTCAAATCAAAGGTCCCAATGGGACTATGTGACCAATAAATCCAAAAATGAGTCTGAAAAAAAATATATATAAATAATTCTGAAATCGATATGTTATTTCCGTCATGTATTCTCGAGGGATTTTTGACGCACTGCACGCAGCGATATCACGAAGGAAAACTAGCATTTTTGAGGGCGACGGGATTCCTGTCGATTATGGGTACAAAACGAAAAAAGATATATGTACTAATTTCATACCGCTTAAAAGTTGGCTACTCCGCCAGATTTTTTTTCTCTGCAACCAAGTTAACAGTGCGTATGATCATGACGCGCATGCGTCAGTTTTCAACTACACATTCCATAGTGCTGCACGAGTAATTGGACAGAAAGGAGATCATTAGCATCAAATACAAGCCGGAAATTGGGCAACTAATGGTACTTTTCTATGAAATACTAGCTGTTATTAATGTTGTTCACGCGCATAATGATGCAATTTACGGTTACACAGGAAAGTACATGACATCATTGTGTTCAAGTTCATGGTCCCAGCCAAAACGGCCAGACTGGCCGCATTGTGCAGGTTTCTGCATGGTTACGTCATTTTGGCCGTTAAGGCAAGCAACTGAGTATCACCTAAGCTACATGCACGTTCGATTCTGTTTTAAACACAGCTCGATGACTCCAAAACGAACGGCTAGACCTATAATTTTTATGTGCAAATCCACGTCTCCGTGCGTCTATACAATAAGGCTATCCTGCTGGTTTTTGTCATTGAAATGCGAAGGAAATGCTACACCAAGACTCAGTTTCAACTGCATTAAAAATATTGCTTACTAGGACAGAAATAGCAAAACAACCACCGATTATTATCCATACGAAATTAATTATGCATTTCATTATGTCTGTATTGACAGACGGTATTCAAAAATCATCAATCCTGAATTATATCCGTATTTTATATTAGGTACGGATGACAGTACAAGCCTGCATGTATTCGGTTCGTGCAAGATAACTCACCATTCGGCATGTACACTACCATTATACGTGTATTATTATTCACCCTTCAAAGCACCCGGATTCTCTCACGAAGGTCACGCGTACAAAAGCTAGGGGCGCTATTGCAAATATCAGTCAGCCATTAGGCCCCCTATACATTAATTGTATTTTGCCATACAATTTTTTTCAACTACAATGCGATCATGCGTCATTTCCCACGTAGCAAAGGCTTCATTTTTTTTTGCGCTTCAGTCGATTGCCCCCACCCCAGCACACCATTTAATGTACCCCTTGTACAACGCGAAAACGTGGTAACCCTTTGTAGGCCTATGCCTTTCGCGTGAAGTATGAACCGGGCTTAATTCTTCCATAATCCATTCGGTACACTTTTCAACAAGCAGTTTTGAAAAAAAGGGTAGTTTTCGGGACAAAGACATTGCGCAACGCAATCTGTAGGCCCTATACGTTATGAAAACGAACGTTGTACTAAGGATCATGAACAAAATATAATTTAAGTTGAAAATAACCCTCTGCAACAGGAACGATGTTAATGCAACACGAACTCTTCCTTTTAATGGAAGTAAAATTCCCTTTCAATTCTGTAACATGGATTACAAAACGGTTCATTCCCCGCAAAAGCTATAGTCCCCTCGAATTTACGAAATATCGTGTGTTGTAAGTTCTGATGTGACGCTCAACGTAGATTTGATTTATAAGACCACGATCATCAGACAGGAACAGAAATCGACAAACAACGGGACACAATGCCCGGTTACAATCATCACCCAGGTAAAAGAGATCGTCACGTCGCATGACGTAATAGCCTGGTTGCCAGGCAACCACGGATCAATGGCGGATAATGAAAGGCGCGCCGTATCCAGGGCAGTTTTGACATGACGGGTTCGGTACTCGCACTTAAGCTAAAGTGGTTCTTTAATGGCTTTAAATAACATTTAAGATGGGCATTATTATGGAAAGCTTGTTGTCAAAATTGTAGCGGCTGCGGAAATAAATCATATTGCGTTTTACGTTTAGGAATTATCACTTGAGAGTTTAACTGCCACACACTTTTAAAACAATAAGTGCGATATTTGAACAGTTCGTTCAAATAATTTTGATGTTGAAGTTCGATAGCTCTCTATGTTCAAAAATAAGCAGGGTTATCGAGTGGTTAAAGTGGTAACATTATCTGAGAAGATACAGAAAAATATATACAAATAAATAAGCGCGTTGGTTTCAGTTGGAAGTTTTATCGGTATTTTTTTTTATTAAAGCATTGAGAATGCAAATTCCAGGAGGAATGCGCCTTCCAACAAATATATGCGATGTCGCTTTCTTTCTTTAGATTCTATGACTGTTCGTAAAATAAGGTTTTTACAAAATATGTTGCTCAGCTCATTAAGGGAAGTGCTGCATCATAATTTTTTCTAAACAGGATGCTCTGTCAGTTGCCAAAATGCCTTTCGAAGTACATGAACGACAGCATACATCTCCCAACAAGAAAAATTAGCAGGGCTAATTCTTGTCGTTTATATCCGCGAGGACAAAATGAAGAGGAACTGGCGTTGTCTGGCAACGGTATCCCACGACAACGGCACGAGCGATATGGGACACTTTATTATTATTTTTTTGTATCATACATGTATCAGTAATTGACAAGATAATGAAAGATAACAGAAAATTGGCAAGGCTAACCTTTACTGGTGTGCCAATGAATTTGTTTTAACAAGACCTTACAGATTTATTAACACAACACCACGCACTGACGGTAAAAAAACCTGTCGTTGATGGCGCTTTACCCGCAGCAATCCCGTTGCCAAAAGTATAGCGTGATTTTAGGACTCTATGAAATACGGACAGTTTTTCTTGAAAATCCTGCTTCCCCCAGTTACCTCTAGAATGAACTCTGCCGAGATCTCCTGGTCTTTCTGCCTTCCTATCTTATTCACGTTTCTTTTGTTTCCACTCATTGCGCATGCCTAAGTGAGGATAATTAGGAGAGTGACTGGTCACTTATGAGATAGTAGGGTAAAGTCCGATTTTCATAGAAGTCCGATTATGACAGCGATACTGACTTTGAACTTTAAAGAAGCGAGGATCACGACTGAGCAGGTTTTACCTTATATACGCGCGCTTCCGAACGCATTTGTGTTTGCGTGGCAGTGTCGGACGACTTCTAGTTGAAAAGTGACTTCAGGGGCAAACTCTTGGTGGCGCCCTGTTATTGTTCACGGATCCTTTTAGAACAGACTTTTATTTCCAAGTTAACTGAGTTAAGCAGCAATGTACAGTGAAAGATTCTTCTTTTATTTTTTATTTTCAAATTAAAAGATTTCTCCCACGATCCACTCACTAACAATTTCTCCTATTTCGTGATTGCAAAAATTGCAAACATTATTATCGGACTTCACTAAAACAGATTCACGAGTCTACATTCGATTATATAATTATTTTGCACTTCCACGGATGTTCCTCATTTTTTTTTTGTTCTTTTGACAATGTTATGAACTTGTATTCCTATATTCTGCAATAAAACGACAACTCGTTTCTGAAACCGGGAAAGTTCACTGTTCGTTCGATTCGTGAAAAAAAAAAATCAAGCACAGCGTCACGGCCTACAATTATTAGCCCTATGATCGTTCATTTAAAAAAGTTCGACCGAATTAAGCTGACAAAAACATCTCAGCCACCCGAGTAGTTGCTCAATGTTTTTTTTCCAATCTGTAATCCGTTCACAGTAATGATTGCATGCCCAAACATAAGTGAAGGCCATATCAGATGACATAATTCCAATGGTGAGTAGGCCTATTACGTAAATTTTAGCACTCGTGTAACTAGATTAGACTTGCCTCCAGTCGTCTGTAGTACTAGTGACTGATGACTTGAGGAATACAAACAATAAATACAGCGAAGTGTAAACTAGTTTGCGTTTCGTCGGCGGACTTTGTACCAACTTCCGCGTTATGCATTAAAGGCATGGTACCAGTCTAACCAGGCATTCACACCTTGACTTTCCTCGTACGTTTAATGAAACGTCACGCACTGACATGCGTGAGCTACCGAACCGTGGTACTGACCCCTGGTTACGAGGAAAGTCTATCTGACGTGGCTTTTTTTGTCGTTTGCAGTGCACAAACTTTACTTCCGGGATCGACAGATCAACAACCATGATATTAGCAACTCCACGCAATCTGCAAGGATTTTACGGAAACGGTGTCGATATACAAACAAGTGTTTAAACGTTTATGCTAACAAAACTCTAAACGGATATCAATAATGTAAAGTTTCAACGTTTAATTTTCACAGCCTTAGCCCTATATCTTCTGTGCATAACGACTTCCTAAGGACAAACTAACACACGTCTTGATCCACTGGAAAAAAATCCCGTCTTGTTTCACTCTTATTCTAAGTTACCAACGACATTAGGATCCTAGTTTAAATTGTCGGCCAAACACAGCTTTTATGCCAAGATTGTTATCGTGGAGAAGATTGCGTTACCCGGCGAGAGCGCAGTGCTAAAAATAAGCGAACGGTTAGTGCCAGATTTATTTCCAGACCGGACCCATCAAATATAAAAAAAAAAGTGTGGCGGACTTGCATACACGCACCATTGAGTGTACAATCTGGAACTATCATACTCTACAGAATGCAGAAAAAAGGTGATTGTGTATTTTATAGCAACATGTACATCACCACTGAAAACACATAATAAAACTGACATTGACACTATATTGGCCATCAGATCGCGTGTCCGATTCATCGTGTTATTATTTTTCTTCAGAGAAAAATCCACAACCCGTAGAGGTTTTCCAGTGATGGTTACCACAGATGACGTCACCGCGCGTTTAGCAGCGGAATCAGAATACAGCACGACATGTGAGGAAACGAGACATTCCCGCGAGTTGAGTCACAACGCTGAAGTCCCCTGCAGGAAAATGTGACATTGTCTGCTCCAGCCACAGTTAGCACTAAGGAGCTATCGAACGTTCCATGGTTGACACTTCATCACAAATCATACAGCTATCACGCTCCAGTCAACATTTAAAAAGATTCGGAATTTTGGGGGTTTTTTGTACTGGCACCCCGCACAACAAGAAACCAGACAATCAAACGAACATAAACAAACAGACACTTAATGAATGTTCCTCAGCAGAAACAAAATCTTACTCAAGCAACAGGCGTTGGGACTTGCACTCAACAATTCAGTCAAACAAAATGGCTTACATAACGATTCCTAAAATAAACGAGGGAGGGCTCTCTCTAGCGAGAGGACCTACAAGGAGATCCAATTGTGCATGACAGCCCCTTTAAGATATCTTGCATAGCACGATTTAGAGCGAGACGCCCCAGATACAGTTCGCGAGGAAGCTACGTGTTGGGCTAGACACGCCCCATCCGGCCCAAATTAATAAAAGGATGAACACTCCTGCTATGTGGGCCTATAAAATAGGTGGTAATAAAAGGTGAACCTTGATGATCGCAAGAAAATTAGACGTCAATTTAAAGATGCCGACGGAACCAACTATAATGATAAAATCAGTAGGTCTAATAATGTTTGTAAGTCGGAAATACTGCTTATTTTTCATCGGGTAGTTTCATCCGAGGAATTCAAGGTCATGCAGGATACGAACCTAAATTGAAGCTATACCTTCAATTCGATAGATTTGAACGAGTGGGATTTGTTTTCAGCGGTTGCGGAATACATTCATTGCGTTAGTCATTTATATTAGCTACGCATTGTCGTCATGTTGTAATGTATAAATGAGATTAATAGCATCGATACGCACCACCAGACAGCGTGTATACGCTCATGTCATCAATAAAAATTCAGACGGCGAACGAGAAGCCACGCTCAGCTCAGCGATCGAGCGATATCATGTTGTACGTGGCTCCTTGTGTGCGATGAAGCACTGATCACTTATCAGTAGAAGTCATTGCCATCAATTTCTTGCACGTATTCTATTTTGTGGTTCTGCACCTGTCATCAATCTGATATGAAATTGCTAATTCAAGAGATGTTAGAATCAATTAATTCCTACGCCAACAGAAAAATGGCCGTCACGATATACGTTCATATCGACAACCTTGACCACTATAGCTGTGTGTAAAATGACCTCATTCCAATCTCGCCGATAGCTAGCTGACTGCATACAATGCACTCGATCGTCGTTTGTACATATTTACGTATGTATTCAGGACCACAAAGTCGGTCGTTGTGGATACCCACACAAAAAGAGTCAACCCCGGCAGATACCGCGAAAAATGGTTTATTCTATTCAAAACAGAGTGGCTCTGAAACTGCAATTAAACATGCAACATTCTACAGATCTGTCCTTAAAATCTCATTGCTCTTGGGACTGTTTTCTAAACGTCGTTAGACGTTACCACGGTCGGTACTTCATGCATGGTTGCACATGGATAAAAGTATAACCATGGAGCTATGTTATAGCTAACCAGTCTACGTAGCGTAGCTATAGATAGTAACACTGCAAGGGCCTATACATGTACAGTAACAGGCGTCGCTAAAAAATGTATTATTGATCAACGAAGACAGATATGCCACGGACGGATTCGGGGAAACCCAGATGTATATAAACTTTCCTGATTATCCAAATGAAATTAATGTGGAACATTAATCAATGTCACATCGAGCAAATAAGGGGAAAAAAATAACGATACTTCAGAGAATGAAGAGATTTAAGATTCGTACCGGCAAGTGTATTATGTAAACTGGGACATCCAAGAAGATTTAATCAAGGAACTATCGTGACTGTCCAAAAAGATCGCTGTCGGGTACAGACGTTCCGACTGATCACGGTTCCCTAACGAGGCTCCCGGCCCTTTAATGGTGTAACCATTGTGAACCGCCCGTGATGGATTATGGGATGATCTGAACAACAGCTAGCTCAATGCTTTTCGCCATGGACGGGGGCCACCGTACTGGAGATGAAGCGTGCTCGGATCGATCTATAACTGTATAAGATGGGGCCAATTCACTGTAAATGGTTTGATGAACTTCGGTTTTGAACGGTCAGATAATAAATGTGGCGTTATATTAGGAGTAGTTGAAGTCTTGGGCGTTGTAGTAACGATAGAGAAAGGGGACTCGATGTGTCCCTTCTGCCGAGTAGAACTTGGCAAATCGTCAATGCACTTATTTCGCACTTGCGAGATTTCTTTATTGTTCTGGACCCAAACTTGTGAATGGATTAAAAAGATCTTGAATACACATCTTGTAAATGTACTTTTAGATCATGAGACGATTTTATTAGGCATAATTACTTATAACAAAATTTGGATTGCCCTTAACCTAATTCTTCTCCTATGCCGTTACCATATTTATGAAATGAAGATGAATGGTATAAACCGTTTTTTATATTATTTACGAATGACATACACGGCGGTAAAATGTACCATGATACAGAAACATTTATAGTGATTAAAAATGGTAAATTTGCTAAACTTGAAGTGAAATGGGATCCATTCTCTGTTTTATGTAAGTTTATTGTTTTGTAAAACTCCGAAGAGAAAAGTTTCTTCTGTTTCCTCCAAGGGGGACTGGGTATGGGCCTGGTCGCCGATGGTAGCCCAAAATATACGTATAACTATTTACTGCACTTTCGGAAACTTTTGAAATCATGGGGAGAATATGTTTATGAAGATGACTTATTTAATATAAGGCTTGTGTTTGATCATGACTGACCGTGGGTCTGCAGACTTCTTCATACTCAACATCGAGATTAAAATAACCTCGCGGTCCATATACCCGCACACGACAACCGTCTCAAAATATCCATCATTATTTTTTGGGTCGGCACGATTTCTCAATTTAACGGGGGAAGGAAATACGGGTCATGGACACAAGTGTCATAAAACAAAACATCAGTCAGCTTGCTGAGTAGGCCTACGACAGCGTGGAGATAAATTCAGTTATACAATCATCACGCAAATCATGCCTCAAGCTAGTACTGAATTATGCACGATTTTTTCAACGGTACCGGTGGTGCTGAAAATCCGGTCCCGATCGAGTATTAAGTCACGACAGTCACGAAATCTTGGATAAACAACAGCGCTTCACCTTGAATCTGAATATAGAACTGGGCGGTGGTCCGAATCCCTCCCCCGCATAACCGAACCGCCATGAAGCTGTTTTACGTGTTAACATCTGGCGTATATTATTTATGAAGTTCAAAGACCGTACGGTTTACTCTTGTGCAAAATGGCACAGAAACAAGCAAAATGGATGCACTATAGTCACTAACAACGAAATTATTTCGAACACAACACACCTCTTCGTGACTTCCGGAGTCAGGTTCTGGTACTTTCTCCTCCTGTCCAATACGTTCTGTCTTCGGCAAACTGCCATTTTCTGACTCCGCCTCTGCACCGGGGGGCAGGGGAGGCCTAGAATCTCCCGACTTAGAAGAAACCCTGAAATCGAAACCAAAGTCTTGAAAGATTATCTGAGAATCGAAAGAAACTTATTTATTGAGTCATCGAGTTTTGCCAGATTGGTGTTTCCGCTGGTATGGTGAGCCTGGGCTAGGGAGGATAGGCTAGGCTAAAGCCTAAACCTACACGCTGACACAATTTTCACGGAACTGAAAACATTGTCAGCGAACATCGATAAACGAAACATCCGGCGTCAAAACACAGTTAATGGAAAATCGGGATATATATCCCCCTCTAAAGAGCATTTCGGTCAACTTACGTCGCTTCGAGACCCGGTGACACAACCCCAGCGGAATGGCTAGCCTCGGTCCCCACGGTACCCCCGGGCACTGGCAGGCTTACCCCCGCCTCCTTTGGAACATAAGCCGACATGGTTTCACAATATGAAACCAAGGGGGAAGTTCCATCAGTTCCGAAACATATGTGTCGATATTGTCTCTCTCGAGCTGTCTCGGTTTTTTTCTTTTAACGAGACCGACACTGCAAAGCCGAACGATCGTTTTTAATACATCGTGTCATACAAAAGCAGGCAACACACACGTTGTGTTAATACAATTCAATGGCCTCCGCGGTGACGTCATTACACAACTCCTACCACGACTCCAGTTTCCGGGTGTCCACAAAAAACTTTGACAGATTTCTGGACCGGGGATGACTTAGTCACCCGAAGCTGGACCACCAAGCTGCCATTATCTGAAACAATTTCGCCAGAAGAAGGCTTCATTTGCTTGTAAAATCACACGGAGTTTCGGAACTGGACGATCGATCGAGTCGAACGTGCTGCATAAACGCTAGGACGGATATCTTGCGTGTGTGTCATCACGTGACCAGTCCCATGACAAGCAAGATGGCTGCCGCTCGATTGAGAAACATTCTCTTCGCATTTTATGCTTGTTTTTGCACATTCGGTGGGTATAAAAGTTTCATATTTTGGATTAAAGCGTATCGTATATATAGCTTTTTAGTCCATGCGTTTGGCTGGGTATTTTCTGTTTTGATCACTTTGAATTCGGGGTGTAAAAATGACGTAAATTTTTTTACGTGTTTTTCTATATACTCATACTGACTGTACATGTACAATACACACGTATACGCATATTGTGCATGTACATGTACAGTACATGTACATGTCATGATATGTACATGTATGGTAGTAAAACCAAACATGAATGAGACTCAGAGCTGAATGCTATAATATTCATAAATTCAGCAATACTATATTATTATTATTGGCATGATGATGTTAATGTTATAATTATTTTAATGCCATAATTTGTCTCTATTTTTTTTAAAATAATTAAACGTGTTCGCGCAATTACTTGGAAGCAAATTTGGAGCATGAACTTGATGAAGACTTGACGAATTGTTTAGATTTTGGATTGACAATTGTCTCAATCTTAGACACGGTGAGATTGCGGCAGTTTTAAATCCTTCGTGAATTCAAATTTGTTTCACAATTTATGGATTGGACGAGGCATTTAGCTTTAGACATCGGCCCAAGTGCTTCAGTGCGAACCCTTTCAAGCAGGGATGTAGTCGAGTCCATCACAAGTCCGTCACAAGTCCCTGCAAGTCCCTGCAAGTCCATCACAAGTCCTTCAGTTCCAATGAAACTCACAAGCTATTAAATGAGCTATGGACAAAGCATTGCTTTGTTGTTCTTCAGCCACTGTTTCTCGTGCTGGATTTGTGAGTGGACAAGTTTGTAATTTACTTGTGACTGGATTTGTGGTGGACTCTACTACATCCCCGCTTTCGAGTATTATTGTACTTAGCCCGACCAGGCTGTTTGTTGCAGACTGTATTAAAACCTTTTTACACTAGAGCCTCTCAACCGGGGTCGAACTCAACCCTGGGTGAACCTGGTGCCACCCGAGTTGAGTTTTTTTAATTTTTCAACCCTGCGTTCGACCCCGCATCATTTTGCACTTACTTCGTGAATCATGCAAACCGAGCTTATTTCACTAAGTAAGTACTGTTTTGAGCTGTGGCGAGAGTTTCAACCAAGGTTGACAATCTCAACCCTGGTCTAGAGCAGGGTTTTGTTCAAACCAGGGCAAAATCAACCTCAAGGTTGACGCAGGGCTGAAAATTTTCAAGTGTGAAATGCCGCATGTTTTCAACCCTGCGCCAAGCTCGCATCAACCCCAAGATTTGTGTAGTGTGAAAAGGCCATTAGAGTACCCCTTAGATGCCAGTCAGGCCTGTAAGATCCAACGATTCTACTGGGAAGAGTTGGAGCTGGAGTTGGAGGATTTTGTAGGATTGAGGAGGACAGCCTGGCCACCATTACTGGACATGGGGCTTGATGCCAAACAAAAGTTTAAGTACAAAGAAAGTGCCATTGCTTTCCTTCAGAGTGGAGGATTTTGTAGGGTTGAGAAAGGTAGAGCCCAGCCACTATGATATTACATGGGGCTTGATACAACGAGTGTGCCATTGGTTTCATACACGTGGAGGATTTTGTAGGATTGAGGAAGGTAGATTCCAGCCACTATAACTTAAATGGGGCTTGATGCTCCTTGAAACTTGGTAGGTACTAAGAGTGTGCCAGTTGGTTCCTGCACAGTGGAGGATTTTGTAGGATTGAGGAAGGTAGAGCCCAGCCACTACAACATTACATGGGGCTTGATACCACTTGAAACTTGGTAGATACAGAGAGTGTGCCATTGGTTTCAATGACAGTTGAGGATTTCGTAGGATTGAGGAAGGTAGAGTCCAGTCACTATTTCATTACGTAGAGCTTGATACCACTTGAAACTTGGTAGGTACAAAGATGGCGCCATTGGTTTCCTGCAGAGTGGAGGATTTCGGAGGATTCCGAATGTTTCCAGGCAGAAAATGTTTTGTGATTTGTTGTTAAACTAAAATATCTTAAGGGGAAAATTAGATATCATATTCAACAGATTTGCAACAGATTAAGTATAAACATAATGAACGGTTTCCTTGATTATTCTTTGAAATTGAAACTAAAACCTTTACTATTTTGATTTAATTATTCAGTGGAAGCTTAAGAGTAAGAACATTAGTAAAGCAAAAAATACACAGCCTAGTGATATCGAAGTATTCAGACTTTAATATGTAGCTGCAATATATTATGATGTATCTTTTCCCTTTAAGCGATTTATTTTTTACATGATCTGTTACTTATATAAATTTGGGATTTTTCCTTTGTTGATCGCTAAATATTCAGTCCTTAAAAAAACAACATTAATTGTAGATCCCACTATTGTGATTCGTAGCTTTTTTTAAAGAAAAGTTGTAATATTTACTTTGTTTTGTAAATATGACATAGATTTAATTTGCAAAAAAAAAATTGTAAAAAGGATATTGTGAAATAGTGATTCCATCTCGCTCATAACATATTTTGTCGATGTTTTTCTTACATGTTTATATTTTTGAATAGATTTTTATCCCACAGACGGGGTCTGGGTCCCCTGCCTTGACCTAAAAAAAATAGACACGTTTTTGATAACATATTGTAATTGTTTTTCGAAATCAAACTCCTCAATTTGGAGTTCTGTTTTGAAACTTGACTGTGATCCGTGTTGTGTGTGAGCCAAATCAAATATCCTTTCCGGATGCCATAATTGACACACACATCCCGTGAACGTCAGCTCAGAAAATAGAACCAACCCCCTCAAAAATCCCTTAGCCATCTTTATTGATACACCAGAGTTGGTTTTAATCGTGTGCTTTTCTATCTGTGACAATCCGGTTTCCGTTCTGTATGTACGATAATCACCAAGTTCATTACCCAAACCTGTCGAACATTGTTTTACATGAAACAAAACAAAACGCTTCCATTTTGAGTCAAGTTGCAGCCACAGTTGGCTGTACAATATTACATGTATTTATATTAATTTACTTCACGTTTCTGTCGCGGGTTGTGGAAAAGGTTACATAATCCATATAAAACTCCACAATCGCGTTAGAATTATTATTAAAACAGGAAAATATAATACATTAGGCCTATATATAAAATTATGAAAAAAACTATGAACATGCAATGCAAAATAAAACACAAAAACTAAACAACCACGAACCAAGATTAAATCCAATAAAAAAAATGCAACCTAGTTCATGGTTGACATCAACATACACAGAGACAATATCAAGACTCAAAGAAACGAAAATAGAAAACAATTTGACAAGACTCGAGAAACGCAGAAAGAACAAAAATACGTGTATTAACAAACTAACTATAATCGAGTGGTGCAATAACAATATTGGGGTAGAATAAAGTAAAACGAATAAAGTACTATTTGCAAAAGAACAATATCAGTATAAAAAATAAGTAACTCAAGCAATAATTTACAAAGTAACAAACTTGACTTAAAAAGTAAACTGCTGAAAAAAGTACCACTTTCAAATTATCAAAATATATCATCGGCAAAATTGTTCAAAGAAATTATAACACACCTGTACGAAATACTTATTGATTTGATGTTTACTATTTTCACTTATTTATAATTGTAAAATTTAATTGTATTATTAGTTGTTGTTTCCGACAGCCGTCAAGCGGAATTCAATCAATGGATGCCGACATAATTTTAGACAAATTTATCTTACATGAAAAAAATGCTTACTGTTGTAAATTTAAATAAAATTATTCGGGGACGCTACAAACAAATACAATTGAATGCCCCACTGACAATGATACCCTTTACTCGGGAGATGAGGATTATCTGCATGCCTTTTTCAAAGGAAAGACTCCCCGAGAAACATAATTGAGCATTATTTTTTATGTATATCACCTCGGGGGGTTTCGGTCGATCGGAATACTGGTCAAAACACAGCAACCCCCGAAGCGATTAAAGCATTAGCCATATATCCCCGGCTGAATTAATGAGGCAGTAGAAGTGGCTAATTGGCAGATGTCCAAACAGCCAAAAAAAAATGGTGTGGAGATGTTGTTATGACCATCTCGTTGGTCCCTGGCGTAATGCATTTTAATGCGTTAAAATGCATTTATACTTGTACGCTGTGGTCACCAGCAAGCTTCAGGCCAGTGGTTCGATATGCATAGTTTAAACACTGTTGTAGACTATAATCCAGCCGCAGGAATCATCACTGGGCATGGCGTTGAACCACGCTTTATACGTACGCGCGCACTCGGTACCCCTCCAACCAAGCACATATAGCACGTTTTCTACTTGCAAAACACGTGCCGCACATTGCATTGGCATCGTTACCCCCCCCCCCCCCCGTAATGGCTGCTCATTGTCCATAAGCAAGCCACTTCGTTGCAATCATATCCTTTCAGGAATACTGTTTAGTGTCAGGCCTATATTGGGGTTACGGACCTAGGGCAATGGCCAGCAATGCCATGGCGAAGGGCAAGGTCTACCGCCTGCGAGGAAATTAAATTTACGCAGAAAAAAAATGTTTTCACGCTGCAAAACCTATCAAGTCTATAGGGAAAAGCATGATTTAATGAAAGCGCTGCGATGGTTTCTGATTGTTTGAATGATGTTTGATTGTATTGCGAAGTGTATGTGTGCCCTCGCCGAACTTCGTGTGAAAAAAATGGCGGCCGAGCCATGGGCGTCGCCAGGATTTTTTTCTAGAGGGGGGCAAAAAAAATTTGGGACAAAAAATGCTTGTATTTCTCAACACATCGATTTATCAGTCTTGGAGGGGGCAGGGACATTTTGCCCCCCCCCCCCCAACTCATTAAATTTACACCACTTTGTCTTCGCGCCTCTTTTTCTGTTTTTGCTTTTCCGGGGGGGGGGGCAAGTACCCCCCCCCCCCCCTCGCCCCCCCCCCCCCCCCCCCTCGCGACGCCCATGGGCCGAGCCTTCATTTGATTAATATTGGCTCTGTATTTTACTGACTGCATTATAAATTTCTTTGACAGTTTATTGCGAGGACACTTTGTACATCACGCACTCACCTAGCTATGTAGAGTTTCAGAAAGACGCCGGGCCGATTGACGTCACAGAAGTCCCGGATATGTTGTCTCTAGCCCTGGGATTCTCAAGTTCAAAAGTAAGTCGAGATTATTTTTTATTACTTTTAAAAAGTACATGTATTCGAAGATCAACGAACGAACGATGTCGAATTTTCTCTCTGGAATCGAATTACAAATAAGGTCATGTTTTTATATTGGCGAACCGAATGTGTGCAGCGTTAGGTATGTTTTCTCCTTGAATTTCGCGGGAGATGTATTAACGATCTTCTATAATTTTCGTTTGTTTTTTGTCAGGAGTTGAAATGGACAGGGTTAGCGGTGGGGGATTTATTCCGTAGACCCAGAGCTAACGTCTTTATCACCGTTGAGACCACAGACGATTCGTTGTCTCTAAATTTAGGAAGTGATGCCCAACTCCAATATCTCTTGCATGGTGTAAGTCCGTTTGCTTGATTTCCAGAATTTGAAACTTTATTTTCAATCTTCATGTTGCCATTTTCGGGGGCATTTGAGACCTTTTTGGTTTTGATGCAAATTCAATTTCTATATTCATGAGCAAACGTGTGAAATCACTGAAGGCAGAACTACAGCGCAAGCTTGCCAGAATCTTGGATTTTTTTTGATTTCGTAAATTTCCAGGTCTTGTAATTCATTGTTGTGTCACTATTATGACAGTAAGCCATTGAGCAAATTTGAAAAATAAACAAAATTTTATGTTGTTTACATCCGAAGAGCGGAGTGGTCGGCCTACAGACGCTAGCTGACACACTCACTTTAATGTTCGGCGATCGGCCGTTGTTCCTTGAACTCACCCCAGAAGTAAAGGTAAGCTTACGTCATGATGACGTCAAACAAACCCGAGGTGTCGTGAAAAACCCTTCTCTTAAGGGATCTGAAGACAGTCATAGAGCTTTTAAGGAATGTCGAAAGCTCTCCCATGTGGAAAGAGCTTTGCTTTTTTATAAGGATAGCCAGGAGTTACGGTTTTAAGTTGAAGGAGCTTTGCCGCGGCGAGACGATAAATTACAATGCAAATTTCAGATGTTGTGAATCTTTCAAGTGTTTGGGGAATAAAATTCAGTTGAGTTGATAACAGTTGCAGTGGAGTTACGCATAATTATGATGGCCAGCACTGTCAGACAAAGATTAAGAATGTATACAGCATGTTGAAAAGAAAAAGTTGGCACATCTTGAACTTTTTTGTAATCGTAAATGTCAAATAATCTCAACTAAGATGAAAAGAAAAATCGAATATGTAAGACCACGAATTTTGTCCGAGACGCACTAAACCCGGGTCCATACCTCAAAATATGACATTCTCTGGGTTGTTTTGGTGTATTTTATTTGACTCCTATTTAAATCCTACTTGAATCCCGCCTGGGCCAACATGGGGAATGTTCAGCTCCTGGCCGATTATGTTGGTTTTCCGTGGAAAATTATATTAACATTCCCTGGATTTCCTGCAAAACTAGACATTCCTTCATCTCCCTTTTCTTTCGGTGTCTCAGACTTGCGAGCTACATCACCGTGAACGTCTGAGAAACCCATAGTTTCATTAATGAAAGAATGGAAATAAATCATTTTTAAAAAAATCCCTTTTTAGGGCGTCCACGTTTCCACGGAGTACCAGAGTGTTTTTAAGTCTCTGCCGGACACGCTAAGCGATGTGCTGCCGCTACTCAAGGGCGATAGGTCCGTAATTGCTGACAGCCAACTGGGCTCTCTAAATCTGACCAACTCGGCTGATGTGGCTCTGCTTGGCGAACTGCAGTTCCTGAGAGAGGTTGCCCACAAGGTTCGTTGTAAAACAAATATATCTAGAAAGTTTTTTTCTTGATCAAAATGAAGTTTGACCTCGGCGAAAAATCAAAATGACTGAAGATTGCACCTTAAGCTGCCATTGGGCTAATAACTATAAAGTTGTTTTACTAATGGCTATAAAGGACATGTTCTATAGGTACAGTAATACTTGATATAAATGGTGGCAATTCGGGTTGACGTACAAATATAAAGTTCTTCAAAGGAATGTTGAAGACGACTTTATCAGGTTTCTGTCTTTGATTGACAATTTGTTTTGGGTCTTTGTCCCCGAACAGCTGCGAGAGAACCCCGAGCTAGTGACAGACGGTTTTCCAGACCTCTATTCCTTTACGCTGGCTGGTTTAAGAGTCATTCAGAGCAAGTACGGAGTCGACTCCATACAGGCCCAAGATGCAGCCAAGTTGGTGGAATCTTTCATATCCCAGGTGAGTGCTTCATAATGGAACCTTCCTGCCCGCCGATCAAATACATTGACCAATCAGATCATGAGTTTTGGTCACGTGACCATGTCCGCAAGCCAGAAGTGGGCGGGGCTTATGGTCAAATACGGACCGTTCCATGGCTGCTACAAAAGGCTTTCCAGACTTGTACCTTAATTTTGTTGGTAGTGTAAAGCCTTTCTTGGTCCATTTATTGTTAAAAAAAATCTGATGACAATAATTAATTACTGAAAAGACACATCGACTTGATACCTAGGTTCTTTTTGAGCTTTTAAAAACTAAAGAGAACCCTTTTTTGTGCAATCCTATAGACTTGGTGTAAACGTACATAGGTCATCACTTCGCACACCAAAAGAATCTCATCATTATACATGCCAAGCTCCTGCATAAAGCCCATTTTTCCCTCGTTCTCATTGCCCAATCTTGCTGTTTACTAACCCAAATATAGCCACTCTGTTTCTGGGAAGCCTCGTTTCTTTATCAACTTTCCCTCACCTTCTAACAGTTTTTTTTTTCGTGTTCATCGGTAACCCAAGACCTTGCTACCCAAGTCATTATCTGACACCGGATATTCCTCCGTGACCCCAAATGACCTCAGACAGATCACCTATCTTGTACCCTGTCTTCTTGTCACATAGCATTTCACCTGTTACGTTGGTCTTTCAGTCTTTAGAGGGGAAAGGGCACAGCCTTGTTTTTTTTGTGCTACGAAATGTGATATGGGAATGATGGATCTAGAAAATGAACTAGTCGCACAGTGACATACATGTGGCTTAGCCAGCTGTACATGTAGTTCGCGCACAGCCGCGGTGGCTATTTTTAGATTCATTGCCGCATTAAAATGTGGCTCCTCAAAAACAATGTTGTTTGGCAGTATACACTTTTCATTCTCGCATCGCATTTACTTCGATTCTGCCGCATTGTTTAATATTGAATGAACTGGGCTGCGCGTTGTGGCTTTGACAACATTAAAAAGTGACTAGCGTTTCAGCACAAAGGCATGATTGATTCAAAACGATTCGTTTGAGCTATTTTTCTTTATTCCTGTGAATGATCGTATAAAATATACCAAATTGTTATTTTGGAACTAAAACGTTTAAAAGTTGTGTGTTTTCAATAAAGAGCCTAGAGTATTAAAGGGAAAGTGATGACTAACATTTGAATGAAGAGGGTTTTTTTTCTGTTTTTTTTGTAAATTGTCTGTTGACAATGGTGTGGATTTTTTTTTTTTGGAGGGAGCAGGGTGAGATGAGGTGTCGGTTCCAACATTATTTTTCTTACACCGACCTTATCGTTGATTTGATTTCTTAAAGTTAGAAGAGAACTGCATAAAATTCTTCAGGGAACCTCAGAATATCGACCGTTAAGTTACTGTGGTCTGGGAAGATCATTATCATCTTCAGCAACGACAACATGACCACTTAATGTTAATCCAGGGCCACGCTATACACTCTATTCGTCGTAAATCGATTTATAAATAGACAAAAAATACCTATGGAGGCGCCGCAAGGGAAAATGCTGCGTGTGTGTTAAAAGGTCGGGCATTCACGTCACGTAGACAGAGGCGAGACATACGTAAGGTTCATAAATTGTCGATTACGAAACCATGTCCTCGTTCCGGTATCGGCTACATCACTTGCTTAGAATCACAGAACTGTTACATCTCCGAATCAAACGTGAATACTCTACGCTAAAAAAATATAGAGAGTTAAGGCCAAAATAAAAAATACTCGGTCTCTGGTCAGCGCGCGCGTCGATTTTAATCATGCGCGTCAACCTTTTTTTTTCAAATTAACACGGAAGCTACAACAGCGCCCTCTATTGCCGGGCCTTCTCAAATTTTTGTACCAAGGAGCATCAAGGAATGGGGAAATTGCACCAAAGCAAATGATAAAGGGCACCAAGGCAAATTATGGAGGACACCAATGTATAATGAGGACACAAAAAAGCAAAATAGTACCCACCTTGTCTGTACAATACAAGCTTGAAAAAAAAAAACACCGCATCAATTCCGGAACTTCGGTCTGACCAGAGACCGATTATTTTTTTTTGGGGGGGGGGCCTAAGGTTTGATGTTTCTGAACGATACACGGAACATTTTAAGCTAGTCTCCCCCGTATATCAGAAGAAAAATCTTAACCCGAACTTGGAAGAAGCCACGGTTTTAAAAACGCCCACTGATGAGACGCTGTCGGTATACGTACGTACGTCTACCGCACGCACGCCGCAAAGTATCATTCTTGGCTTTCGATGCTCGCGGCGATCGTCCATTTCGGGGGCCTAATACGGCGGGCCATTGATCAAGAAAACACGGCGCGTTTACCGTAATGTCTTGGTCACGCACGTGTCAAAAATACTACAAGAAAAACAAACAGTATGATTGAATCGGCATGCAAGTTTCGTACGTCATCTACAGTGCAACGTCCGCTCGTAATTTTGTGAACTCTTATACGGGTATGAATTTGTCATTAAAAATTATACTATGTGAAATTGATTATAAGCTACCATTGCTGGAAGTGATAGGCCTGCATGAAGTGGTGAAGTTTTAATTAATTGAATTTGAAGGTGAAAACAATTACATGTATTTCGAAATTCTCCAGTTCAAAATCATCGGATCCCTGTCAAAATGCAAACAAGGCGTGCTAAATTATAAAACGGAGTTGAAAGCATACAGCTGTTTTTTGTTAAATCGTGTTAAGATTTTGTTGGCAGCTAGTTTGCGTTTGCTCGATTGATTTCACTCTTTTCTTTCCGAGTTGTCAGTTCACATTATTTGGAATCGTGTTCGAATAAATAATCATGTTAAACTGTATCCGACTTTTCAGAGCATCGGCGAATCGTTGGCAGCCATCTACGTTAAATTTGACGGAAACATCAGCCGATCAAAGTCGGCCGGCTTACTTTAATCGAAACATCGAAATCATGATCATTTTCATTATTCACGATGTTGTTATCCCCGCAGTGTGTGTGTGTGTGTGTGTGTGTCCACGCAACATAAACCAATTACCAATTCCATTCTGTCCTCGTTTCCCGCGCTAAAACCAGACATTCCGCGCTTTGGTAACCAAGGCAGAGCGGTTGCTATGGCGACACACTGACGTCACCAATCGATGTCAAAATTAGAATATAAATCACCGATGCTTTAGCGCCTCGTTTTGTCAATTTCATGTCATTGAGATTCGGAGTGCGTATGAATAAATCGGTCTTGAGTGTGACCGTTTGGTTTGGAAAGTATCCAAGTATACAAAAGTGTCAAAACTGAAAACAAATAGAAGAAAAATCAAAATGAAAAAAATGAAACATTTTTTTTCTTTTAGACAGTATAAGAGAATTAAAGATCGCAAAATTATTTACGCCGCGACGGTCCAGCGCCAACATGTCACTGCAAATTGAAAATTGCTCAAATTATTACACACGCAAAAAGAGGAAAGTTATACACTGTAGGCCCCTAGTTCATTATTATACCGTCAATGTAGAGTGATTGGTTTTGCGGTGCCCGGCGGTGACAGGAGTTGTTCCTCAGAAATTTTGCAAAAGAAAATAATAAATAATCGGAAAAAAAATAACAGAGAGCTGTGTAGGCCTACTATAATATTGTACCCTGTAAAATAACCATTTCATAATTATGGAGATCACTTTCATTGCAATGTCACGACTAACGGAATTTCCGCCATTTCCCATTTCGGTTGGGGGATCTCAAATTAATAAATGAAAATCTAATGAAAACTTTCAACGGGTTTTGAAATTCTTTGTTATTAAGACGAACCCTCTTACTGTTTAAACAGTCACAGACAGTCAAAAATTCCATCTACTTCCCCTGCCATGCCTTTTACTACAGGCTAGTCACCAACAGTCATATTTTAAGCAAGCACTGTGACTAGTCAAATTCGGTCAACAGACAATAGCAGGAAACTGATGGCACCGCTGGCTTATCAATCACCTACAGTCAAGGCACAGCTGTATCAAGTTACATAAACAGTCACAGCCAGTCAAGCCTGTTTTATGTAGGCTGGGAGCTCTTAACTGTTGAAATGATTTTGACTGAAAGGACAACTTAGCGCAGACTGTATGTTTGCATATAGGAGGGTTGATACAGAAACTACGAGTCTTTTCACAATTAAAACGTGTGCGTCATGTACTTAAAGAAAGAACCAGCTGTGTGCATCCTCCTTTAACACAGCAATTTGTAATGTGCGCGAACCCTCATAATTGCCATTAATTGACTACGTGTACATGTACCTGGTTCGCGTGGGGTATTATCTTAATTAGCTATTCATTAAACGAGCCTCCCGGAGATTGTACAATCCTCAACGCACCGTTTTCTCGCGGGCTCTCGTATATAGTAAGTGAATTGCAAAACCCTATTAAACATGCCCAGTTAAGTGTCAATTTAGAAAATTCGATCCTCTCTTCAAACCACACGTATCCCAAAGGCTCGTTTCGATTACGATAAAAATGCTGCTTTTTCTATATCGGTGTAGGTTTGCGAACATGTTTTGCTTGTACCATATGGATCATTTATACTGTACTATGTACCACGCTTCAAATTGACGACAGTTAAGTTGGAAATGAAAACCTGTGACATTTTGCTGACACGCCGCGGAATGTTTTCTCCGCTGATCCATCGCACGCTTGCACAATGTTATTACCAAGTTCGTGTAGATTGTTTCCAATACGGCAGCAAATTTAAAGAGACAGTTTTACATGTAGAATTTAAAATGTATTCTCGGCACTACAGAAACCCTTCATTCTTACAATGGTTTAGTCATAACTTGCAGATCATTTTTAAAACTACGGCCAAATTTGGTTCTGTGTGATGACCATGATTTATATAGTGGCAACGCTTATTAATAGTGTTCTCAAACGTAACCAAGGTGACAAAAACAAAATGTCCAACTTTTCGTGATTTTGACTGTTATCGTGGCATTCCTGTCATTATTTTCAGTTTTCGACCGAAATGGCCAACCTATATGACGGTGATTTGCTGGTAGAGGTGATGACGTCACACGAAGAACCGTTCGTGAATCGGCAGAGTAGATCTTTACTACAGGTAGGTAGGCCTATCTAGATTAAAACAAGAAAAATGCTGAGAGCGTGTAAGGGATAAGACAAAAAAGATCTGCTTTCTTACTCGGCGTTTGGACATTTCAGATTTGTATTCTGTACATTGAGTATCCTGATGACTGGTACTCCTCTCATTCACGCTTAGCATGGACATCTGTTGCAGAATATTTCAGCTAAGCAGCTCATGAAATTATGCCCACTTTTAAATATTTGCTTCCGAGGGAGAATCCTTAATTTCTCGTCTTTCATTAACGCTTATTTCGCTTTAACTTCAGGTTGCCGCTACCAGCCTCCCACCATCACAGGGGCAAATTGGCAACAAAGCCACGCCCTACGACGAGGATTATCCTGTCATCTTCAACATAATCCTATGGTTTGCCATAGTCCTAGCCCTAGCCATTTACGCAGTGGCTTACAGCTTATGGAATTTGGATCCTGGAGACACGATCATCTACCGGATGACTAGCCAGAGGATGAAAATAGATTAAGGATAATCCTCAGATTAGCTTAATCCTGTCAAGGATATACGGTAATCCTCTTTTGAAGTCATTCCATTTGTGGTGTATCATAGGATATTAATTTTTACTCATTCATAATCCAAGGGATTAGTCGTAATGAAAGATGAAAATAGATTAATTAGTAATCCCCAGCAATGCGATAGTCCTCATAGAGATGTGATATTTTTTTGAAATCATTTACTGATCTGTTTAGGATATAATTTTTGTGTGTCAATACCCGTGATGAGTTAAAATATGGGATTAAGTTTTGAAAGATGATTTTCATTAAATGTGGGCTAACTTACAATTAACTTACAATTTAATTAAGTTTCAGTATACATGTATGCATTATTCCATTTAAACCTGATATTATCTGGATTAAGAAAATGAGCTAATCCCCTCACAATTATTGATATAATTGTTTTCGTCTTTGATAAGAAACGTGCAGGAATTGGTGTAGAAACATAATTTTTGTAAATTGTTTTTGACGTTTAGTTAATAGTTGCAACTCGACAAAAAATATATAATATACTTACCCAGCTTTTGAATGTACCCTCAGTGTAACAAGTACTGTATAAGTATATTTATTGTTGACAAGTAAATAATTGTAATAATATGCAATTTATGTAAAAGTTTTATTGGCAAATAGCAATATTGCAACGGACCTAATTATTTTCACATTTACAACCAAGATAGAAAATGTTGTAGAATAACAAGCATTTAGAGAAACAAATTCTTAAAAACCAAAAAAAAAAAAACATGGTAAATATAGTCTGAACGAAATTATGGGTATAAAGGTTAAACTAAAGCATGTAACACGATAACATTAACACATTCACTTACAAAAAAATAAAGACAAGTCGAAATTGTGAATATTAATATTATTGCTATATTGTGAAGAAAGGAAAGCACAAAACCTTCGAGAATTTGTGAAATCTAGCAAATTAATAATTACGGGCAGTTCTTGTAAAAATTTCATTTCATTTCAAAGTTTGACTCTTCACTGTAAATTTCAATTCGGCGGTATTCTGTTCTCAGTTCTGAACGTGTACACGTCGAAGATAGTTTAGGCAAGAATTAAGACGACAGAAGTGTAATTTATTGCAAGTAATAAAAGAGTATCAGTGTGAACCGTGCATTAGTTGGAATCGTAGATTGTGAATGACAGCGAAAAAAAAAACTGCGAAAAGAGTTTGCAGGGAACTTATTATTTCCGAACGTGGATCAGAAAATTGATTTCTCGCCGGCGTTATAGCGAGTCTGATCTTTAAATAACGGAAGTCTCACTTGGCGGGAAAACGTAGAAAATATCGATGCATAAACAGGTGTAGTGCGTTGGTGTCAGTAAATGTTAGAAAGATATTTCTGGATGTTTTATTTCAAGTAATGTTTATTTAGCGATGAATCATGATTTGTATTTTATGGCTTTATCTCTCAAGTGAATAAGGGAACATAACAGATACTATGAAGGAATAAAAACAAGTCAAAGACGATCCTTTTAAACATTTTGAGATTTATTGGTTCTCAAGAAGCCTAAATATTCTAAATTGTATATCAGTATTGTACGCGATGATCGGTGTTGATTTTTGTACAAATATAATAAAACGTTCCCCTGTGTTTCTTTATATCCGTGTCGTCATTGTCGACCTTTTGGTAAATGTGGGTATTATGATTCGGGATGTACATCTGCAGCATGGTGAACACATTGGTGTCGATTTCATTTATGTGAATGAAATATACATCTGAATAAAATGAGGGTAGTAAAATAATGAAAAGAAATAAACATCTGTGTCTAAATACATTTAATAAAAGACATGTTAATTTACAGATACTTTAATTCTCCAACTAACGCCAAGAAGCAGAAAAGTTATTTTTCTGATCAAATACCATGTTCAAAATTCCCATGATGCCAAAAATGTATTATTAAACATCTCAACTCGAGGAAAAGTAAGGGGGCGGAGATGGGTTGTAAATTACTGGGAGGGGGGAGGCACTTGTCATGGATGTGCAGTGGCAGAAATAAGGGTACAATCAACCTTAGACATAATGACGTCACAATTTGTTTACATGTGCACTTTCTTATGGGAACCAGGTGGAGCTCTCGTCACCACCTGGCTCCCATAGGAAAGGGCACATGTAAACACAGCTGGCACAGATCCAGAGGGGGTTTTGAAGGTCAACCCTCCCCCCCCCCCCCCCCCCCCCCCCCCCCCGCTCTGACACCAAAAAACTAAAATTATAACAATGTGCTACATAACCTATATGTCTGCCTGTCCGCAACAATCGGACATAAACAAATCTGACAGGCCTGACCCCCCTGCAAAAATTGCTGGATCCGCCCCTGACATCATTATGGCTTATAGGTCTATAGGGGGTGTGGCTAGGGAGGGGGGGGGGGGGGCTGGTAGACAATCCCTAGTTCAGGACAACTATTTTCTCCTGTGAGAGTGTATTCATTTAAAGAGCCATCACTGGCTAGGTTTCATGTGCACTTCGGATGGATCCAATGATGTGAACGAAGCGATCCGGCATCGTACCTCTTGTCTCTCCGTACCTAAAAAAAACATTTCCAAAATATGAATTTTTCAAAGTTTTTCAAAATTAAAGGGGCACTTTTGTAGAGCGCCTTGTACAAAACAAATTTTCCAAATTGCAAACATTATTTAAAGGGTTGATACGGTGTTCTCAAATGGGCTAAATGTCCTGCCCATTTGCAAATAGGGACAGTCCAAAAAATAACCAATTTCAACAATGGGCTGTACTCACTGTGAGAGAGGTAATTTCAGTAGCGTCTCGATGTGTCTCAGCGACTCTGAAGCGTGGACTCCCAATGCATCTAATACATTGCACAGATAGTCTGAAAAAAAAAATCATATTCAGTGGGAATTGAACCAATAAAAAATTGAATCTAAAAATTAACGTGGCCTGACTTTGCGAACTTAGCAAGTTCTTCTTCAGAGTTCTTCTTTTAGCCTCTGAAGAAGAACTTGCTAAGTTCGCAACGTCAGGCCACATTAATTTTTAGATTTATATATTTCAGGTCCATCCAGTCAGTAAGCAGTTTGCAGCAGTCTTACTTTTTTTTCAATAAAAAATTACATAGAGATGAAATTTTAAACAGAGTAACGCACTATTTTTAAGTACAACGTTAAAATGTAGTGAAAGTCACCTCATGCAAAATAGTAATTCTCAAATCTGTCAAAATTACGAATTGTTTTGTATTGGAATACTTTTTGTTTTAGTTACCCCAAGTCTATTTAAACCATTACCAATATCTGTGGCCAGCTGCCTTGTTGCATTAGGTGTGAGCTCCGTGATCTTCAAGATGGCTTCCACGTAGGTGTGCATGGTTCCCCGGGCTATGGCTCCCAGCCAATAGTCGGCCAGGTGATCGGGCGTGGCCGAGCCTGTAAAGTGAAAAGTCAAAAGACTATGTCTAGAGCTATGGCTATGTTTACTGTCAGAATGTTGCCATATAGTTGTAAATGGGTGAAGGCCTAGACAACAGCTATTGAGCGATTCACAGATTCGGATGCAGTCAAAAGCTCTGTGTGTTTACTAGCATCTGTGCTGTTCTCAGGAATTCTCCATATAATCCTGATGATCGGGGTAATAAATACATATCCTCCGTCACTTAGCTGTTTCAGCAGGGGGTGGATAGTTTGAAAAACTCGGTGCTTCCTCTACGTCAGGGCCCAATTTCATGGCGCTGCTCAACAGTTAGCAGAAAAGTTGCGCTTACCATAGCAGAAAATTGTGCTAACCTTAATTAGCACTCCTTCATGGCGTGGACATGCAAACGGTTGCGCGCGCATGGACATTTTATACTGTTGCATCACTAATTTCAGCAACTTGCTTTCTTCTGAGGTAAGCATGCCTTTTCTGTGCTTACTGCTTGCGGTCTCCATGAAATAGGCGGAGGCCCTGTTAGCAGAAAATCGTGTGCTTAGCAGCATCATGACTTCGGGCCCAGGATGTTCCTGGGATGAAAGATGGTCTATTCTTTTGTAAGCATGCTGGTCAGGGGTAGTAATGTTGTCTACTCCATCTCATACCTGTTTCTGGAGGGAAGGGTAGCTTGCCCGTCTCCAGGGCCTTCTCTAAGCTCGGATGCTCCTGGGAGGTGAAGGGTTCCAGTTGCTGTGGTAGGGTCATCAGGTATTGGCCAATCTAGAATCGAAGTTAAATGTGTGATAAAGAACTTTGAAAGAGTTGTAATTGAGTCAATCACAAGTGACAGCACAAGTCAAATGTGACAACTCCAGACAAAGGAATGCCTTTGCCACAATTGATATTGAACTCCAAAGGTTTGCCACTTCATTGAAAAATAAATGCCTTGTGAAGACTTACATCATCACAATTTGGAGTTGAATAATCTGTTACCTTGGTGATGTATTCCTGCGGCGACAGACTGTACTCAGGCAACTCAGCAGCTAGCATACCTCCCTCTGCTGTCCAAACCTTGACAAATGAAATGATACTCAACGACTAAAGAAAATTCGTTGAGTTTCTGTAATTCTGAAATATTGCACTATTGGCCCATTTTATGTTTAATTCACTAAATGTGAGTACCTGGCCCTACATCAGATATGAACCAGCCAGCCGACCCAGCAAGCTCGTTGGTTGAGTGGTTGAGACATCTGCACTAGTAAGCAGGTCATGGGTTCGAGTCCCATCCAAAGTTAGGCATTTCTCAGACGTCACTGAGTAAACAGTACTTATCATACGACGGTGGTGAAGGATAAAACCCAGTAAAAACGTTACATTTCTAAAATGCAAAATTCCATTTTCTGCCCATATGCCCACTATTTCAGTGTAATTATGTTGCAACTCATGACACTTTACTCAAGTCTGGTACCCCGACTGCTTTACCTCCATGTCAGATATCTGCATCAGCTGTGCCTCCAACTGATGGAACACGATGCTGAATGTGAACTTGTGAGCATGCTCGTTGACCTTCTGCATGTAGTCCGTGACCTCTTTCAAAAGAGACACCTCATCTATTAAAAAAAAAATTAAAAGAAATTGTGTCTAACTTTGCAAAGTTTGTTTTTTACAAAATAAAAAAATTGTTAACAAAAATGAACTGTTTCATATATTTTCAAATATTTTTCCTGACAAGTCACATTAAAAATGTTAACGATTGGAAAATTTTGTAAAAAAAAAATCATCTGACCTTGTTTAAGTTTGACGACAAGATCCACAAATGCTGCATGCTGACCTGGATCTTCTATGACCAAGTAGTTGTATTCCTTAAACGGATTGGCGGAAAGCGGGCTAGACACACAAATACCCAAAATAGAAATACATTGTTATTAAAATAAAAAATAAAAAAATGTTCAAGGAAGCGAAAAACAACAAAACTGTTTCAAAGAGTTGCAGTGTAATTGACTTTTTTATAAAAAAAATTTGTTGACGTCTTTCTTACGTGAGATTGATGCTGGTGATTTTGGTCGGTGAGAATGCTTCTGCCACGTGATTGGTCGCCGTGTTCAATATTGAGCCAATCAGCTCCAGCTCAAATTCTTCACTCTGAAGTAAAAGTTCACCTGCAAACAAAAAAATAATTAACATATTTTGAGGAATATTCTCATTTTTTTCCAAACCTGCAACATCTTGCTCTCCACTGGTTCAGTGACAACTGACTGAAAAGTCCGCATTTTGATATACCGTACCACATGTCTGTATGATCTTGAGCGCGTGTTGGAACTTGCTCCAGTCCTCTCCCAACTCGGCCTGTGAGGGCGCTGTGCTATCGAGCCCTCCAGCAGTGTGTAGGGTGTCGAGTGCCGCGTGGAACTTCTGACAGTAGTTCTGGAACATTGCCTGCAAAGTTCACAAAAAATAAATCGAATTTTAATTAGTAATTTTAACACAGTGTTACAACTAGTAGATCGTAGTATATCACAAGAAATATTATTACCCCCACTAATACGCTTATATCAATCGTGGCTGTTACTATTCCTGATTGTCACGCTTATAATCATTTCTGAATTCTTGTCAAGTCTCTTCAAGGCTGTCACGAATATACCAAATAGTTGAATATTTTATGATTTCAATCTTCAACCGAATAATCAAATAGCTTTTTGCTGGTTTAAATATTTAAAAATAAAAAAAAATACCCACACACGCACACATGACTGTGATGTCATTTATCGCAAAGTTGCAGCGCTTTATTGTCAGGTGCCACTTTCACGTTACCTTTTTTTTGATGGCGGTTCATTGTTCACATCCTTTTAGCAGGTTAAAGCCCTTTTACGGTTATAACTTGGATACTTAATGCAAAACACTCTAGTGCCCCATAATGATCGTCGCACGCAAATTTCAACTGGTGTAACTTTTTACACAGTTGTAGCAGGCAGTTTCGAATATCCGAATATTTGGTCAAACACAGTTTCGAGTAATTGAATACTATGAAAAAAAGTAAGACTGCTGCAAACTACTTACTGACTGGATGGACCTGAAATATATAAATCTAAAAATTAATGTGGCCTGACGTTGCGAACTTAGCAAGTTCTTCTTCTGAAGAAGAACTTGCTAAGTTCGCAACATCAGGCCACATTAATTTTTAGATTTAATTGAATACTAAATTATTCGAAAGTGGACAGCCCTACTTTCCAGGTACATGAATTTATCCTTATTTTGAGAAGCAATGCAGGTTAAGTACGTTGCCCAAGGACATATTCCACCCACCTTCAATGCATCCAGTAATCCTACGATGCCGCAGCCATCCGTAAGACCCATACACCTCTCCACGGCCTACAGAAATAAAGCAGTTGCAAAATTTGTAAAATAATGTAAAACTCACATTTGATGGTCATTTCTAACAACTCTGGAATAAGCCTCTGTACTGATGACGTCACACTTTGTTTACATGTGCACTTTCCTATGGTGCTCAGTGGACCGTGGGCCCCCACTGGCTCCATATAGGAAAGCGCACATGTAAACAAAGTGTGACGTCATTAGTACAGAGGCTTATTGTGTCGTGAACCAAGCAGAGTTTTATAGCAGTTTGTACTTATCTTACCTCATGTGCATTTTTGAAGAGTTTACTGACAGAATCGGACAAGAACTGGGCGCAGTCTATCAAGTCGCGCCTTTCCTGAAAAATAAACATTTCAAGTTGAATTAAAAATAACGTAATCTTCTATGTTGAAGGGTAGAAGGCTTGCAACAAAGTTAGACCTGTTAGAAATCTTGAACTTAGACCAAATGTTCAATATTCCCATTCTCAACTATGACGTTAAATTTGAGATAGGTAGATTACTGGTAATTTAAACCTACCATCTGAGTACAGCTCAGCTCCTGCAGTAAGTATTCCTTCTCCAGCCGGCCATATTGCAACAGATAAGGAACATAGGGAGCATGAATGGCATTCACCAAATCCTCAAAATGCCGGCCAGATGGAGAGCCTTATTAAAGGACAGAAAACAAAAAAAAAACATTCTTCAAGATGCAAGCTTTTAAATAGATTTTTTTTTTGGACAAAAGTAACTGAAAAAATAAAAATTCAAAATAGTCTGGTGCCTGTCATGTCATGAGAAACTTAAAAGTGATCATTACAAATGGGAAATGACAAAAGGGTATTCATATACTGCTAAAAAGTCTTTGGAAGAAAACTTTTCTTTAAATTTGACGAATTTTGACTCTCACCTGCAGACGTCTGGATTGCACTTTCAAGATTCTTGGTAAATCTGTTTGTTATCTGGAAACAAATATTTCAAAAAGTAATGATAAAGTGAAAGCAAAGATTCTGCCATTAGGTTACTGCACAGTGCGGAATTTGATAGATTCTGAAAAAAATCCTTTCAGAGCTTTTGTTGGTTTGAGTTGCAGATAAAAATGGGCCAGAAGACACACCCTTAGGAGGTTTAAACCAAAATATTTAAATTCCATGAACTTGCACCTAAATCGCGAGCAAGGTACTCACAATTCCCGTAGAAACAGGAAGAATGACTCGACGCATTGGCTAAGAACTCAAGATAAATTATTCACAAAAGATTCTTTAACCAGTTCACGCCGGGATTATTTTGATTATAACAGAACGAGGCGCTGGATTACTTTTCACTCGACCTCAAGCCAGGCGGGTTGAAGCCATCACCCTCGGGCAGCTCACTCATATTTCCAGCCTCGCTCGCTGCGAGCGGGTCGCTGACATATATTTTCCAGCCTCGCTCCCTGCGTGTTTATCGGTCATATGTTCCGAGTACCGTAAAACCTTTGAAGGTAAACACGTCATCCGGCGCGAACTGGTTAAAAAAAGCCTAATCCACTGACAAAGATTTCTGCAGATACAGAAAAAAAAACACACTAACCTGTCTTAGTTCCAGCAAGTTGGGCAGTGTGTTGTCTTGCAATGCGGTGTCCATACACGCTGGTAGGGACGGTTGTAGCCCCATCAGTGTTTGGGTTAGGAGCTCGCTCACCACCCTGACTGCCTCAGGAAAAACCTGCTCACACCACTTGATCTTTTGGAGAGAAAACGACGGGTTTATTTTCCTAAGGAGTCCGAGGATTTCAAAGGAACGAAAGTCTTCAATGTGGGTTGGGTGGGAATCGAACCTGGGTCATAGATGTGGAAGGCAAAGAAAGTCACCACTACACAAACCTGATGAAACACAGACAACAATACAGAATGAACTCTGTTTTCATTCCTACGTCCCAAGCCTGCATTTCCTGACTTCAAGACTGAGCGTTACATTGACAAAATAGCAAAACAAAATCAAAGAGAAAATTGCTAAATTGAAAAAAAAAAAAAAATTGAAGATGCCCGAAAGATTCCTACCTCTTTGTGCCACGTTGACAGCAGCGTATCGTAGAAGTTGGGCAACCATTCTGTGAGTGGCTTGTCAAGATTCTCGCCTTGTAAGTGCTGCCATTGCTGTAACAAGGAGCTCTGAAACAGAATGGGAAGACAATTAAGCACATTAACTATCACATGCTCAAGAAAAGTTTGAGAAGTGAAAATGGTACCCCCTTGGATTAATTTTAGTATAGTATAGTAATTGAATGACCCGTTAGTCCCTGTAGCGGCCCCACGTGCCCAAACGACTCCTTATACCTCCCCAAAACGCCCGTGCACTCTATGGTTTTCTGGATTCATCAAGAAGTAAATACAATGTTATTAGACCTGGGCGAGTAGTGTATTTTCCTACTCGAGTACTCGCAGAGAAATTACTCGCGAGTAGTCGAGTACTCACGAGTACCAACTTCTACTCGCGCCAGGACGAGTATTCGAGTAGATAAAAAAACACGAGTTGAACAAGGAGTAGCAAACACAACTCTCGAGAACTCGGGTTACTCGCCCAGGACTAAGTGCTATACAGTGTAATTATAACACAAGTGCTAATGGGTTTACTGCTTTGAATACGCTGACACTGAACAAATACACTGACATTACTTGCCTTGTGACATTTATAGTAGTAGTTGTAGAGTTGGGGCAGTCTGTCGATGTCCAGGAAGATTTTCACGTAACTCTGGGCAGCTTCTGGAGATGGGACCAACAACATTTATTTATCGATATAAGATAGTCAGTCAGTGGCTCAGTCGGTCAGAGGACTACACGCTGGCCTTAGCTTCCAGCAAAAATGAATCAGTCCTTATTTTCGAAATTCAAAACTCACCAAGTGAGTGAGTGTTGAAGGCACTGACGAGTTGCGGACTCAGCATGGCTTCCAAACGGTTCTTCAGTGTCTCAAGATGTTGGCATCTCTCCTCATAGTCACCGCAATGCGCCAACATATTCTGTGACACAAAGTAAAATGTTATGCAAAAAAACTCTACTGACTTTGTGCATGAACTCTTTGGGGGCTGCTGCCTGATATTGTTAATTGTAAGACCACTCAGGTAATGGTTCGCTCCACCCCCTGTTAAAAGATTTTTTTTGCACCGGCAACCTAACTGCCATCTCATTCCTATTGTGCATCTCAACAGGATACCAGTCTAGCCTGAGGTCTAGTAGGCATTGGCTCTTTATATTCCAGTAGGTCAACTTACCAGGCTGTGCTGCATCGCCATTAGTTTATCTGCAATCTGCAAAAATAAAAAAAAGTAGAAGTGATCAAAAACTGAAGAAAAAAAATATTTTTCAATGACATGGCAGGCCTATATTAAAATTACAAATTCAGTCCAGCTAGAGTAAAATTGCCACATTGTGAAAATGTTTAATTAGGAGTTCAAAATAAGAGCAACTGTTTTATCTTACCGCTTGGGTGTTCTTGCTCTGGAAGACTTCATCAACATCAGCCATCAGCGTCGTCCAATTATCAGCTTCCTAGAAATTGCAAAATGTGAAGACAGATTTAATAAATCCTTACTCCTTGAATTTTTTGCTAGAAACCTTCAAGATCGACCACTGTGAAGGACACCAACATTACATTCTCTATACTTCATCTTTTCATGGAACATTTAGCCCCATGTAAAATAATAATGGATTGGCTCTACATGTTGTACCTTTCTCTGGATGTTGTAACATTCTCCTTGTAGGCTTTGAAGACTTTGGAAAGGTTAGAGTTAAGGGGTTTGGTTTGATTATGAGTATTTATGGGTGCTGCTTAGCTTGAGAAACTCCAGCTCCAATACTCATCTGGAATTCGACATGGAGTTTAATTTGAGCTGGAGTTTCATGTACATTGTAGCCAGCGCTCCAAAAATGGCGGAGGCCATGAAATTTGGCCTCAACACAGCCGCTGAAATCATTTCGACATTGACCTCTAGCTCTACATGTCGAATTCCCGATGAGCAATTGAGCTGGAGTTTCTCAAGCTAGGTGCTGCTATACCTGCAATGCATCCGAGGCGGCTTTCATGCGAGACTTGATGGCGTCAATGTCCAACAGCATCTTCATGGATTGGGATGTGTCTTCTTCAACCTGTAAAATACAAACAAACAAATAAAACACACTCTCTCCATTTTGTTTGCATGTTTGTTCCACCCCTAAATTGATGTTCCCGTAACAGTATCTTACAAATGTTCACTAAAAATAAATCGTAAGATGAACCTTCTTGATGTCATCCTTGACAAGCTGCATCTGATCCTTGAGGAACGTCGCCTCCTGTCGGACTGCCTCTACCTCCCTCAAGACACGAGGAAGGTTCTGCACCGCCTGTTGACTCGTCTCCTCAAGAGAATTATTCACCTCCTATAGAAAGAGGGGAGGGGAGAGATGGGGCGGGGGAGCAGAAGATGAAGAAGATATCAAGAAAAGTAATGATGAAAATTATGATTTGTTTGGAAATGGATAAAGATTGAACACGGTACAGGATCCTAAATCAAGAGATGGAGCTGTTCAAAGTAAAAATTATGTTTTATACATTTTCGATAGCTTCTTCAAAAGCCTGGCTTTTGACACTTTTTAAATTACCTGAATGAAAAGCTGTAGCTTCATGACCAGTGTTGCAGCATGGGCCTGTGATGACAAAAGCAAATGAGTCAATTTCAACAAAAATGAAGCGATCAGGCCTGACGTTAAAACTTAAATGTCAAAAAGGATAGATCTATTCAGTCTTTTTTTAATGAGTTTTATACTTACATCTTTCTGTTCAGGAGCATCTTTTTGGGCTCTGAATGCAGCATTCACCCAATCTTTAGCATCAAAATTAGCATCCAGAAACTTGGAGAAATCCTTCAAAGAAAGGTGTAATCAAATGTAATACATGCATTTACCATATTTACTATGCAATTTTGATTTGGCTTCTCACGACGTGAACCACCCCTCGCCCCCCCCCCCCGGCCCCGCCCCCCTCTACCCCCCCCCCCCCCCACCAACTTGGCCAAGTTTAATTTTCATTCTCTTTTCAAAATGTGATTGGGCCTACTACTGATAATGAAAACCTCTTACCATCTCTCTGCCTCAATTGATTAATGTTTCAACTTAAAGGATAGCCCTTAAACAGGGCTAATATAGCATTTCATTTTAGGAATAAAGGACATTTTTCTCAATCTGATGATGTGGAAGTTTAAGCAGCAGCGGCGCGGTGTTGATGAAAGGGCGCCACCATTTGTTGAAGCCAGTTGGAGCTTTTTAGAATCCATGCTGCGTAAGGATTATGAATAATAATACGATAAGCAGATATTTGCACCACCTTTTGATCTATGTATCCTGCGACCACTTTGATGATCACGAAAAACCAAAACATGGCGCTTTCCACGTCGTCGGAACTAATCAAGCGTTGCGGTCAAAACGGACATTTTCTAGTCTTTTTGAAACTTAACATTTGGTGAAACTCACCATGGATCGGTCTTTGTTTGAGGGGGCGGTAAAACTGCATGGTTTGAAGTTGGACCGCTTGGTGAAAGAAGAGCAAGGGGCGAGTTTCCTTGACGATGTGAAAGAAATTAACGTTACCGAAGATGTAATGGGCGCCCTCAACGATGAGAATACTAAATCAAAGGGACTGCCAATTTCTTCTGTAATTGTAAAAGTTAAAGCTGAGAGGAAAAGAAGCAGAGATGAAAAACTCGGGTAAAACAAATATTTGTCAATATCAGAACGGCAAAAAGAACAAATTATTAATCTAGCTATTCTAGCCGTGATGGCGTGAACAGGTCTTACCGTTTTTACATACATTTTTAAATTAAATTTTCTTTTAATTTATTTCTATTCCACTTTCCAGAGACGACTTCACAAACAAACTACACGGCTTCATTGCAAAAAAGGCTGACCTGCTATTTAGACAACAAAACGATGATGAACATGATGAAGATGCAATCGCTGATAAAATTCCATCAGCAAAAGACGCTGAGAAATTGGACTACTATGCAATCCTCCCTCCGTTAGAGCAGTTTCTGGAAGTCGATCCGGATGTTTCCCAAGAGAGACTCTTTGACATTCTCAAAGTAGGTGATGCCGTCGTCGGTCAAATCCTCAGCACGAAGAATTTTGGCATCTTCGTCAAGCTCCTGGCTCTGTGCCAAGATACGCCACGCTTCCTGGACGAGTGTGAGGTCGTCGCTTTACTGCCAACTGGGGAACTGAGGGACAAATTTTCCCACGTGGCATCCATCGACGATTTTCAAATTGGCGACCTCCTGCGAGCGTTAGTGATCAAGGTCAACGCTGAGGAGCAGAAAGTCATCATTTCTTTGCATGCCAAAGACGATTCTCAAGATGTTGGAAGCTTGGTGAGAAGACACTATAACATTCATACTTACGAAGAAAGTACCCTTCATATCATTCTTGCGTGACCCGTCCTTTAGAGTTTAACCTGTGTCTACCTGAAACTGTTTAAAGCACTTTCATTACATCAGTCAAAATTAGATTTTTCAATGGGAGTATAAATTTTCCATTTTATAAATCATATCAAAGCAGATGTTAATATGAAGTCTAAACTTCGGCCTCATATTGGAGGATTTAATTTTCATGATACATGTATTTAGCAACATGTATTTAGCAAGATTTCCCTTCCCCCCCCCCCCCAAAAAAAGTCAATCTCTTGAAGCCAAAGGCCAAAGTTGGAGACCCAACTACATGTAAGAGTGAGGTTTCAACTTTCAATCAAAATACTCTCTACTTTCCGTTTTTGCCATTTTGCTTTCTCCCATCCACAGGGCCTCATCACAGAATCAGAGCTTCCGGTTTACTACCGTCGCAGCGTGCTGCAAATAGACACTCAAGAGGCGTACCAAGACATGCTGCATAACTCCGTCGGGTTCGACAACCCTTTCAATGTGGCATACCTCGGGGACAAACTTGGGCTGAAAGACACCTGCCCATTGTCCCTCATGAGAGGCTTACAAAGGTTGGATAATTCACAATAACCCTAACCCCCCAGGCCCTTTTGGCTAGGAACCACCCTCAATCCTCCAAAATCCTCCAATTACCACCATGTACAATTGGATTCAACCTCAATCCTCTAAAACCATCCCTTATTTCTTGAATTTGTTCCGTGGAGGGGTGACCATTGCCTCAATCCTTCGAAATCCTCCAACGATCACTCATAATGCGTTGAGGCAGTGCCGATGACATTCAGAAGCAGTGCGGATGAAATCGAGCATAATGCAGGGCTCAGTTATGCATGGCTGAACATAAGCAATGCTGGATAGCTTACCGACTCAACACAATGCATCTTCCAAAATGAACCTACACTTTTTAGCCATTCAGCCTCAATCCTCCAAAATCGTCCAAAACACCTGGAGGATTTTGGAAGATTGAGGATGGTTAGGGTTAAAAAGATTCCCATATTTAACTGTTGCTTTTTAAATATTCTCATAACAGTGTCATTGAAATGAATTGTTGGCATCTTTAATACAGGAGTAACTTCCCGGAGAAGGAGTATGCAGAACCGCTCAGAAAATGGCAGACGAATCGTTGGTCAATGGAGAGGTAGATCGCTATTCAATTATTTCAACGTGAACAACTTCATAAATTTCCATATCGGAAACTTTTTCAGTTGTTCTGTGCTTAAGCTGTGTGAGTTGTTTACTGTTTGTATTTTTATTCCAAACTGTTTTTCTCTAATCTCGATTGTAGTGTTGCTAAAGGAGTAGAGCATTTCAAAGCTGGTCGGTTACTTGACGCCATGCAGCATCTCAACAAAGCCTTGGAGATTGATGAGGAGAACGTGGAAGCGCTAGTGGCAAGAGGAGCTCTGTGAGTTGCTAAGGGAGATGGAAAATTAACCAAGCAGTAACTCGAGGTTGACTCTTGAGGTACCACATAAAAGCCTTAAAAAAACCTCAAGGAAACCTCAAGGAAACCTCAAGGGTTGTAAATCCTCATAAAACCTTGTGGAACCCCAAGTTATGGCCTGTTTAATGTAGCATTCTCCCCTAACTTAATATTCAAGGATTGTAAAGGAAATGCTGTGCATTGTGGGTACTGGGTAGCTAAACCCATGTCAATTTACAATGTAAGTACATTGCACATGTTGTGTACGCATGAAAATGTTAGCCTTGTTTACCAATAGGAGCTCAAGGCAATCTTGTGTTTGATAGTTCCTCACTTCAGTAAAATATGTCACATTCTTGCTTGCTTTTTCCCATGACCGCAGCTATGCAAACAAAGACCTGCTTTCCAAGGCTCTCCAAGACTTTGGTAAAGCACTCAAGATCAATCCCAACCATCGCAACGCCAACAGGTACATGTGCCAGACTCTCGTCGAAAGAGGAAAACAGTGAGTGTCAAGAAAAACTTCTGCTAAATTGCTTTTGATTATGTCTTTGGACAAAAAAATATTTTTGTATTTTTTTAAGGAAATTTAGAAGAAAAAAAAGGAAAATTGGAAATCAGGTCCAAATAATATTTTCCTTGTCGCTTTGTAACACCAGTTAACTTGAGATTTATGAACAGGGATATTTTGAATCCATCAAACTTTAAACCTATCACTTTATGTTTAGCTGGGGTTAAACTACCATTCTGGTAAAGTGTTACAAGGAAAAAGAAAGTGTGGCATGTTCGGGACAGACCATTTCAGTGCCAAAAAGTCAACCACTTTCTTTGACTTTGATCCTACTATTTTAGGCACGAGGAAGCTGGAGAAAAAAAGAGGGCAGCCGAATGTTATCAGACGGCCGTCGACATCAAGCCAGATTTTCTAGAAGCACAGCTTTGCCTGGACAACATCAATAAAACACGGGTGAGAATCCACTTCTAAACAAAGAAAGACCTCGTGGAAATACCTCAGCTTAAAGCGCAGAACGCTTGGCAAGTCTTAGCAAAATTCAGCTAAGATGCTATCAGCTGTGCACTTGATGGCATCCAAAATCTGGTAATCTGTTTCTTCTCACTGAATTCCTCGACACATGTATGAGCTCCACTTAGACAAAATTAATTTCCTTGTAGACTTTACAGAAACCATCCTAGCTTGTATTTTCTTGCTACACTGTGTTCTTTTTGTTTCTCTTGTCTTTTCGCATGGCAACATTCTTGGAATCTACCATTGGACGTTGGACTGCGATGTACCCCCTCAAACACCATTGACCTCATAATACCCTTTGAACTCTGACCTATTGCCTTGCAACCTTTGACGTATGGGTTCTGGTTCTGATGCGTTTATTGTCAACACTTTTATGGGATGATCTGCACGTATCCTTTGTGTTAAAAAATTGGGAAATTCCCATTTATGATTTTTATTTTTGTTTTTGTTTAATTTTTCCAAAAAAATGAATTGGTATATTTTACATATTATTTGTTTTGAAATACCTACAATGAATGTTCTTGTGTATCGATATATGACTTACTTCATACACTTGCCTAAATCTTGGAACTGCTTTTAATCCGTATTGTTAATGAATACACCTCTTATGCCAAACTGTTTTTACTGATGGTGTGCCGGTATGTGATTTTCTCATATTGAACTTCCATGCATTGGTAGAGGCCTGCAAAAAAGGTCACCTCACCTACATCCATCTCGTCCCCCTCCCCTAACTCACCTGAGGTTAAGTTGTCAGTAGCAGCCCTCCGACAACTAGTTGATCCTGAGAATGAGGTCTCAAAGTCGGCCAAGAAAAGCACTGTGAAAACCAAGAAGAAGAAGAAAAGGAAAGAACATGAAAAGGACAGATCGTCCAGGAAGAAGGATAAAGAGGACAAACAAGGAAGGAGTCAAAGCAGATCTGTCAAAAAGGAGGGGAGGTACTCCAGCCCTGAGTCTTCCGAAACTCCAAGCGCGAGGTCAAGAAGTCGTAATAGAAGTGGTAAAAAGGATTCAGGAGATGGGAGAAAATATGACAAGTCGCTCTCAAGAGAGAGCAAGAAAGAAGCCAAAAGGAGAGTAAGCAGGCAGTCTGCGTCTTATTCCAGAAGCAGCAGCTCTGATAGGTCCCGATCTCAGAGTTTGAGATCAAGGAGTCACCAGCTGAGTGGAAGGAAGGCTTCCAAACATGCTAAGAAACGAAAAGGCAGGCGGTCTTCTTCAATCTCAAGGAGCAGTAGCTCTGGTAGTTCTCAATCCCCTCGCTACAGATCTAGATCAAGATCCAAAAATCGGCACCTTATAGCCAGTACAAAACATACAAAATCTTCATCCAAGAGAAAGTTGGAGGTAAAACCAACAGGTCGGCACTCTGTGTCAAGAAGTAGGTCTCGCTCACCATACACAGTCAGTGAAAGCTCTTTGTCTCCTCAGAGGTCCAAATCTAGAAGTCTTGACCGTAGCAGAAGAAAGAGTAGGACAGAAGAGCGAGGCAGCAGAAGTACTAGAAATGAATCTAAAACTACTGGAAGAAGTCCCTCTCATTCCATATCTCCAGGAACCAGACATAGAACTCTTTCTGGAGGTTCTAAAGAATCAAGAAGTAGTAAAACTGACTCTATGAAAGCACATGGTGGACACTCGTTGGTTAAGAAACTTAAAGCAGCATCGGGTGTTCGAGAAACAAAAGAAAGTAGCCAATCAAGATCCAAGTCAGATTCCAGACAGCACTCTTCCAGAACAGATGATAGAGAAGACAATCCCACAGATGGGACATTCAAAAGTAAAATGAACAAAAATCTTGAGACATCCACCGTGAAAAGTTCCTCTCTAAAAAGAAAACAAGATGTACATGATGTTTCAGATGATGACAAAGCTTCTAGGAGACTCAAAAAGAGGGGAGAATTCCAGGAAAGTGAAGAACTTGACAAAGTGAAACTTAAAGACGGCAAATATAGGCACCAGTCTACAACTGAAACCGGAGAAAGGGCAAGGGTGGAAAAGAAAAGGACAGGTCTAGACAGAAGGTGCACTCACTCAGACACAGAAAGTAGCAGTAAAGAGAGTGATAAGGATCAGAGTAAGAAGCATCTTAGGAAAACTGCTTCTCAGCACTCTTTCCATTCTACCTCAGATAGATCTAAAAACAGTGCACAAAGCTCTCAAGGTGCAAAGTCCCATGACAGAAGAGGAGACAGAAGACCAAGCCTTGGAGATCACCATCGTCGAAGTAGATCCAGGAGCTTCTCATCAGATGGAAGCTATTCGAACTCAAGCTACTCCAGTTACAGTGTATCTGGAAGCCGCTCCTACAGTTACAGTAGCTACAGCAGCTCAGGGTCATACAGCGACTCGGATGACAGTCGCAAGGACTCTAGACATAAGTCTGACAAATCAAAGAGCTGCTTTAAGCAAACCAACAAACCTGCATCGAAATCAAAGACATCCGAAGTGAGAGAAGACAGATATAGAAATGAACCAGGCAGCGATGAAGAAGATGACAGTGATAGCGATGTGGATACCGGTATCTATGAAATCTCCAGGGACCATCTGGAAATGTATATGGACAGCAAGAGCTATCAGCTCAAGAAGGAAGATGATGTTTCACCCCTGAAGCGGAAGAAGAGATTGAGATCAGATGAGGATGAAGTTGTGAGCGACAAAAAGATAAAGCCTGAAAAGAGGAGAGGAAAAGAGACTTCTGACGATGACAAGAAGGAAAAGATAGCTTCCTTCTCGCATGGAAAAAAGGAGTCACAAAAGGGATCCAGGTCAGAAGCTGTCCCTCCTCCAAAAGGTGATTCTAAGGTTCCTGTAAATGTACATCTGCCTCCTCCATCCAGGACTGTGGCCACCGTCAGTTCTCTCAAAGAAAGTTCCCACGCAGCTAGTGTTTATTCATCTCTTTTGCCTGCACCCAACCGGGGTTTAGAACCTCATATACAAGCAGTCCAGCATCAGTCACCAGGTCCTAATGTCGGCATCGCTCAGTCAAGAGCTCCAATTATTGGCCTCAACCAGTCGGCTAAAAGGAAACAAGAAGTTGAAGAACAGCCAGCAGTACTTGACAGATTTCCACATATAGCTGGAAGAGCTGATACGATCCATCAGCAGCAGCAGCATTCAGTGTCTGAAAACCAACAGCCTTTCACCTCTGGATCGAAGGGCCATAGATCAGGACCAGCTGGTATGTCTCTCCAGGATAAAATAATAACCTCTCACAGAAGTTCAACTGGAAGGGCTTACGAGGTGGAACCCTCTCAAACATTTACTCCGGAACAGTTATCTGTCTTAGATTCTATTTCAAAACAGCTGGCCCAAACTCGTCAAGAAACTTCACACGCAGCCTCTTCAGAGAAGCCTGTTGATGCAAACCCTGCACAGTACCATCAAAAACATGAAAGAGATCAAGTTCAAGGGTCATCAGAGGTCACAAATCCAGTACAGGGTCATCAAATAGGGGTCATTATGACTCATCGGTCCAGTGATATATTTGGGCAAAGCGATAACCATCAGGAAACGTTTGATGGAACCAATCCGTCTTTTGATGATCACCACGCCAGAAATAGAAGAGGTACTGGTAGATGGGACGTCAAGATACCCGAAGACGGAGGTTTTGATTCTGGACATCTAGGAGGAAGTGAGTTTTTCTTTGCTGATAGTAAACCCATCCCGATTTCAATTGACTACCAACATGGAAAAGACATCAGCTCCTCCTTTGACATTGAACCTGAAGATTATCGGGAGAGAGAGGCATTCGTTTCAGGCTTGCCAACAGGCTCTGTAAGACACATTCAGACACATGGCATGGATTGTACAGGAGGCAGTGCGCTTGAAATAGAAAAACTGATCAAGGAATCACGTGAGCACAGTTGCCAAATAAGTGAGGATTTACCGAGACACAGAGGTCATCACAGTAGCAGAGGTGAAAGGTCACGTGACAGGCCGAGGGGTGAGAGTTCAGATTTTAGGACTTATGGCACAAGACATGACCACAGTGAAAGCAAAAATGTTGATGCAAATAAAAGTGCCTCTAAGGTCCCCGTTGTTGATTATCAGCATGGACAGAGTGGCAGTTACCATGAGAGACAGAGATGTACGAGTGATGAGAAGATGGATTACAGATATGAGAGAAGACATCATGACAGAGTCGGTGGAAGACACCCTGGAAATCACAGATCTGCACCCGAGAGACATCACCACAGAGGCCCCAGGAGTTATGAGCAGAAATCGGTAGACAGACCCTATCATGAGCGAGACCGGCACGGCAACACACAGAGAGACAGACACCACAGCAGATCTAGTGGCACACACGGTGGCAGACGCCAGAAGAGTGCAACGCCAGTGGAGCCGAAGGAGAGCAACCCCTTCCTCCAGCTTGTTTCCTCCACTAAGGACATGCAGGTTGCGTCGCTGCACAGCGAGGGAAAATGGGGGCCAGACTCCAGCCCAGAAGATATGAAATCATCATCTCGGTCGTGGTGGTTGTGATTTTACATCGCTGAAAGTTTAGAACCTCATGAGAAGAGATTCAGAAGCTACTCCAAGCTTTGGGAGAAGACTTCCGTGAAAATGTGATCGATTGATGGCGGCGATATCTTCCCCAAAACTTGGGATTAGCTTCAGAGTCTCTTCCATTGTTCTAGTCAAATCCATCACAAATCTGGAAGTCCAGTTACAAGAATGACATGTGATGGACAATAACAAAGAATTTATTTTGTCACAGTTCATTTGAAATCGTGTTACATGTACTTGACTTGATCGAATTGTTCTAGTCAAATCCATCACAAGTCTGGAAGTCCAGTTACAAGTTTGACATGTGATGGACAATAACAAAGAATTTATTTTGTCACAGTTCATTTGAATAGCTTGTTATTTGACTTGATCGAGACTGGAAGAGACTTTTCAGGATTTGTTAATAAGGACTCGTGATGGACTCGATTACAACACAATACATGATGCATTTTTAGTCACAATATCCTGGTTTTCATTTTACAGAAATATCTTTTCAACTCTTGAGGGCATAGTTTTGTACCTGAGCAACAAGGAAGGTCACCTGTATTATTTCTATTAATAAGTGCCTTTGAAACCAGTTTTGGAAGGGGTTGGGGCATAGTTGTGCTCTGTAAAGATGAATTGTACATAATCATTTTTGAAATGTGAAAAGATGTTCAAAGTACTCTTCCAAATTTCTCCTCGCCCCCACCCCAAAAAAAGTAAACTTATTTTGTGTTGTATCTTTAAATTATGCCAATGTACGCATTAATTATGAAAAAAAATGTTTGGATATGTTGGACGCGATCGATGGATCTATTCTACGTGAGCGGTCAATCGTGCCCTCATCGGTCGATATCACCGCCATCAATCGATCTCATTTTCTTTCCAACTTGCGTTTGAAAAAAGGAAGTAAAGCCTGAGAATTTTTACAGGATCGACCGATAACGCATTTCCACTGATCGTACCCAACAGATATTTTATTTACTTGCAACAATGTCGATTGCTCAGTTGTGTGAATGGATGCAAGTTGATCGTCTTCAACAGAAAATGAGTGGGTCTGAATGAGTCATATTTGAAATTCATTTTTAAATTCTTGCTTACTTAAACTTAAACCATGTGTTTAAAAGAATTGAGACACATCATGAAATAAAATAAACCACTTTCATGTAGAGACAACTAAAGTTAATATTTTTTGTTTATAATTTCAGCACAATATTATGAATCATATTTGCCAACAAAAATCAAAAATTTGCAAACGACTAATCAGTACAGAAATTCCTTAGCAATCCAGTCATACTCTTTATTTGACCCAAAATAGTGAAAATGTGTACGAAATTATGCAAAGTATGACAAATCATACCGAAAACAGTTGCACTTCTGTATACATGCAAGTTGTGGTTCACACTCACCTTGCACATATACAAAAGTGCAACTTTTTTTCGGGAGCATTTGTCATCAATTGCATAACTTTGTGTACATTATCACTGTTTTAGGCCAAACAAAGAGTGTGGCTGGATTGCTAAGGAATTTCTGTACTGATCAGTCGTAATTTGAGCAAGATGTGCACAGTAATATTTGAGTTAAACAAAAAAGTATTAAGGGGGACTTTCTTTTTTGGTAGAGTGTACATTTTTTTTGGTATTTTCCAACAACCATGTGAGATTTTTCTGTCCCGTTAATACATCATGTATAACTTTTCTTCAGGCTATAAAACATAAGCAGCTGCAACTTGCATATATTGCAAAATTATAGACATACACATAGTTAACAAATATCACTGTAATTTGTAAACATATCTTGATTTTTATTTCATCAAAATCCATAAAGCAAAACTCAAATTACATGTATACCAATCTATATGACCTGAGATTGTCATGCAGTTCCTGATCATAAAATCATGCATGTTTACACACACACAAAATTCGGCTCAAAAAGTAACCATGGAATTAATAATATTTTGAGGAATACCAAAACAAAAGTATTAATTCGACTTTGCCATTTTCCATACCAAGTTAATTATCTACATGTACATGTGATATCTGCGAGTAAGGATGATTAGCCCCCTAATTATCATTATTTTTTATTATTAATAATAAAGACTTCAACAAATTTATACATGTATAAGTCATTCTCAGCTTCTCAACAAATGTACACATACAATGAGGAATACTAAACATGAAGCTCTTGCTTTCAACTGCTTAGTGGAAATCTTTAAGTCCTTGGGACCAACGACATTGTGTATTTGAATACAAATCTAAATTAACATTACCGTACATGTATATCACAACAACTTAAAAAAAAAACATAAAAATTTATACACTGTAATTATTAACTACTTATTCAGTATGAAAGTGATTAATCTTGAATTTGGACTTTAATTTGCTGTTTATAAAAGGTCAAAAACGGTCAAAGTTTTCTTCCACTTCCCCTGGCAGTGTTGTAGTCGAGACCTGAAAGCTCGAGACCGAGACCTGAGGACCGAGACCGAGTAAAATTGGCATGAGTATTCACACGTATTGGTCCAAATACTCTGGTACAAAGATATGTTATATGATATGATATGATATCTAGTCTAGAGTATTTTTTAAAAAGGTTTCCTGAAAACACTTGCTTTACAGAGAACACCTGCATTTTTCTCAAAGCTGATTTTCATTAACTTTTATTAAGGAAAATATCATTCAGAGTGTCTATTTCAACTTTAAAGTGGTAGTAGTAGCAAAAGTCAACAGTAAAAAAACAAATATGGTATGATTTTCCCCGAGTGTTAAGACCTGCATCACTGTCCCCTTGTATACTTCTAACACGCCAATGGGTCACTTGACCAATATTGACCCAAAGTAACAGCACGGCTCAGAATGCATGTTTGCATAGGAGGGTTAACCCAGGGAAAGCAGACATTCTTCCAAGATTGCCTGGTTCCCTGAGGTACGACAAAGTCCCTGGTAATAAAATTCTGACTGAAGTCATCAGCCCCCAATGAGTATAAAGATTTTTTTTGTTGGATCTCACCAAGTATACCTAAAGCAGTTGCGGATCTAGGGGGGGTTGCACCCCCCCCCCCAAGAGGAACTGACTTATGTTATGATACTTGTAAAATGGGGCCAAAAACAAAAAATTGGAATGCTTAGGTTCCTAAATTTCTTCTCACGCCTTCACTCATCCCCCCCCCACCTTTCTGGAATACTAGAGCTGACTAAGAAATTGAGAATCTCCCTCCCACCCACCCTCACCCCTCCCCAAAAAAATGATGCACAACTCTGAAAAACTTCCTCCGCCCTTACAGAAAAGTTCCTCGCCTTTAACTTTGTCTTAAGTGACTACATGTATATTCCCCTGCGGAATGGATGACCCAATGGAACCGCTGGTCCGATGGGTTATATCTTAACCCCCAGCATGGTTCTGATCTTGCTATGCATCTCGTCTCGCTGCAAGTAGGCCGACGTCATTACTCGGTTACCGGTGAAAGCCGAGCGTCCGTGCAGCAGCCGCCAGTTGTCGATGAGCATCAGTCTGCCGGGTACCAGCTTGACCACAAACTCGCTGGACGGGTCTTGCAGGATGGTGGCGAAGGCTTTGTTGGCCGCGTAGAAGCGGTCCATGTCTCGAAGTGTGAAATGGGAAAGGACACCTCTGTCCAAGACATTGTACCTGTGAAGATCCAATCCAAAAGGCCAATTTACGATTATTTATATCAGGCTTCCAGCGGTAAAAATAAATCAGCGTATTGCATGCTTTCGTAAAAAGTACCCAGATGACTGCAGTATTGTCATCAGTAAAAGTCCCCGGACGAGGACAATATTATTTTTGATACTGTCCTAATTTGGGCATTTTAACAAATCTTGGTGGTTCTTGCCCAATCAAGAGCCTAGAAACTCACAGTTGTCAACCAGGTTGTCAATTTTGGTTGTAAAAAATATAAAGCCTCGTCAGTCCCGACTGTGCATTTATGTGCACAATGAATGGGACTAATGCTCCTCCTTAAACACAATTCTGATATAACAAATATTTTGGGCTAGGTCCTGTTGAGTTTGTACTGCCGGGAGTCGACTGTAATAATAATATTGGATGGCTTTTTTTTCAGGGATACAAGAATATATTGCACTCGCTATAACAATACTGCACAAGTCGAATATTGTTATAGCTCGTGCAATATATTCTTGTACCCCCCTCACATACAAGAATATATTGCACTCACTATAACAATACTGCACAAGTCGAATATTGTTATAGCTCGTGCAATATATTCTTGTATCCCCCTCACAGAAAATGTTGCGGACAAACCCTCGTGCGACATATCTTGGATAATTAATTAAGTGACATCTTTAGGATTCTCCATCGTTTATGTTTCACAGATCAAAAGTAGAACAGAAGTAGACTCACCGAATCATCTGCATAGCTCCAGTAATGGGGTCGTTCTTGATCATCGTCGCATGAGTCTTGATGTCTCGTTCCTGGTCCACGTACTGCATGACAAGGGGGATGGTGCTGAGGGCATCGTAGTAGTCTGGGTGCTCTCGTTTAAGTTTGGCGGCTGCGTAGAACCCATCCACTAGAGGGTTTTCGCCCCCTTCCCCGTCGTGCTTGAAGCAGCTGAACAGAAGAGCCCTGTTTCAATCAGAAACCAACTCATTTATGTCTTTTGCCATTTAAGTGCACGGCGGGAACTGGAACCAGTCCACCGTTGCTGCATTGCAATAAGCCATTTGCGTGTAACCTATAACCTTTGGGATTTACATTTGAAAAACGTCTGGTACAATGACTTGCTCAGAATGCTTGGCACATTTTAACTGTGAATTCTCCAGACCAAAGACACTGTTGCTAATCACATGATTCGGGGCAAGCTCTTGCGTAGTTACGTAAGAGACACTCAGCACCAATACATCGTTCACAATGGGTAAGAATGGCACAAAGACACCAGACCATGCCGGAGCTGGGGGTTGCTAGCATAAGGCTTGCCCCGAATCACGTGATATAGTAACAGTCTCTTTGGTCGGGAGAATGCTAGGTTAAAACGTGCAAAGCATTGTATTAAGTCAGCGTTCCAGATTTTATTCAAATTTAACACGCAAATGGCTTATTGCATGCATTATGCACGTGTTGTCATCACCACAACTTGCTGATCCCAAAACAATAGTGCTTTCTCTTCAAAAATAGCAAATGTATTTATTTAAAAGCATTTATTGACGTAAAAAGGTTGTTGAGAAGCATTTTCGTGAAGACAGAAAATAAAACATGATTTAAATAAACAATTTAAATTCCCGATAAAGTCTTTAGGGTCGTGCTATAAAATTAGGGTAGGTGGGAAAACCGGAAGCAGAACTTCTTTTTAGTCTTTTTTTTTTTAAAGGTTTATCTCACCCATTCGGCTCATGAAAGTACGTGTTATCTGTATGAAGACTCAGGCTCCCCTTGGAGTATCCGCTATCAGCAATCTCTTGAGTAAAAGTCACCACGCACGCCCTGCCGTAAAACGTCTCCTGGAGGCGGGAGAAACGACTGGCCACCTTCTGCAACGGGAGAAAAAAAAAAAAACTTCTCTGGTCACCATAATGCTGAGTAAAAGTTTTAAATAGTTTTTCCTCCGGGTTTTTGGGAAAAAAAGGAAGGAGGCGAGTGCTTTGTTTTTCCTTTCTTTTTTCCCACCAAGATGGCGGATTTTCAAGATGGCAGTGGATTCTTCCATTTTCTCAACTCTTTTACTGAAAAAATATGTGTCCAAAAAATCTAGAAGCCATTAACCCTTTCTAAAAAGGTACAATTTTTGCTGGAAACAAATACATATCGGAGAATATATGTGCAAAATATTTGCAAAATGAAAAGCAAAAAAAAGAGGGAGGCGGGTGGGACAAAGGAAGCGGTCTGTGACGAGAAACTGCATTCTTTATTTCCTTACTTGGCCTTACTGGCATTGTATTAAGGCTTTGAGTTCCAAATTAATCAGACAGAATTACCAGAAAGTTTATTCAAGAATCTGTGTAACTCTCTCTTTGTTACGATGGGAGTCTTTTGAGACGGTGGTGGCGGCAAACACACAGGTCCTTTTCAATTTGTTTTCGTCATGTTTTAAAGCTAAAGGGCGTGTGCTCAATATGACACAAACGATGGAAAAAGGACCGGTGTGTTTGCTGCCACCACCGTTTCAAAAGTCTCCTATTAATGAGGTACTTGTTCACGGACTCAATACGAATGGTCAGAATCATCAATGTATACCAGACTATTTACCTCCACGTCTTCTGTATTTGGCTGAGCCCCGTTAATGAACACCAACCCCAACTTGTAAAACCTCTCCACTGCTTCCTTGAGACCCGTTTCGGTTTCCATAAACTCCTGGAATGCGATATCTGGGGGCAGCACGCTCTTTATTGTCGCCCCATCCCATAATATACGCTGAAGGGCCGCATTGTGCGATTGCTGTTTCGCACCACTGGGACCGAATTCCTCCAACCACTTCCAGGGGTAAGTGGTCATGTGACTGTCTGGCCCTGAAACATGAATAAAATGAAGGCCTTTTCAGAAATTCTGTTTGCTGTTATTTATTCACAAATTTGAATCATGGTGGCCCCATGACTAAACTTTAATAACCGATTGAAAGTAAATTTTAAATTGAGCAAACGACTTCTGACGTTAGAGGGACTCACATGTCAGGTCCAGGCCATCGGTGCCGCACGTCAGCTGAGTCGGCCGAATGTCCAATGGGATACCGACAGTGTCCAGCAAACGCTGGAAGTTGCTGTGGTCGAAACACTTCTCACACCTTTGGGCAAGACAAGTTTACAGGGAAAACAATATCAGTCTTGCCGAAGGGCATTCATAACATTATTTTGTGCAATGTGAGGGGGAAAAAAATGTCTGGAAACCTGAGGTGAGCAAGTGGACTAAAGGCATATGAAGGATTTTTGCTGGGGAGGAGGGGGGGGGGGGGCAGACTCTCCATGCTGGAAAGTAGCCTGGAAGCTGGCTGTGTGAAATCATAAAAGTGGGGGGTAGGGGGCTGATCTTAATATTGGAGGCGCTGTTCAAAGCAGACGATATCGCACAATCGTTAGACAATACATTTTTCATTGCAGCAAGTAAACAAAGCTGTAATACACAAGTACTATTATTTATTTTGTTAATTCCGGGGGGGGGGGGGGGGGGCTAGTTGTCCCTCCCCCCCCCCCCAAAAAAAAAAATAATAAAAATGGATATTGCTTAAAATGTGACAGATTATCAAACTAGTAGATGACATTGGAGCGTGAATTAATAGGGTAAGTGCAGACTGGGACCTCGCGTGCTGAAAAACATGCAAAACAAACTCAGGCCAACCCTTTACAGAAATGTACCATGAGCATCCCATGGGACCCCATGGGAAACCCATAGGGTCATCAAGAACACCATGTAAGTTGAAATGTTCACCATGGGAGATTTTATGTTCATCATGAAACCCATTAGAACACCATGGAGATTGCATGGACAACATGGGAACACAATGGGGATTTTATGAGCTCCATGGGAACACCATGGGGATTTTATGGACACCATGGGAACACCATGGGGATTTTATGGACACCACGGGAACACCATGGGGATTGTATGTCACCATGGGAACACCATGGGGAATTTACTGGAAAGCATGAGAACATATACTTTACTCATATATTCAGCTGACAAAATTCTCCAAAATCTTCATAAGGCAAAGAAAAGGTCCTCAGTATTTCACCAGCTAAGTTTGAGGTCTCAATTCAATCTTTTCAAGGAGACTTTTCTAGTAAAATTTTTGCACCTTAGAGTGAAACCAAGTGATTTCAATTTGAAGACTAAGACTAGACTGGTACATGTCACGATTTTTTCAGAAAGATGGACCCTTCAGCGGTCTAGTGGCACAACTGTAGAAAATGTGTAGAAATAGTACAGATGCTTCTTTTGGTGACTGCTCTATGTTCCGACACCCCTATGTTCCGACAACCTAGATTGTGTTACTCCCGGTTAGGGTTAGCGTTAGGGTTAGGGTTAGGAATTGGAATATGTGCAGTCGGAACATAGAGGTGTAACCCTTCTTTTGATACAGTTGACTGAAGCAGTACTAAAGGGGTGTTGGACTGGTTGTTTCATGTGCCAGTCTATGTTCTTGTGTTGCATTTTTTTACTAGTTTTTTACTAGTTTTGGGACTCTCATGCACGCTATTGAGAGTCCCAAGTTTTTGGACTAGCACTTACCGGCAGTGATCTCTCAACCACACGTAGCTTAACTCCCACGAGTTGTCTCCAGACTTCACTGTCACACTTCGCTCCTGCTCAGTGGCAACCGCAAGTGATTCAGACATCTTTTTTTGCAACTTGAACCATAGAGCAAGGACAGACCTTGCTGTATGCTTGAACTGATTGATGTAACAGGCACTTCTGAAAGGAAACACAAAATCCGGTAATTTGCCTCAAAAAATAATTTCACAGGTGTGGATTTGCACAAGACAATAAACTTGATTATTTAGGCTAATTGATTCACAATTGAATTTATAGTCCAATTGTCTTCCTCACCCAGGGGCATAAATCCGGGGGGGGGGGGGGGGGGGGGGGGGGGGGTGGAGGTACTAGCACGACAGACCAACATCCCAAATGTCAAAAAGGAGTTCTAGCGACCCAGTTAGTGGGACTACCCCCCCCCCCCCCACCCCCACCCACTTTTTAGACTGGGGGGGGGGGGGGGGGGGGCTATTGAATCATTCCCCCCCCCCCTTTTTGTGATAGACACCAAAAAAATGCGGATTGTGAGGTATTTTTCAAACATCCCAACAACCCAAATGCATTAAATAGCGCAGAAAGGTGGAGAAACAAAGTATAAAACTAAAGCTTTTAAAATGCGCTGTTTTGATGTAATTAATTGTAAGCGCGAGTATACATGTTGATATACAACTTCCTGAAGAGCGCCTCTACTGTAATACCCACCCATGGTCTGGTGATAACGTAGTACATTGTACTGCCACTAGTACGCCTAGTACTGGGACCGTAATTTAATGTATACATCATACATGTATACATGTAGCTCTATGGGCCAAGCTAATGTATGCCGAGCAACACATCACAATCTTGTCCTTGACCCAAAAACCCAACATTGCCCAACAAAAACATCAGATTTCACCCTCAAAATGGCCTACAAATTAGTAGATACGCCACCTGAGGTACAAGTAGACATCGATAATTACTTACGATCCGGATGAAAAGTGAAATTTCCCGTTCAATTCCGAGAGCTCCCCTCGCGATTGTGAACACGTTTTCCGACTCGTGCTAATGTTTGAACATGAATGACGCAATGTGGTCTTCATGCCCAGCGTACATTCGATGGTCCCCGTATCCCGAGTGAGATTCCATTACAGAGCGCGATGTATCGATTATGATAATGAGAAGACTGGATCATGTTTTTTGTTCGAAATGTACTTGTGTTTACAAACGAGATCCAGTCTACTCATTATCATAATCGATACATCGCGCTCGGTAACGGCATCACTATATAGGTCCTATATTGTTCATCATTGTCATTTCTGAACGAAATTGATAACAATATAATTACGAATCCTGCACCAGATTGTATCACCTCTACCACCACCCATTATATATAGAGATTTCTTACTTGGCCGTTCGATGCCCACAGGTGTAAAAGATTCAGCCCCACCCATCAGGTGCTCTAATTAATAACATTGGTAAAAATGCAGTCAAATGACTTTTTCCCAGAATTAAATTTATGCACAAAACAGTTTAATTCGCCGCGGCGCAGCAGTATGCAAGCTGAAAAAGATTGAAAATGTGTACTTGTTCAAGACAAGCGGGTGCATGTACCAGCGCACAAATGTTTTCGTCTGCTCAGTATTTTTCACCAGCTCCTTCGTCCAATCAAATTGGCTAGATTGACCTTTGACGTCACCCTACATACTTCTGGCCAATGAGAGACAGGCCACGCGATCACGCGATTCCCGTCTTACCAAAAAATAGGGCATTTTGTTATATGAAATTGTTGCTACTCCATCTGAAAATGAAGACTATTCCTTCAAATTTATTATTTTTCTTTCATGTACAATTTCCAATCTTGATAAAAATTCTGGCGTAATATTTAAATAGGTTTTAGGGGACAAAACTAGTATGCGGAGAAATACACACCAATTACTTTGGCCCAAGGCGCGCAAAGACCCCAGGTGCACCAGCCTGTGATATAAAAACGAAACTCTTTCACCGCTATATCATTGCGCGATGGAAAATTACCGAGAGCGGGGTCAACAGACGCTGCTTCGCAGCTCGCAATGTTTTTCCGCTATTTTTGGTCAGTCACCAAAAAAATAAATTGCTTCAAACTTCACAAGCAAGACTTGAGACATTTACCTTCGAGTCGACCGTCCAACCGGAAGCCACCAACGCGGAAACTCGTTCATCTTACCATGGGGAATTCCGGTGAGCGAAAAACGTCGAATTTGGACGCTTGGAGTCTGGCAAGTCGGCCAGAAATCCGGCCTCATGTACGGTGCCGGCCACAGTGCAACATGTCGACGCGCACGCTGACATGTTTGGTCGTCGTCACCATTCAGAAAAACTGACTTGAACTTCCCTTTCTGTAGGCCTACAGAACTTGTCATAGAAACTTATTTACTGAACTGAACTGGACTTCGCAACTGCCGCCCTTTAAATGCTCATTTTGTGCTGAACTGAACTGAATGCACACATGACATTTTTGTGAACTCACGATTTTGTCGAATGATCTGAATGACGGTTTTGGAATATACTCAAGTCAAGCTTTTGGAGTTCGTCGGGGGTAAGTCCAACTGTATTATGGAATTGTCGAGGTGAGTGTATTGTATCTTCTCCTCCGGTCACGCAGAACCAAAAGAGGAAAAAGCTCCTTTCGTCTTAAATATTCTGAGCAAAAGTACCTGGTATTTTCCTTCATTTTTAACCTCTATTTGCCATAAGGTCAAGCCAGAAAATTCCTCTTTGTGGTCCTTAAATCTTACATTTGACTAATTCTATCAAAACAAGCATGGTGTAGTATATTGCCAAAAAAATTAGTGTTGTCGTACATGAGGTTGTTTTTTGCATTGTTATATAATGTACCATAAAAATCTGTCATTTCCCCCTTATATTGCACTTTCAGTAGGTCCTATGCGTAGATGTAATAGCAAGAAAAGACACTGTTCATGTATCTGTTTACATTTTGCCCACAAAAAAAAATTCGTCCATTTTGTTTCTCCTTCACGAGTTTGTCTTTTGCATTGTTGGATATTGTCCGCGTACCGTTGAAATACCATTCCTGTAGCGAAAGCCCTTTTGATTTAGAGTCATTTGCATATGAATACATGCCAAGATATGTCAGTCATTTTGGTGCATTGCGCATTTTTACACGGGGTTTCAAAAGCCAAGAGAGAGCGAGTGGTGCGAGTCGTACGCGTGGGCCGCACGTGGCCGGCCCATTGGGCGTGGTCAAAGACTCCGGTGATTCTTATTGGTCGAAAACTTGAAAAGGCCGCGCGCGCGGTATGCGACCAGGTGCACCGTGTTTGCTACACATTCAAAGACATTCCAGCGAGGGGCTTTAGGGATTTACTCCAAAGTTGGAGTAAACATGTTTAGATTTTCGTTAAATCGGAGGGTTCCTTGGAATTTAATTTGCCTTTGATGTTATAATTGTATGAAAATGACTTTTTGGAAACTTATATGAGAACAAAAAAGTTTAGAGCTCATATTAAATTATTTGAAGATGAAATGAAAATTACCTGACCGCCATGAAATCGAAGAGCTTACAAAATGAGCCAAGTATATCATTTAGATTAATGTAGAGCGGTATTCCAATGGGCCAAAACATATTATATGGATATTGTATCCACGGATCTTAAATTTATTTTTCAAATTGCTCAAAATAATTAACTTTACACCATTATCTTTAGGGCAACTTATGTTGATTATGATTGTATAAATTTAGATTATAAATGACAGCCGACGGAATGATTAAGCTCATAAGAATTGGAGAAGACCTGCTGTTGAGTACAACGATAGCCAGCGATATTAAATTCGACGTTTTGAAGAAGTAAAGTAATCCAAGGATTATGATTGTATTAAATGAATGATTATGACTTTTTAAGGCTTAGGTTAAGGCGGGGTTGGTGGGGGTGGGGTGGGTATAGGCACATGGCGCGCGTAGGCAGCCGAGCACACCAGCAGCAGCGTAAGGGAGCGTGACCTGGCACAGCCATGGTGTAAAAATTAATTAATTGAAATGTTTAACAAAAACAAAATATATCTATAAAAAAAAAGAAGACTTCTTCTGGTTAAATTGTAACAATCATCAATTAAAAATCAAATACTTGAAAATAGTTAACGGTAGACAATTAAAAAGTGTATCTAGGTAGTGCATTCCAATGTAAGAAATATTACAAATACAATTAAAATCATCAATTTATAAGACTTTTATATCAAATTTGGTTTTGAAATTAATTAAGAGAAAGACGACACCCTTGATGGGTGCTACTATTGGAAAAGACCACACCCTTGATGGGTGCTACTATTGAGAAAGACCACACCCTTGATGGGTACTACTATTGAGAAAGACAATACCCTTGATGGGTGCTAATATTGAGAAAGACAACACCCTTGATGGGTGCCACTATTGAGAAAGACCACACCCTTGATGGGTGCAACTATTGAGAAAGACCACACCCTTGATGGGTGCTACTATTGGGAAAGACCACACCCTTGATGGGTGCTACTTTGAGCAACACGAAACCCTTGATGGGTGCTACTATTGAGAAACACGACACCCTTGATGGGTGCTACTTTAAAATAGGAGGGCGACTTTGGGGTAGTTTTTAGCAATGTTATAATGTAGGTGAGATATCGTCGTCTCGAGAAAAAAATGTTTCTCGGGTTGATGATATCTTGTAGGTGAGATATCGTCTTTTCGAGAAAAAAAATATTTCTCGGGTTGATGATATCTTGTAGGTGAGTTATCGTCTTCTCGAGAAAGAAAATATTTCTCGGGTTGATGATATCTTGTAGGTGAGATATCGTCTTCTCGAGAAAGAAAATATTTCTCGAGTTAATGATATCTTGTAGGTGAGATATCGTCTTCTCGAGAAAGAAATATTTCTCGGGTTGATGATATCTTGTAGGTGAGATATCGTCTTCTCGAGAAAGAAAAGTTTCTCGGGTTGATGATATCTTGTAGGTGAGATATCGTCTTCTCGAGAAAGAAAATATTTCTCGGGTTGATGATATCTTGTGGGTGAGATATTGTCTTCTCGAGAAAGAAAATATTTCTCGGGTAGATAATACCTTGTAGCTGAGATGTCATCTTCCTGAGAAACAAAATTCTGGGGTTGTTGATATCTTGTAGGTAAGATATCGTCTTCCCGAGATAATGTTTTATCACGGGTTGGTGATATCTTTTGGGTGAGATGTCGTCTTCTCGAGAAAAAAATGTTTCTCGGGATGACTATATCCGTTAGCTTGAGATGTTATCTTCCCGAGAAAGTAACATATTTCTCGTGTTGATGATATCTCTTAGGCAAGATGTCGTTTTCTCGAGAAAAAAAGTATTTCTCAGGTTGACGATATCTTGTAGGTATGATATCGTCTTCCCGAGATAATTGTTCACGGGTTGATGATATCGTGATATTTATATATATTTCCCGATACCAAATCAGTTAAATATTTAATTAAAACAATGATAGATGGCTACCCTCCGAAATAAAAAATCTTATCAATTCATGGCTACTACGAAGCTCTGTAATATATATCTTTCACTAAATTAAACTCATAAAAAACAGTATCCTTGACTGAATAAAAATCATTAAAAAAAAAGCTTTTCACTTAAAATGTTTTATTAGAAAATATAAATCAAATTAAGTTTTAATATTGAATTAAGAAAAACCAATGAAACCGATTTAGGCAAATATTTAAATGAAATATAAATTAATATGAAAGTGAATAGAGTGCAAGTGGTAATAAAATAATAAGAACAAATAAAAATTTATAGGGAGCTTAGCGTACTGCAAAGAGCGAGGAAAAAGCAGCTTGCGGGGCAAATAGGAACTTTTGGAATGGGGAGGGAAAGCTTTGAAAACTGAAGAACCAGCGATGAAGACGGAACCTCGGAGATATCAACACAACAGAAATTAATATCAACTTTAACATCATAATTATCAAATGAATGGCATTGCCTTGAGCATTGCCGCATGATAACCATATTAAGTTGGCTGATTATTTTTGTATAAAGACAAAGTATTGCCTTGAAGAATTAATGGTGTAAAGTTGTCCAAAATGCATTTCTTTTAACCTTTCCCGAAATAATCCTGCAAATTGTTGTGTTTGATAGTGTCCATTGGAATACCGCCCTCTATAGGTCATTGCACCATTAAGAAGGACGACACCCTTGATGGGTGCTACTATTGGACAGAGACCACGCCCTTGATGGGTGCAACTATTGAGAAAGACCACACCCTTGATGGGTGCAACTATTGGGAAAGACCACACCCTTGATGGGTGCTACATCGCCAACAAATTAATTAAACATAATTATTAATGTATAAAGTTGTAAAAATATTGCTTTAAGTATATTACTATTGAGAAACTCGATACCCTTGATGGGTGCTACTATATTGAGACACACCCTTGATGGGTGCTACTATTGAGAAAGATGATACCCTTGATGGGTGCTATACTAAGTTGAGGAAGACCACACTCTTGATGGGTGCTACATTGAGAACGACTACACCCTTGATGGGTGCTACTTGAGAAACACGATACCCTTGATGGGTGATACTATGAGAAAGACCACACCCTTGATGGGTGCTACTATTGAGAACTTGGACTACACCCTTGATGGGTGCTTCTGTTGAGAAAGACCAAACCCTTGATGGGTGCTACTATTGAGAGAGACGACACCCTTGATGGGTGCTACTATTTGAGAAGCACAGCTCCCTTGATGGGTGCTACATCGCCAACAAATTAATTAAACAGAATTATTGATGTATAAAGTTGTAAAATTATTGCTATATACTATTGAGAAACACGATACCCTTGATGGGTGCTACACGATACCCTTGATGGGTGCTACTATTGAGATACACTCTTGATGGGTGCTACTATTGAGAACGACGATACCCTTGATGGGTGCTACTATTGAGAAAGACTACACCCTTGATGGGTGCTACTATTGAGATACACCCTTGATGGGTGCTACTATTGAGAACGACGATACCCTTGATGGGTGCTACTATTGAGAAAGACTACACCCTTGATGGGTGCTACTATTGAGAAAGACCCCACCCTTGATGGGTGCTACATCGTCAACAAATTAATTTAAAAATTATTAATGTATAATGTTGTAAAACTATTGCAAGACATTGATTTGTAAAGAAGGCAAACATGGTTAAAGATAAAAGTTTTAAATTTCCAAGGAACTTCTCAGCACAATTTTTTAATTGAGACACAATCTTACCAAGCATCAGATGGGAAAGAAATGAAAATCCCGCCGCTTGGAAGTGTACAATGATAGGATGGTTGTTTTTTTTCTAAATAGCCAACGTTCTCGGGTGTCGGAAATCTGACATTTCCGAAATCTTAAAAAAAAAGACATATAAATTAAAAGGGCGAACATCCTTCGGCCCGGGTGCGGGTTAAAACACCATAGCGTTGGGACACTCGGTCGTAAAGAGTGCGAGTTCGTTTTCCGGAGTCAGTACGTGTTCGGGTTCGAGAACAAGAATCGGGAAAAAAAATCATTTTGTCCGATATGTTTGTGTATACAGGTAGAAAATAGGACGATGTACATGTATATCGACCTTCAGACGCGGATTAAAACGCTATAGCGGTGGGACACTCGTTCGTAAAGAGTGCGAGTTCGTTTTCCGGAGTCAGTACGTGTTCGGGTTCGAGAACAAGAATCGAAAGAAAAAAATCATTTTGTCCCATATGTTTGTGTATACAGGTAAAAAATAGGACGATGAATATCGACCTACGGGTGCGGGTTAAAACACCATAGCGGTGGGACACTCGTTCGTAAAGAGTGCGAGTTCGTTTTCCGGAGTCCCTGTGTTCGGGTTCGAGAACAAGAATCGAAAAAAAAAATCATTTTGTCCTATATGTTTGTGTATACAGGTAGAAAATAAAACGATGAATATCGACCTTCGGACGCGGATTAAAACACCATAGCGGTGGGGCACTCGTTCGTAAAGAGTGCGAGTTTGTGTTCTGGGTTCGGTACGTGTTCGGGTTCGAAGACCAAGAATCGAAAAAAACCTGGCTGTCAATCATTTTGTCCGATATGTTTGTGTATACAGGTAGAAAATAGGACGATGTATATCGACCTTCGGGTGTAGAAATCTTTCTTTGTAGAAAGTTTGGTAGAAATTCCCCCTTTTGCCACTCACAACCCGACCTAGATTTTGTCTGTGTGTGCAACTCAATCTTGTGTAGAAAAATCTAGGGACATGTGTCTTTTGTATACGTTTTGTAGAGTTGTAATCAAAAAATCCTTTTTTTAACTTAAATAGTGGTATTTCCCTGAAATTTGACTGGAATTCGTTGTGCAGAATACATAAGGCCATGTGTTGAAATCTAACTGAAATTCCTTTTTTTTTTGTAGAAAAGTCTTCATATGCGCGAAGCCTATACGCACTGTAGACTTTCTTCGCAACCTCATGTGACCATCTGCAAATGAAATGTTAAAATCTGCTTTTGTAAATATCCAGGGCCATGGTATACAAAAACTTGTTTTTCGCAGTTTTAATTGCTGTATCTACATTTTCTATATTGTGTCAACTAAGTTAGGGTCATGACGTGTTTAATTTCTTTGCTGTTTTGGAGAAAATATTCATACCACAATCGTTCGATTCAGTGAACAAAGTTACAGATTACGAGTTTGTGTTCCGAGTTCGAGTGTGAACAAAGTCACACAGTTCGAATACGACGAACGTTTTTAGACGAGTTCGAGTTCGTGTTCGTACGAAGTTGGGTAATAAAGAGTACTACAATACTCGATCGTGTTCGATCGTGTTACTACCAAGTTCTTAATTTTAATGATTTTTGTGAAATATAGTAGGGCCATGTGAATTAGTAATCATATTTTGCCATTTTGCTTATTTCTTTTTCAAATCAAACATTGCTCTTGAATCGGTGGTAAATCTTGCACCGCAATACCTTCTGCATGTGAGTTATTTACTTATCGACCCTTTGTTGAGATTTCGTTATGTAAAATATTTAAGGGCCATGTGTACAAATCAAACTTTGAAATTTTCAGTCATGTCTATACGTTTTCTCGTCGTTCTACATTGATGTGCATTGTGCAAAAATATCTTAGGGCCGATATGTTTGTGTATACAGGTAAAAAATGGGACGATGAATATCGACCTTCGGCCCGGGTGCGGGTTAAAACACCATAGCGTTGGGACACTCGGTCGTAAAGAGTGCGAGTTCGTTTTCCGGAGTCAGTACGTGTTCGGGTTCGAGAACAAGAATCGAAAAAAAAAATCATTTTGTCCGATATGTTGTGTATACAGGTAGAAAATAGGACGATGTACATGTATATCGACCTTCGGACGCGGATTAAAACGCTATAGCGGTGGGACACTCGTTCGTAAAGAGTGCGAGCTCGTTTTCCGGAGTCAGTACGTGTTCGGGTTCGAGAACAAGAATCGAAAGAAAAAAATCATTTTGTCCGATATGTTTGTGTATACAGGTAGAACATAGGACGATGTATATCGACCTACGGGTGCGGATTAAAACACTATAGCGGTAGGACACCCGTTCGTAAAGAGTGCGAGTTCGTTTTCGGGAGTCAGTACGTGTTTGGGTTCGAGAACAAGAATCGAAAAAAAAATCATTTCGTCCGATATGTTTGTGTATACAGGTAGAAAATGAAACGATGAATATCGACCTACGGGTGCGGATTAAAACACCATAGCGGTGGGGCACTCGTTCGTAAAGAGTGCGAGTTTGTGTTTTGGGTTCGGTACGTGTTCGGGTTCGAAGACCAAGAATCGAAAAACCTGGCTGTCAATCATTTTGTCCGATATGTTTGTGTATACAGGTAGAAAATAGGACGATGTATATCGACCTTCGGGTGTAGAAATCTTTCTTTGTAGAAAGTTTGGTAGAAATTCCCCCTTTTGCCACTCACAACCCGACCTAGATTTTGTCTGTGTGTGCAACTCAATCTTGTGTAGAAAAATCTAGGGACATGTGTCTTTTGTATACGTTTTGTAGAGTTGTAATCAAAAAATCCTTTGTTTAACTTAAATAGTGGTATTTCCCTGAAATTTGACTGGAATTCGTTGTGCAGAATGCATAAGGCCATGTGTTGAAATCTGACTGAAATTCCTTCTTCTTTTTTTGGAAGAAAAGTCTTCATATGCACGTAGCCTATACGCACTGTAGACTTTCTTCGCAACCTCATGTGACCATCTGCAAATGAAATGTTAAAATCTGCTTTTGTAAATATCCAGGGCCATGGTATACAAAAAGTTGTTTTTCGCAGTTTTAATTGCTGTATCTACATTTTCTATATTGTGTCAACTAAGTTAGGGTCATGACGTGTTTAATTTCTTTGCTGTTTTGGAGAAAATATTCCTACCACAATCGTTCGATTCAGTGAACAAAGTTACAGATTACGAGTTTGTGTTCCGAGTTCGAGTGTGAACAAAGTCACACAGTTCGAATACGACAAACGTTTTTAGATGAGTTCGAGTTCGTACGAGGTTGGTAATAAAGAGTACGTACAATACTCGATCGTGTTCGAGTGCGAACAAAGCTCGCATTTGAGCTCGAGTTCGAGCAAAGTTACCCGAGTACAAGTTGGAGTTCGAGTACAAAAATGTGTTCACGAGTAGTTAAATTACTACCAGGTTCTAAATTTTATTGATATTTGTGAAATATGGAATAGGGCCATGTGTAATATAGTGATCTTATTTCGCCATTCTGCGTCGGGGTTGGTAAGAGTACGTACAAAGTTACACGGGTATACCCGTTCGTGTTCGGCGAGTGCGAATAAATTTTGCATTTGAGCTCGACGGAGTCCGAGCAAAGTTACGCGAGTACAAGTTGGAGTTCGAGTACAAAAATGTGTTTACGAGTACTTAAATTACTACCAGGTTCTAAATTTTAATGATTTTTGTGAAATATGGTAGGGCCATGTGTAGTAGTAATCAAGTTGCGTATTTCTTTTTCAAATCAAACTTTTGCTCTTGAATCATTGTTAAATCATGCACCGTAATACTTTCTGCTTGTGAGTTATTTACTTATCGACCCTTGTTGGGATTTTGTTATGTGAAATATGTTAGGGCCATGTGTGCAAATCAAACTTTGAAATTGTATTCATGTCTACGTCTTCTCATCGTTCTACATTAATATGCATTGTGCAAAAATATTTTAGGGCCATGCATATTCAAAACCTTTCGTCGCCACTTTCTAGAAATTTCTGCCAAACTCATATTTTTGTCTCATGTTTTCTTCTGTATTTATGACATAGGGCCATGTGAGCAAATCTTACTTTGTCTTTGTGGATTATTTTAATTTCCACGGTGATGGTTTATCCATAATTCTCCGACATGAAATAGTCTCAGTCTGATCCTTGTCGAAAATGGCATAATAACATAGATTATTGTGCGTGAGTTGATCTTCTATTTAATAAGGCATCCGTTCCCAAAGATCGGCAATGCCTGTGTTAGGGCCATGTTGCTAATAATAATCAGGTGATGACACCTGTTAACTCGCATACTGAGCCCGTTATCACTTTGTGAAATATCCCCCGAGTCTACAGAGTAAAACAAAATGGAAAATTGGTTTATTTTAAGACCCACAAAACCAGTGGTGATTTTGATTGACATTAACTTTTTTTCCCGATAAGTCCGATCAGCGCAGGTCGGCAATTTGAATATTGTTTCCCATGTACAGGTTCGCGTTGCTTGCGGCAAGCTTGAAAAAGGTACACTTTCTAAGAGACTTCGCGACCAGTATTTATACTAAGTTGTCCCATTCGCGCAAACTGGAATTACTTCGCGACCAGAAGGCCAAGTAATAACTTTCTTTCTCTACGGTTGGACCCAATTTACAGTGGTCTGGTAAGGACCACTCTTATAGTTAGGCCTAGCAATATATCTTTCATTCATTGGTCAGGTAAGGACCACATTTTACCTGTATTTTCACTACAATAGTGGTAAGTTGACCAAGAAATCACTGTACATTTGTCATATCTATATATATGGTTGTATGTTTCATTCATTGGTCAGGTAAGGACCACATTTTACCTATTTTCACTACCGGTGCATTAACGTGGTTAGTTGACCAACTGATATCACATCACTGTACATTTTACTGACTTAACCTAGCTCTGCTAGGCAGATTTGTTTTCTTGTTTCTAAGTCAATTTTCAGCCAATTGCAGTTAGATTATGAGGACATGCCGAGTGTTGCTGTCAGATGGGGAGGAACCGGAAGCAGGGAGGAGGAACAACGGACAAACTTGAAGACCCTGCTTGCTGAGAATTCCATTACTGCTTTCTTGGGTAAAAACATTGATGATACTTTCCTTTCGAAAAAAGTCTTGAGTTGTCTCAAGTGGTTTTGCTTGTGTCTACGATTAAGACAATGATAAATCTACAAGAAAATTAATCTACATTATTTTTAAAAGAATAATAACTCAACACTTTCACAATTCAACAAATAAAACAAGAGCAACAGGCGCATAATTATCCCGCATACATTTTCTTTCATGTGTTTCTTCTAATCTTCTGGCAGAGTTGAGGGTCTGCAAGATGATAGATCATTCTGGATGAAGCTTCAGACGATTCCGAATCCCAAGGAACCGGAAGCAGGGCGGAGGACCGACGGAAGGACTGATGGCCTGCTTGCAGGGCAAGTCTTCAACAATTCTTGAGGTGATTAGAAAAAGATATTCAGATTTTTTTTTCTTTTTCACAATTTTTGTCTTCGCCTTCGGGCAGTGGCACACATCCATTTTTGTGTGAAATATCTACTCTACGTGCATTAATCCAAAAGTTGGTTTGTGCTTCGATTGTGAAAAAAATTGACTAAAAATTAGATCTTTTTTGTATCTTTGCAGATTCCTCTTGCTTCGTGTAAGCAGCAGAGACGGTGACAATATACATCACGGAGTGCAGTTGTTCACTCAAGGAGGAATTAACGCCAGTTTTAGCAACACTCCACTTTAAATTTTAAAATGATTCCTGAAAGATCTCAGTTAGTTTCTCTAAAAAAAAATTCAAATTTTACTGATCCGAAGAACTTATCCCTATAAAGTAGAGGGGAATGTCAAGTGATATAAAGACACATCCCATTTCAAATCCCTCTGAAAGGTTACGCCAACTTGAGTCCCCCAAAACGACACCCCGCATTAAGTCGAGGCCTACACGTTGAAAAAGTGAAACAGATGTCGTGATTATGTTCCTCAAACTTTTGTAAGCTTAAATATGCCAAGTTTAGAATACTGTAGTACTGTAGGGGGAGGAAGGTACATGTTCCACTAGAATATTCAACAAAATGTCTGTATTAAAATAACCGCACGGATGATCCTTAAATGTACCTCCCTCCAGCAGAGACGTTTGCTAGACTGAATCGGTTTCCATTTTCTGAGTCAAGCCTTAAAAGGCTATTTTTGTTTTCAAAAGTCTGAACAAAAATGTCTCCTTTGTATAATACACGTATATAACGAATCTTGTTCACACCACTTGTGTAGATTCGTGAAACAAGACAATCGAGTTAAACATTTCATTAAAAATGCCTTTCGCAAAAGTAATGATATGCCCTAAGCTTCGCTGTGAGTGGTGCAAATATGGAATAATTTACATGAACTATTATAAAGAACGATTCCCTAGGCACAAGCCATTAGCAAATGATATTTCTGCCACTACCACTTTAGGCCAAATATAAAATAAAAACATGTTTAGCGTCCTGCCAAGTTGAAAAAAGGAACTTAGGAGCCCCCCCCCCCTTTTCCCCAAAATGGCCGCCCGATGACCCATTTTGGCCAAACGACCGGCCGGGCTATTTTTTCAAGAAGGCCGCCAGCTTTTTTTAATAGCCGCCACTCGGACTCAGGAAAATACATACCAGTACTTGGAGTTTAAAAATACGACTTTTTCCCGAAAAAGATTATCATACATTTATAATTTTCAATTAAGAAAAAGGAGGCGGCCTCCAAAAAGGAGGCGGGCGAAGACGCTAAACATGACTTTCTTTTATTTCGCCTTAGTTCAATATGCGCTGATCTACGGAGTTATAAACTTGGTTGCCACGGTAATTTGGAGCCGGATCGTGAATTTCCCCGTGTTTTTTCCCAAGAGGGTTTTCGCGGGGTTTTCGCCCATCCCGTGTTCAGCAATTCGTGCCTACATACTGGAATGTTAAAAATGAACTTTTATATAGTTTTATTTGTGTAAATATTCGTATTTGCTTCATTTTATTATTTTAATAACTTGTAATTTATGCATGGTGCCAATGAAAACCGGTATTAAACTGTTTGGGCATACCATGGGTAAAGAAATGTATAAATAAATAACAGAGGATTGGAAATGGAATCATCAGCTTTTCCTATTTGTGGGTTTATATCGCCTGCTCTGCTGACAACCTTTGAAAGAGCTAATATTTATGAGGCCAGAAATTAAAGTGTGTTTTTAAATATCCTCGTCAACCTACTCATAACTACTACTTTTAGTTCAAGCATAGATGCACAGTTTATCCTAAATACTTATATATTAATTCATTTAAAGGCATTTCAGTACAAGCCTCGGCTTCTTGAAAGTGCCTCCATACCTTTATCTCGCATACTTCATCTTGTATATTTTATTCGATTTCTTGTTTATTAATGTTCTCACTTTTCTTCGGTGTAACATTGTTACATTTAGTGTTTTTCGTAATTGTATCATTTATATTTTTGAAGGTATGGAAATAAATGTTCTGAAAAATAATAACAATGATAATAAATGTCTTTTCTACCTAATTTTGTTTAAGAAGTTGAAGTGTTTAGCAAAGTGTAAAGTGTAATACAGAGCGAGTAAAAAAATAACCACTGCATCAGTGGCCTAAATCTGTGACGGCGAGTGGGGGGATGGGCATGGGCGTCGCGAGGGGGGGGGGGGGGGCAAGGGGGGCACTTGCCCCCCCCCCCCCCTGGAAAAGCAAACAAAATAAAAAAAATAAAAAAAGGAAGAAAAAAGGAAGAAAAAAAAGAAAAGAAAAAGAGGCGCGAAGACAAAGTGGTGTAAATTTAATGAGTTGGGGGGGGGGGGGAATGTCCCTGCCCCCCTCTAAAACTGATAAATCGAGAATGTGTTGAGAAATACAAGCCTTTTTTGGCAAAAAAATTTTTTGCCCCCCTTTAGAAAAAATCCTGGCGACGCCTATGGGAATGGGGGATGACCAAAATCCAAAAATTGCCCGGCCGTGGAAATTCAAAAAGGGGAGGGGGGGGGGCTGGACACCACATGTAAGGGGCGCTCTTCAGGATATAAATATGTATTTATTCGCGCTTACATCAAAACAGCACATTAAAGTTTTTGCACTTGGTTTCTCCACTTTTCAGTGCTATTTAATATTATTGGGATGTTCGAAAAATATGAAAAAAAGGAAATCCTCATTTTTTTCTCATCACGAAAAAGTGTGGGGGGATAGTTCAATAGCCTATACCCCGGTCAAAAAGTGGGGATATATATACCCCAATCCCCCCCCCCCCCACCCCCACGGATTTACGCCCCTGACTACTAAAATGCAGAGGATCCAAGTTTTATACCTTGTCTGAAAAAATGAAATTAATTAAATATATTCTCTCATAATATGTCATATTTTTAAAGCTTTTGATGCCTGAATAAATAAAAATGGATATCTGCTACAAAAACAATGTAATAAATTAGTAAGAAAAATAAACAAATCTCAGAGACAGTACTCAAAAACAAGCTCAAACTTACAAACATTTTAAGAGCAACCTGTTTTTCCCGAAATCAGGGTCAGTTTAGTTTTATTATATATTCATTTCTATACAAAATTTCATCTTCATCAAAATTAAATGTCATTTCACTTTTAATGTCATAAAAAATCACCCACATGTAATACAAATTATCGTCAATTATTTAATATATGCACCAATTAAGACACATCATTGTTTTGTCAATTAAGCTGTGATAACATAATAAATTCGTACTGAAAGATTTTTTAACAGTCCTCACACAATTCTTAAAATATATAACTATCACACATGCCTGTAATAAGTTTAATACAGTGTGACTGCCACTCCATTGATGCATAGTACATGTATTTAAAATCAATATATTATTAGTTTTTCCGTGAATTATATAAAAATCAGAATATTTTATAAAAATTTGTAATTTGAATTGAGAAGCTGTATTGTAAAAATGCTTTGAGAAATTTGTCAACAAATTGCCAAAGAAAAAAGAAGTTAGTACTGTTGATGTACAGTTCTGTTGATATATAGTGTTTTATGTTCAAGTAAAGTTGAATTCTCGATCCTGATTGGTCGATCCATGGCAACAAGCCGTGCTACATAACCAAGTAGCATGGCCACGGTCCATACCGCACTCCACGTATTGCGCTTTTCTAAGATGCACGGCCATTCCGTACAACACGTGCGTATATTGGGACAACCGCTGAAAAGTTTTTGTACAGCATTATTACGTACGTAAGTGTTCCATTTGTTACTGTGTGTCAAGTTTGCTCGAAGATAAATTTGTTGTCCCACTTGCGCTCGTGGAACACGGAAAATGTAGTGCGTCTACGTCCCACATACCACTTGGCCTTTGGCCTTGTGGTATGTGGGACACAGACGCACTACATTAATCCATGTTTTGAACTTTTTTAACCTTGTAAAAATGACATATTCAAAAGTAACCGTGGGTGAAAAAAGCGTTAATCGATTAAATCCAGTACTGCAGTAAAAAGGTTCACAAAAGACAAACGGTAAATGCAATTAACTTCATTTTTTACCACAAGGTTACTAACGAATAAGTCATTCTTACAAGGTTTAACAAGTTCCAAACTTCAACTTGGTTTTGAAACAAAGATGGCTTCTTTGCATCATTGCAGAGTTTTTTTACTCGCCCTGTACATGATTCAGCAACCACGAAAGTTACTGCACGGTACAAAAGGATGTGATTTTGATTAAGGGAATAAATGTGTGTTTCGGAGGTATTATAACACTCTGTTTAAAACTGGTGTGAGTCTGGATGGGTGATAATTACCAGACTCACACCGGTTTTAAACAGAGTGTTTAATACCGACGGAACACACATTTATTCCCTTAATCCAAATCACATCCTTTTGTACCGTGCAGTAACTTTCGTTACTACCACTAGCGGAGTCCAGGAGTTTAGCGCAATGTAATTTGTCTTCATAATTATCAATTGTAGCAGTTATCAATAACTTTAACGAGTGTCATCTATGATTCTGCTACTGCGTGCTTCTGTGACTCTGCGGCTTCCACCATCTTGAAAAATTTGGAGTCTGGATTTGCGAGAAGCGATGCCGGTTTATCAAACTCCGCAATCTGGGAATTCAAAATACACAGAATCGTTAAAGCTCACTGGTGGGACTGGTCAACAATTTAGTCTTTACACATGACCCCACCCAACAATGTGATAACCATATCCCATGACAACATCCAATGGGCACACCAAATGACCACACCCACATCATTTCCCAGCCATCCATGATGAGTACCCTGTATGAGTCTAAGGCCGTGTCCGAAACGGGCTTCCAGAGCTACGGCTATGTCTATTGTCAGCGCGTCCCCGCGTATTTTCAATGGGCGCAGACCTAGACCTAGCTCTAGACAACTGATTCGGATGCAGCCTTAGATGGTGTTGAGCTGGTGAACAATGGCCAGCTTAAACATAACCCCATCACCCCCCAATGACCACACCCAAGACCACACCCAAGACCACACCCAGTGACCTCACCATAACTGCCCCGTCATCCAACACAAGCAAAACAAGTACTCTGTCTGGGTCTAAAATGGTTTAGCCACTGATCAATCGTTAAGTTTTCATCACCACCCATCCCATATTCTCTCCCACTGACCACACCCAATGACCACACCCTCCTTACCCAGCCATCATCCATAACGAGTACCCTGTCTGAATCTAAGATGGTGTTGAGTCGGTGAGCGATGGTCAGCAAGGTGCATTCACTGAATGCTTCCCTGATGGTGGTCTGAATCAGGCTGTCGGTGTCTGTATCGATGGCTGCTGTCGCCTCGTCCAACATCAAGATCTGAAGGAGTAAAGATGTAAATGAAACAGCAGCCAATTTCATGAAACGGTGCGTAACTTCCGCCATGTGTAGGACTTGTGCAACTAATTTGGCGCCCAACTGCAAAATAAACTTACGATCAATTTCACGAAACTCGGCGTAGCTGCGCAACGTTTTAAATAAATCTAAACATCTTGGAGGAGGATAATAACTACATTTTCGATGGCTGTTTGTGCATGATTTTGTTTTCGGTCACGAAACAGTTATTGAATCATCTCCGCCCGCAATTTTGAAAATAGTTTCGTCCGACTTTGTTCAAATCTTGCGTCAACTCGACAAAATCCTTCGTTGTTATTCACCCCCTGTTACTAATTGTGAATTGACCTGTTATTTACTTGTGACGGGAATAGCACTCCGCACAAAGGATAAAAATAGAAGCAAGTACCCGGATCTCAGACACGCATGCTGTACGAACTTTTCGTGTGAAGATTACAAGATTGCAACACCGTTTCTAGACGAATGTATGCGGCCAGATGTGCATGCATGTGCGCGCGTGATTGTTCGAAGGTTTGTCTGACATCCGAGATATGTGTGCGTACAGCCCGGAGCAAAATTGACGTCATTAGTGCGGAGTGGTATTGTGACAGACTTGAGTATAAACACTTTTCTTTGTCAAATGAAAAAAGTCTGCTTGTCCGGCCTACCTTGCTGTTGCGGAGAAGAGCTCTAGCCATACACATGAGCTGCCTCTCCCCGACCGAGAAGTTGTCTCCACCTTCAACCACTGGGGCTTCCAGCTGGTTGTCCAGAGTACTGATCTGTTGCGGCAAAAACAAACAGGAATCATATCAGGTTTACGCTTCACAAGCACTCTCCACTACAGGCAGGGTTCGACCTTAGCGGTAGCCTGCTAGCCAAATGCGAGTAAAAAGTTTAGGGCAATTCCTGGCTACAGTCATCACTAAGGCAGTCGATATCAATGATCTTTTCCTCTTAGTGCTTTTTCCTCACCTTATCTTTCATGTAGGTTCGTTCCAAGGCTTCCCATATCTTAGCATCGCTGTACTCCTCAAAGGGGTCCAGGTTATATCTATTATGGATGAAGGGAGACTTTTTAAAGTATTTCAGGCAAAGCAAAACTTGCATGTTCGTACTTTTATTCTAATTTTAACAACAAAATCCAAATACAGTGGAACGGCGCTATAACGGACATTGTGGGATCCACAGAAAGTGTTCATAATAACGATCGTTCGGTATAGCGATTTTGAACCGCCGATACCCTCTTTTGACCAATAGTGAACTGGCATTTCTCACATCCCATGGCCTCACGAGGAGTCGTCACGAAACTCAGAAACTTAATACATGTACAACCGGTAGATTTTTGGTTAATCTGTTGACTTTTTGAACAACGATGTACAACAACATCGGTACGTTTTGTACATTAAAACCGGGAGCCAAGGATGATGTTCGGTATAGCCGAATGTTTGGTATAGCGGTGTTCGGTATAGCGGCATTCCACTGTACAACACTGCAGCCATAAACCCCCAAAGTAACGATGCCAGCAGAATCATCAATTCTGCAAACCTGGAAAAATGGCAATCAGTGATCACTCAGAAAAGATGTGGTTTTTTAAAATAAAAAAAAAATTAAATTAAAAATTAAAAAACAAAATGACAGCATACCTGACTGTTCCTTTGAAGAGCACTGGATCCTGAGGGATGATGGACAGCTTTGATCGCAGGTCGTTAAGTCCGATGGTCGCTATGCTGACTTTGTCGATCACGATCTCGCCCGAAGACGGTTCCACCAATCGGAACAAGGCAACACCCAGCGAAGACTTCCCTGATGAACAAAAAAATGAATATTCATGACCCACTGGCACTTGTACCACATTGCATTACATTGTTAGTCATCAGGTTCCTCGCAGAAGGGCATATGAGCTTTCTGACGCCACATATCACTTTTTCATGAAAATTGCATTGAAAGGCTCCAATGCTCCTTCGCGTGTTACAAATGCTATTTTCTCCCACGCGTATTATACATCGTACAAATGTTCAAATTGTCACACGTATGCATCATAATTTTTGGAACTTGTGTTAATTTCCGATGTAAATGTTAAAATTTCATGAAAATAGAGGCAGTTTTCTGCATATGCCCTCTTGCTGGTAACATTTTGGTGATTATGTGTCTGGGCGTAAGCGCATACGCCCTTCTGCCAAGGCATACGACAAATTATCCCTGATGAATACAGGAAACATCAAGTGCTGGGGCAGTTTTGGGCGACACAGGGAGTAAAAGTCCGGGTGGTATGAAGTGGTACAGGGACTAATAGGTTAACAAAAGTAATGAAGCCGTCCTGGGTGCAGACATTTTGAATTCATGTGGGTGTTTGAAAATGAACTCTAAATGCAACGCGCATACGCAAAGAACTTAAGCGACTGGTTTAAAGACATCACGGCAAAATCATCTGCAGCAGACACACGCATGCGTTTGCGTTGTCTGCAGCAGACACACGCATGCGTTTGCGTTGTTTGCGCAGAACAGAATAAAACATCATAGAGATGTTTTGGGCTTATGGCCAATACCGGAACGGTCCATTATATACCTGAGCCAGTCCTTCCCACAATGCCGATCTTCTCCTTGGGCTTGATCCGACAATTGATGCCCTTGATGACGAGCGGCAGGTTGTCGCGGTAACGCATCTTGTAATTCTTAAACTCAATCTCCCCCTCCTGGGGCCAGTCTTTGTCTGGTGCCGTCTCTTTGATATGGGGTGGGGCTTCAGATTTTAAAATCTTTGAATAAAAAAAGAATTGAAATACAATCCAAATATGTGAAATGCCAACAACGTTTGCAGACTTTTTTTTTTTTTTTTAATTTTGGGACAATTTGACATTTTTACTGAAGGGCAATGCCGTAAATTTGGACGTACATGTCAGACACTATAATGAGCTGCTGTTGGAAAAATGAATGTGATACATCACTAATAATGTGACATCTAATGAGTAGAAAACAATTACAGACCAAACTAATATTCACCACCCCTTAACCCTTTTCCGTCAGGGCAATTACAAGGTTGTTAACACAGGATAAACAATGACAATTAAGCACTTTGAATCTAACGTTCCTCCTTAAATAAGCACACCCACCCGTGTGTAGCTCAGAATTCTCTCCACCGACGTGAATCTGGCCTCAGTCTCAGAGGCCATGAGAATTGTAATCTGAAACAGACCTGTAATCTGGATTTAAAAAAACACCAAAAATAGTGCTAATTAAGAATTTAAAATTGTACAATTAAACAAAATCAAACAGGAACGAATTTTCACGGCTCAGCAAAAACATTGCTTGGTGAATTTATGCGCTAAGCACAAATAAGCCGAGTACCAATCACTAGCGATATGCATGACATGACTTTTTGGCTGGTAACCTATTTTTGCTCAGCAAATATTTTCTGAGCTTAGAAAATTTCTGTATTTGGATGGACCATAACGCTACACTAATTTACTAAGTGCCAACTCCTCATTTTTACACGCGGAGATACTTTGAAGCCGTCCTGGATGCAGACATTTTGAATTCATGTGGGTGTTTAAATGTACTCTAAATGCCACGCGCCTATGCGCGCAACTTAAGCGTTTCACGATGGTTAAAAGACATCATGACAAAATCATCTGCAACAGATAGACGCACGCATTTGCGTTGTTTGCACTGTTTGCGTAGAGCAGAATGAAACCCTCATTTACTGATTGCGCGTTTCGGTTTTGGGCGTATCGGCTTCGATGACGCACCTGTATAAAATACAAATATGCAAACAGCCGTAAAAAAGTCGTACAAAAATGTTGACTTTTCCATAGGCGTGTTCCCAAATTGGAACGCTCCAGCGCTCCACCAAAAAAACTTTTGAGAAGTTCAGTGTTCAGAAGTTCTGGCTTTACGAAGGATTACATTAAGTTTCAACGGTTACCTGGATTGTGTAGGACACCGCCAGTCCAGCCAACGCCGGGGACACAATACCATAGGTCAGGACCACGAAGAGATTGGTCACCAGCGAAGCTCCGATGACCAAGACCTCAAGACGCTGACCGGCCCACCGGGAAGCCATGCGGAAGATCATGTACGGCTGGGAGTTGTTGTCTAGGAGATTGATAAACCTGAGCAGAAGAGAGAATTAGGTTTTGCATCGGAATTCTACCAAATTTTACACTAGAGAGGTGTAAATTTTAACAGTGGGTTTAGCCCTAAGTAACTGATTTAATTTAAAAACCATTTTTAACAATCCTTGATTTTCTTATTTTCCCAATGTATGTGTAAAGGTAATAGACAACCTTTGCTTTTGCTGTAATTTTCAGAAATGGATCTGGATTTTTGGTTAGTATTTTATAGCAAGTACTGTTACTCTGACCTGTTTAAAGTTTTGTGTGCATAGATGTTGGAAAAACCAAGAAAAAAAAATGCTATTCTTGTAGTCATTCGGGCAGAACTCGAACCCACAACCTGCAGAATTAACCGCAGACCACAAATTCAATGCTCCAGACCACTAGGCCACGGCACCTAACCTTCTCAACTCATTCAGCGTCTCTGGAATATTTTGGAATCCGGTCCTTACCTGTTGATAAATTCTTCAGTTTTACCGTAGGCGTGTATGGTGGACAGACCCTGCACTGTGGCCATAATGTGGGAGAACCATGGTGAACGCGTGACATTCTCAATACGTTTGATGGCGCGCACCCCGCGCCGGTAGTAGTACAGAATCAGACCGAAGAAGAAGACGATCGGCACCATGACGGCCAGGAAGTACGGAAAGACGATGCTGATGGTGATCAAAGCGAACAGGATGAGGAAGCTATTCTGGGTAAAGATCTCCATGTTTGTGGGCAGCTGGACGTCCACTGGATTGTGGGAAAAAAGCAGGGGGAGGAAGCACAGGTGACGACAACGCAAAGAAATTAAAACAAACAAAAACCTGCAATGGAATGTTTCGGCACCAAAATAAACCAGTTCTACAATGGAGTCTTAAAATGGAGTCGTTTTCTTTCTACGAGGGATGACAAGTTGCTAAATAAAGATATGCTTTGGCATGTGAAGCAAAGAATTCTCCAAGATCTGTGTGTGTAACAAAAATTGTGTATGATGAAGAAACCAAAACTCCATATGACTTCTGCAACCACCTTCTATCAGATGTGAACAAGGATCTCCCTAAATTGTGCAACCACCTTCTATTACATGTGAACAAGGCTATCACTCAATTGTGCCACCTACTTCTACAAAATATAAACAAGGATTGCGCTCAAATATGCAACCACATTCTGTCAGATGTGAACAAGATCTTGCTCAATTTCTGCAGCCACCTTCTATCAGATGTGAACGAGGATCTCCCTAAACTGTGCAGCCACCTTCTGTCAGATGTGAACCAGGATCTCACGCATTCGTGCTACAAACTTGTAATGCAAACAAGGATTGTGATCAAATGTGCAACCACCTTCTACCTGATGTGAACCAGGATCTTGCCCATTTTCATCCATTTCTTCCTTCTCTCTTGGGGTCTACTTAGAATTGACCAATCACTGACCGCCTACCTTCGTCCAGATCCTTGGAGAACCTGTTAAGGACTCGTCCCGTCGGGGTGGTGTCAAAGAACGACATGGGACTGCGGAAGACCTTGACAAAGACAGTGTCGTGCATCGTTGAGGAAGCCTGGAGTAGAATCTGTGATTTCAAACGCACAAACAAAATAAAAAAATCAGCGATTCAGGGAGTAACACTTTCACTGTGCATTTTTATTTCCGATTATTCAAATAAATGCGATTATCACTTGAATATTTGAATATTTGAATATTCCGCACAGCCTTATTTACCTTCATCAGAACTCTACTTTTCAGACCGCCGAAGACCAAAGTAGCAGCGAGAGTCACTCCATAAATCATCATGTAGAAGTTCAGGTCTGGGTGATCAGCAATACTGCCTACCGTCACCATCGTTGGGGGATCACCTGGATTTGTACCGTTCACTTGGATCTAGCACACGGAAGGCAAAACAGAACAAAATTGAGTGAACAGGGTTCAATTCCAACCAAGGCAATACTTCCTTCCATAATTGTTTGGAAGATCATCTGGATTAGTTCTGTTCACTTGGATATTTCACAAGGAAGGCAAACAGAAACCATAAGTTGAGTTGGAGCCTTGGAGCTACTTTCTCGTCTTTCACCTCTGTGACCTAGGTTCGAATCCCACCCAGAACAACATGTGGCTTGGTTGAGTGGTGCTTGATACTTTCATGGTCTTCCACCTCTTGTGACCCCGGTTCAAGTCTCAACCAGGCCGAAAGTTTGACTGCTTGTGTTTGCGCAATGATACTTTCATGGCCTTCCATCTCTGTGACCCCAGTTCGATACCCACCCTGGTTGATGCATTAACTGAGGTTCTCAGTCTGCCCGATTACACAGGTTTTCCCTTGAACATCACTCTACCACCTCTCAGCCTAAATAATTCTACCACAACCAACCACACTTTAGTCACAACTCGCATAACACGGAGTACCAGGCAGAGTGGTTTTGTGCCGTACTGGGAGTAACAGGCTAAAGCAGAATTTGAGGCAGTACAGGGCCCATTTTCACGGCGCTGCTTAACAGTTAGCAGAAAAGTTGGGCTTAGCATAGCAGAAAAATTTGCTAACCTTAAGCACTATTTCACGGCGTGGACGTGCTAACGGTCGCGCGTGCATGGAGATTTCTATTGTTACGTCACTAAGTTAAGCAAATTTTTCCTCTGAAGTAAGCGTGCCTTTTGCTGTGCTTATGCTAACGGTCTCCATGAAATAGACGGAAGCTCTGTTAGAAGAAAATCGTGTGCTTAGCAGCGCTGTGAAATTGGGCCCAGCTGGTTACTAGCAAGGCAGTGTGTGATGGTACGGTCATATCGGGGAGTCAGGTTGGCATAGCGGTACTTTCCTCGCCTTCCACCGCTGTGACCCGGGTTCGAATCCCGCCTGGGCCAATATTTGGATTGGGTTTTCAGTCCCTGCCTGATTCCGTGGGTTTCCTCAGAATATTCTTCTGGGCTTTTCCTCCCACCTCTAAAACTGTAACTTCTTCTCATTGTCTTCTCTCCACAGGTTTCTTCAGGCTTGCGAGCTACAGTGCCTAGGGCGCTTTTGAGGAATCCTTGGTTTCATTACCAGAAATGATTAATAATAATAAAAATAATAACTTATGGGTGAATACCTGTGTTCCATTCCCTTGATTTAACCAGAAGCTAAGCCACCAGTTATTGAAGTTCAGACTCCCGATGACAAGGATGTAGGTGAGGAACGCTAGGAGGATCATGTGATATCCACCCGCAGCCTTCATGTAACCCTTGTACGTCACCCAGCCGACTGCATTTGCCGACCGATCCTCGTCCTGTACTAACTTGCCATCTAGGGGATCAAGGGAGCATTATTATTGCTACTATTATTGTTACACTTACTTGTACAAGAGTTTTACACAGAATTTATTTGCATGAACTGCAATACAAGTGAATTGCTTCCAAAACCATGAATTTGGGCCTTGGAGCCATTTTCACAAAGCTTCTAAGCACAAAAATTCTGCTAAGCACAGAAACATGTGCTTATCACAAGCAAATTTAAAAATGCCACGCGCTGTATACATCTCCAGCTTCTGACTTTCAACAGATTTGTTTTGCTTCCTGTATACATTTTGTAAGCAATACTTGTCTCCTTGTAGCACCTGAATGAAATTTCCCAAAGTCATTTGAAATGTAAACTGACCCTCTTCTCTGTCCGATTTCTCGGATGCGTTGCTACCAACGCTCTTCGACGACATCTGGCTGTGACTCCGCTGCAATTTCCCAACCTCCTCCACCTCGAGCTCCGCCTCCTCTTTATCATTCTCGTCACTCTCTGCCTTGGCGTGGTGTTTGCTGATAAGCCGCGCATACTCCCCTTCATCATCCATCAGCTCTGTGTGGGTGCCTCGCTCAGCAATGCGGCCGTCGACCATCGTCAGAATACTGTCACAGTCTTTAAGATACTGCAGAAAACAGGAAAATGTTTTATTTGTTCTTTTTAGTTTGCATCGTTTTGTGAAATTCACATCATTTGTTTGAGGAAGCAAGACCTTTGGAGAAATGATCAACACTGAAATGCCACTACTGCTGTGGTGCTACTCTGCATCCAAGTTCTGACAAATGCACACCTGGAGTTGATGCGTAACAAACAGCACCGTCTTTCCCTTGAGGGCACCCTTGATGCACTCGTTGAATATATGCAAGCCGACGTGGGCGTCCACTGCACTCAGAGGGTCATCCAGGAGATAGACATCGCGATCTGCATACACCGCCCTCGCTAGACTGACGCGCTGCTTCTGACCTCCACTCAGGTTGATGCCTCGCTCTCCGATCTAAATACAGAACAAATTATAGATCGAGGTCTAAATTTAAAACAACTAAACAATTGAGGCCCATAACCTTCCTTTGTCATGTCGCTATCTCTCAGTATCTCACGGACCTGTGTCACACAGCCACAACCTTCACCGCCTTCAGTCATATCGCAATCTGTCAGTTCTTTAGGACCTATGTCAGACTCTATCATTACCCGATTTTTATCACCATCCCTCAGTATCTCTAGGACCTAAGTCAAATTCTACCAACACCCAGCTCAGTCATCTTACCATCTCTAGGATCTTTTCGGACTCTTACCATCTCTTAGTTTATCCAGGTCCTTGCTAGAAGGATAAGGACCTGTACAAGGAAGGCTGCGCATCACCTACCTGAATTCTCATCTCACGCAGTTTCATCTTATGAATAGAACCTAAATCCTATCACCAACCATCAGAAGCTCTCACTTTTTTAAGATCGCATTAGTCCTATACAGGACCTAAAGTCTATTATCACCTATCTCTGTCGTATTACCATCTGTCAGGATCTATTTAGGACACGTCAGAGTCTCCCATCACCTACATCAATCCTATCACCAACTATCAGTAGCTCTAGGTCTCATGCCAGAGAGATTAGGTCCTATATAGGACTGATACATCATCTACCTATAATTATCTCTAGGACCTTTGCAGGACAGTTAGGTCCCATTTCAGGTAAACCCCACCATCACCTACCTCTGTCATATCACCATCTGTTAGGATCTCCAGGTCCTGTGTCAGACAGCAGGCAGCGATAGCCTTCTCGTACCGCCCCTCGTCCATCTCGGCTCCAAACAGAATGTTCTCCTGTAGCGTCGCGTTGAATATCCACGGCTCCTGCGCGGCGTATGCAAATGAGCCGGACACAGCGCACGACCCCTCCATGGTGTGCATCTGACCTAAAATGGCCGAGATGAGGGAGCTTTTGCCACTCCCGACGGCACCGCAGACTCCAGTAAGTCGACCCTAGGAAAGGAAAGCATTTAACTTAATGGCATCTTTCGGTAGCTGAACAGGACTGATTTCCTTAAAATGAGCAATTACTTATAGATTTTGTGCACAAACTGTAGAAATGTGGCTTTTTAACTACTTTCCTGAGCCCGCGTATGGTGTGAAGTACGTATGATGAATTTTATTCTGAATGTGCACAAAACCAAACTGTCTCCAAGTGAGTGTCAGACGCCAACAGCAATGCATTCGAATGTCCCTCTCAGTGGTTCCCCCAACACTCCCTTTGTATCTCTTGAAGGATACTTGTGCCCAGAGCCCATAGGTGTCAAAAATAAAGAACATTTAAAACCGTATCATTAAATGTCTTCCATTCATTATTGGATTTCAATTTCAATCTACAGTTGAAAATGACTAACAGAAAATGGTCTCACCTTTTCCAGACTGAGGTCGATATCAAAGAGAGTCTTGACCTTGAGGTCATCAGGGTCGGTTGGGTCATCTCCTCCGGTGACCTCCGACCCCTGCCTGGCTCCCCCGCTTTCTTTCCCATTGCTTGAGGCATTGGCGTTATTATTGGTGTTTGGGGATTTCTTTAAAGGAACGTCCTCAAAGGCTTCGCTATCGTCTTTTGAAGGCGAGTCCGGTGCGATGCTTGGACCGCCATTTTCGATACCGTTTCCTGAAAGCATAAGAGTACGAGTGTGCAAAACCAAGTTTCAATGTAAGAAAATATTGAGCAGCCCACTTGTAAGACCTTTGAATGAAACTGACATTTCAGACCAAGAAAACGAAATCTATACCTGGCTTTCCATCCTCAACCAAGACAGTAACTCCATCAACGGCTGCTCCATTTGCAGCATTTTTCTGTTCATCTTCTTTATCATTGTCTTCGTCTTCTTTCTTACCACCAGCGACCGATTTGACCTTATCCCAGCCGAAGGAAGCGTTCTTGATGACCACAGTACACTGGTCATCAGGTGGCAATTGCGGGAGGGGTGGAATATCGGTCATGTCTAGGACACTCTGAAAGAAAATCGAAAAACAGCATTAAAGGAAACTTGTACCCCGTCAAATGTGAAAAAGAGAAGCGCGAATGACCATAAAAAACAAGAAGTTAATTGACCAATTGAAAGAAAGACACAATTTAATATTAGAACTGGGTATGCACTTAATTTGAAAGCATTTGCCAAAGTCTAGGATAATTTAAAAACTTAAACGGTGTTTAAAAAAATTAACAGATTTCTTTTGGTATTACAACTTGATACTGAATTATTTATCCGTCTTACTTTTATTCGCCTCAGTCCGATAGCACTCTCCGCAAGGACACGCATAGCGAACGGCGTGGGTCCAAGCACCGATCTCATTGAGTTCAGTACAGCGATCAGCGTAAAGGCCTGAAAAACAGGGGAAAAAAACAACAAAATAATAGAAGATCCAGAGCATGGAACTGTTAACCCCAGAAATATGCTAAGCACGAAAAATATTTGCTTAGCAGAAACAGGTAACCAGCCAAAATGGCATGCAATGCATATTGTATAACTGGTTCTCAGCCGATTTGTGTTAAGCACAAAAATTTGCTAAGCATTTCTGCTTAGCAGCTCAATATTGGGCCCAGCTCTTGAAGTCAGATCCTCAATTCACCCCCAAATGTTCAGAACTAAATGTACCTCAGCAGCCGTGATGTCGTTGCCGAAGCCGATGTGGATGACGATGGTCAACACCGTGGCGATGTTGGGTACCAGCGGGATCAGTGACAAGCTGAAACTAATGATGTACGCGACTCGCTCCAAGATGGTGCGCTCTGTGGCTCGAATAGCTATCAAATGAAAAGAATGAGAACGTGACTGGGGAAAATTTGGCTTTTTGTCTTCAGGCTCGGATCTTGAATATTCAGTTTATGCAATCTAAGCCAGTTTCTCCTTTAACATAATCTCATCTTTGTGTACAGTTACCACATCTCGTTTCCATGTACATTCCACTTGGAAATTAAATAATACAAGTTTCAACCGACCTGCAACTTTCTTAGCGAATGGCGCTTCCCAGGCGTACATCTTGATGAGCTTGACATACGTCAACACTTCGCTCATCTTCTGCACTCGCTCGTCCGTGATCAGGATGCCTCGCTGACGAAGCTTCGCGATAACTCGACCCATGACCAACTGAGTGGGGGAGGGGGGAAGGGGGAGGGGCGGGGTGGGGACAAGAAAAAGATATAAGAAATGAAGGGAAAGACTTGACCACTGTGGACTAGCGGTTGTTTTGTGACAAACTTAAACCTGTGCACTAATAGCAACATACAAGCGTCACCAGTCAAACGATGGTCAAAACGTCATTAAGTCCTGGATCCCTGCTGTACATTATGATGCGCATCTATTAGTAACCAGCGATGCGACTTATCTCGGTATACTGGTCCTGAACAGTTGACTAGATTTGTGGATCTGTGATCGCCTAGCCTGGGTTGCGAGTAAAATTATTCGGAGTACGGTTAACTACAGATCTCACCTGCATAGGGGTGATGACCATAAACGTCCCCAGTACTCCAATCAATGCCGCCGGCCCAACGATGATCGACACCGCGGTGATGCAGGAGACCAATAGGAAACAGGATGAGATGAGGAGGTTGCCAATGGACATGGCGTCAAACAAACGCTGGCTGTCATTGGTGCAAATGTTGACAATCTGCATGGGAAAGAACCCAAACAGCCAATGACTATTTCTAATGCAACTCCTCCAGAATTCATGTCACAAGACTACTGATTGGTCAACTTTACTTAGCGACTGCTCAGCAAAAAAAAAGCTTACTTTCAAAAATTTAAAACGTGCTCTATCTCACCTCTCCCACCGTCTTGTCTTGGAGACTGCGCAGCCGCGCGATCTTCTTAAACGTCATGGACAGCAGGCCGTTGCGCAGCCGCGTGGCGGTACGGAAGATGGTCAACCAGAAGGTGACGTCGAAAATAACCCGAAGGATGTTCAGTCCCAAGATGGCGAACACGATACCCAAGCCGTAGCCAAGATCCTGTTCCTCTGCCTCTGTGTACATGAGCAACCTCTGAACTAAGACAGACTGGGGGAATAAAGTTTGAACATCTTAATAAATGGGCACTTATTTGCTAGTTTGTGACTTATTGTTAGAAGTTGAAAGTTGTGAGTAACTTCCACTAGAGTGTATGGTCTAACTGTTATGGTAGCCGAATTATGTGTGATCATATGTTGTTATTATAACCCTGCCAGGACCACGAGCAACAAATATAACCTAATTGCGACAATAAAATTGTGCCTTTAAAGGGGGGCTGTGACATTAGGGAGACATGAAAATGGCCCTAATGACCGATGTCTCCCATCGTGCAAAGAAATTACGATAACGTGTCTCCTTAATGGTACCATTACACGTATAAGTATTATTATTGTTATTTATTTCACCAGGACAAATCTTACAAACAAATAAAACCAAAAAAAGCACATTAACATTCAGGAAAAGAAAACAAAAAAACCCAAATAAAGAAGTAAACAAACAAACAATCGAACAAGTAAATAAGTACACAATAAAATAATAAAAACATTACATGATAACATATTAAATAACAATAAAAAAGCAGTAGTAGAGAGCAACTAGGGGCCGACTCTGAATGACTGACTGAATGAATGAATGAGGGAATGAGGGTGGTGTATGCAGGAGGGGAGCTAGACTAGGGTGAAAATATTAACAAAGGAAAAACTAACGACAAAACATACGGGTCAGGGACAACAAAACCAAACTGAATTACTATTGCTCGGAAGCATGCTGCCCCGCGTATGTCCTGCCCGGCGTATATGTGACCGTGAACCCTGATGGACATCACAAAGCTTGTGTCCCTGGGCAAGACAATTTACTACAATTGCCTCTCTCTAACCAGGAGTATATGAGGGTAAAGAACACACTGTGCTGATCTTTATTTTTTCAAAGATGGTATTTTGTCTAATGTTATTTTGTTTGTGATCCGACTTGTGTTGAACTTGGAATTTGAGATGTACTTGTGATTTGACTTGTGATGGACTTATAATTTGACTTGTGACTGACTTGTGATGGATCTGCCATATTGACTTATGTTAGACTAACAATCTGGCTTGCAATGGGCATGTGATTTAGTGTTGATTTGAGATTGCCACAGACTTGACTTCGTACCGTGATCACAAATATGCAGGCGACGGATAACAGGAGACACAGAACAGCAAATATGTGGCGAGTTCGGACAAATCTCAGGCAAACCTTCCCCAGTGATGCCTTCTCTCTGCCTTTCTTCTTCAGTTCCTCCTCCCAAAGCAACTGGAATCTTTTGAGTAACAAAGAATACAAAAAACTTGGATGAGAATTATAAATAAATGTATATATATACATGTAGTGTGTTGCTTGTTGATTTTAAGGGGGCGGAAGGGGAATTTTACTGAGATGTTGGGAAAGAATTAGAAATATACTGCTGTGGCAGTTGGATTTTAAATTTCACCAAGATTTTGGTTGAAGCACTTTTAACATGTTTAGCAAGCTACATGTACAAACGATTAAGTTAAAATTAACCCTAACTCTCTATAGGCATTTTTGTTAGGATGTAAGCAAATTGCAATTTTACTGAAATATAACCTTAAAATGTTATGAAACTTAAACTGAGAACTCAGAAATGTTTACTTTTGTCTGCTGATATGTAATCACAATGTTATTTACATAGGGCAATCCATGTACACCCTGACAGGGCTAATAATAAAAAGGATGAATTTGTTTGCCTATCAAACACTCAATCCATGACAAGACTGATTGCAAGGCCACTCTTGGTCTTAGGCCAAATAAAAAAATATAAACGTTTAGCGTCCTGCCTTTTTTGAAAAAAGGAAGGAGGAGGCCCCTTTTTTGCCCACATGGCCGCCTGACCCATTTTCCAAAATGACCAGCCGGGCTATTTTTCAAGATGGCCGCCAACTTTTTCTTAAAATGGCCACCACTTGGACTCAGGAAATGACATACCAGCTTTATTCAACAGACAAAGAGATTCAACAGACAAAGAGGCCAAAATGATCGATACCACTGTTTAAAAGCATTTTTTTTCTTTAAAAAAGAAAAAGAAAAAGAAAAAAAAGGAGGAAGCTTCCAAAAAGGAAGCGGGCGGGGACGCTAAACATAATTTTTTTAATTTCTATTTGGCCGAAAAGTGATAACAGGCTGATAAGTACCGGTACGTAGTATGTACTATGGCACAGAGGTAAAAATAAACTAAGATGACTTGGCAGAATTTGTATGGTGTCCATCAGGTCGGGTTGACTATTCCCAAACCGATCTGAAATGATATAGACGAAACCTGAATCCAAACTGAAAGAGTGGGATTGACTAATTTTTCCTTTTTAAATCTCAACTGAACAAATCAATCCTTTAACACAAATGCAAACAAACACCAAACTCGACCTGACCTTACCATGGACCAACTGCTCAAAGCAAAGTCCAAACCCTGAGGGCAATTTTGGGCCAGATCAGAGTTTTTGTTGAGTCAAGTTGAACATCTTTGATCAAAATGACAAAACACAGAATTGGTTTCTTTTGTCCCCGATGAAAATATATCCCAAAAAAATACCACAAAGAGAAAAAGAATTACGGTAAAAATACAAGTACCAGTACTCGTTTAAAACTCTTTAAAAATGGGGCCAGTTAGCCTTTTTGAGATCTTACTATTTATTCACTTTTACTCAACAAAATATTCTTTCTTAACAAATATTCCTTTTGCAAGATGGTTCTACAATTTTGCCCAGGAATTTGAGAAATTTGTCCCAAGGAATTTGAGACATTTTTGTTAGATTAATCTTGTCAGTTTGATGATTTTTTTTTTAATGTTAGTTGAAAAGCTGAAGTGTCATCACGGACCCTGATTTGTGTACCGGGTACTATCAGTGTTTATCACTTCTTTTATAGCTTAATTTTATTGTGTCTGTTTCATATGCACCTATAAAATCTCCTTTTGTAGCATGTTTGCATATGTGTCGAACAATATGATGGTACCAAATTACCATGGTTTATTGCAAGTGTAGACAAAATGGTAGAAGATGATAACTGTCAAGTGTGTCAACTCAACAGCTTAAACAAATGCTGAGCTTTCACGATCTGGTGACTTGATTCTAAAGCCTTTACTGGTAATTTAATCTGCAGACTGTGGATCTGAGTCTAGTCTGTGGGGATGTGATGCATGCCTGTGTGTTCTTGGGCAAGACACTTTGTCACAATTGCTTCTCTCCACCCAAACTCTGGTGAAGGTCGTCTCCAAAATCTTGCGGGTGCAACTGCAAAATGCGAGCTCAAGTCTAGCCTGTGGACTTGTGATGCATGCATATATATGTGTGTTCTTGGGCAAGACACTTTACCATAATCTCCCTACCAATGGTTGGAAAGGACACTGCACTGTGTTTGAATTAACCAATTGCTACATGAATTCAACTAAACAATCTTGTGTAGAGTCATTTTTTACAATAGTGTACTTGACATATTTTGTTACTCAAAATTCCTGCACAGTGGAAATTCATAAAAGTCCTGTGAAAAGTAAGGGTAAAATCTTTGAATCTAATAAAACGATGGCCTAGCTGTTGTAGGATAAAGTTCGCTCTTTATAGTGCTATAAAATATCTGCCAATACAATTAAACCTTGTACAGTGCCTCAAATACAAGAAGGGGAAGGCCATTCACAATAAATTTATAGGACAAAAAATCCTCGGAATTAAAAATAAGTACTCGCTGTTACTAGTAGAATATAGTTAACACACTTGATCAGGAAATTTGAAGGACAAAAAATCCTCGGAATTAAAAATAAGTACTCGCTGTTACTAGTAGAATATAGTTAACACACTTGATCAGGAAATCAAAATAGACCCGACCCCCCCCCCCCCCTCCCCCGCTGTAGAGTTCCAGTACTTTGCATGTTGTGCAGGTGAAGTTCATACACAATACATTCCTTGGCTAGGAAAACAACGCAGGAGGGAGTCCCTTAACCCTTTAGTATAGTAAGTAGGGTAAAGTTTAGTCAAACCCTGCTCACCTCATTGGAACTGAATCATGTGGTACGTACAACAAAAGGTACGTATTCACAATTGGGGCATACGGTATTTTAAAAACATTTAATACAGTAAGTAGAGTCGTTTTCCTTCCTCCATGAGTTAACTAAATGTACAATCTCTGACCAGGTAATCCGCATTGAACTTTGTAGATCCCTTTAATACTACAAACAGAACAGACTTCATTCACATGATATTTTTATGCTCAGGAAGTTGACAGCCCCTTTGATATAGGAAGTAGGGTAAAGTTCAACAATGCTCATCAGTAAATACCAAACTGAATCTGTTGAGTCCCTTTAACATGGAAACCACAAAAGTTCAGTGGCAGTAATTTTCAAGCTCGGGCAAGCACAAGAATCCTTGTAATACAATAAGCAGAGCCCCTTTAATACAGTAAGTAGGGTTTACACAGGGCAAAGAATGGGGAAGTAGAGTAAAGTTCACTCACAGTAATCCTTTCTCTGGGCCTCTGTGAACTTTTCAATACAGCACAAACAAGTAGGTTAAGTAGGCAAATGTATGGGGTCACCTGTTGCTTTGTTATAGCATAGAGAAAGGACCAGCAAAGTGAGGCAACTGCTTTAGGGGAATTCTGGCTACACACTGTATATGTAGTAATTTGTGTAGGGGTGAATGTAATCTCATTCAGGGACACTGGTTTAATATCATGGAGGAATGCTTATAGTAACTGGGGCCATATTTCCAAGGGGGCTACTGAGGAGGCCCTTATTTTCTGGAGGGGGCACTCAATGCGTTTTCAACAATAAAAAACTCATTTTTGCCTTTTCCACAGTCTATGCAGGGAGGAGGGGAGCAGCAAGGGGGAGGGGCCACAGGTTCCTTGGAGGGGGCATCTAACCCCCCTCCCCCTTCCCTATTTACGCTAGTACTATAAAGGGACCATTTCGCAATCGATATCGACTTTGGGATCTATCATTTGGACTCGATTTCAGGGAAAAATATTATAGTAGGGGAAAAGTCACAAAGGGCTGCAATATGTACATTTGGAGTCCATCGCAATACCTTTTGTACACATGAGTTTCAAGGCTACCATATTATGCAAGGTCAATTGGCAAACAAATGGGCATATGGGTTAGTTGTGAGTGGGATTTTCTTTTATTATACTGTAGCACTGATGTATGTACACAATCACAATAAGAGTATTGGGGCCTACGTGCTGTGCAAGACGTACAGATACTGTACTGTTAAAAAATATGAGCTTAATATCTGAACTTGCTGAATCAGCGTTGAAATAATTTGGCTTTTTTACACTAAATTTTTTTTTACACTAAAAATAAGAATATCTGTTCTGTAAAATTTTAAAAAACCCTCAAATTAAGACAAATATCACCTATTACAAAGATTGATGATTATTTCAAAAACTTTTGATGCATTGGCTGCATTGGTTGAACGCCTGAAAATTCAACAAAATATCCCCCCCCCCCCAAAAAAAAATATGTATTTAATGCATACTAACAAAACAAAATACACTGCTTAAAATTGTACTTGAAGTAAAAGCAGAGGTTCAAGACATATTCTTAAATACTAGATTTTGTATTTTCACTGACGTAATTTTAGAATTTTAAGTTCCAATTTACGAAAAGTTAAAAAGAAATTTTTTGAAACAAAAGTTTACCTTTCACCATTCCGATATCCGCTGTCATTGTCGGAAAACTTCCAGAAGTCGGAGAATTCTAGCTGTCTTTTGACGGCTTTCTTGAACATCGGCGTCAACCATGACAGGGTGAGGTAGGCGAACAAGCCAGAATGGTCTAGAGGAATGAAGGGACCAGATCTGGAACAGAACAAGTGGAAAACAATGAAAAACTGTTGAAGATTTGTTGCAATTTATTGTGACAAAATGGAACTATCAATTCTATAAAAAAAATTGAGGGTTTTTAAAATTCTGTCACAAGTCAAAACAAAGAAAATAAAAGGTTGAAAACTCTCGACCAAACTCACTTCGGTTTTGGTCGGATCGGCACCAACATTTTCATCGACTGCTTGTATTTTTTTATTCCCTTTCGCCTCCGGTACGCGACCTGTGTCCCGTCCTCTGGTTTCAGCATGATATCTTCATCGGTGCGGATGTCTGCCAGCCCGGCATTGTCGACGGGAAAAGCCGTCATGTAATCCGTGGCGTTACCGGCTGCACCGTGGTGGCCATCGGAGAACTCCACATCGGGAGTGTCTTCACCCATCCTGAACTGAAGCTCTTTACTCCTCTTGTGAAAAAATTATGATGCACAACTCGAATTACCTGAAAGAAAATTAACATTTAACAACATGTTAGAATGCAAACAGATATGTGAGCTGATTATCCCAAATGCAAACAGTGAATGAAAAAAATACTGCTGAATCACACTCGCTGCACTGTACACAAAATTAATTCGCAGTGGCTATTGTTACGGCAGCCGTAATGCATTTCCCATTTTCTATCGTTACGGTAGACTGCAACCTGGCAACTTTTATAAAAAAACATGACAAGAAAATATAAAATTAGAAGGAAAAAAGTGAATTTGAACTTTATGAAATTCGGACTTTATTTCCCTTTTAAAAAAAATCCTCCAAAGCCTCAGGTTAGAAAAGGAAAAAAATTCGAGTGCAAAACTGAGATCCGAACCCGCAACCTCGCGGTGCAAAATCCTACCCTCTATCGGCTGAGCTGGCGCACTGCTCGATAAAACGTGTGGAAACAAATAATTATATACCTGCGTGCATACCAAAAAAATATCGTAGAGGGCGCTAAACAACGAGTGCCGTAACGATAGCCACTTCGAAATTAATTACTGCTTCTGGACACTGGTGCCAGTGGTGGAGTTCTAAAATTAGAGACTGTTTTTATAAATTTACATTGTAAATTTGTCTGGCATGTCAGGGGTTCTGAACTAAAATGTGACATGCTTGTCAATTTTTGAAAAATAACACAATTTAAAATAAGGAGGTCTACTACAGGGCATTCATCGTTACGACTTTTTGTTGAGATTAACGTCCCAGCATGCATGGCTGGAAAGAAGTCTAACTTGAAGAAGTTCCAAACATATGTCATATGACGATCGATTTTAAAACGATCGATGATTGAAATGCGCCTACAGCATCATACCACTCAAACAACCAGCGTGATGTCTCGAGATTTCGTCGTTTGCAACGTTTGGTTTGGTCATTTGGCACGTTTGGTCGAACTTCATAAAACATTACGACTTACCGTAAACAGTGCATACCGTGTATGAAGCGAACCAGGCATAAACACCAAAGATCCTATTCCGGGCGCGCGTGTATGACGTTTTTACTAACGAACCGGATAGCGCGCGCCGCGTATCTCTTTGACAAACATAATGTCATGCATAAGGCCAAAAAAAAAAATAAGTCGGTCTCTGGTCAGCGCGCGCGTCGATTTTAATCATGCGCGTCGATCTTTTTTTTTCCAAAATGTTCCGCGGTAGCTCCAACAGCGCCCTCTATTTCCGCACCTCCTCAATTTTTTTTACCAAAGAGCACCAAGGAATTGGAAATTGCACCAAGGCAATTGATCGAAAGCACTAAGGCAAATTATGGAGGACACCAATGTACATGAGGACACCAAAAAAGCAAAATAGTACCTACCTTGTCTGTACAATCCAAGCTTGAAAAAAAAAAAAAAAAAAAAAACGCGTGGCCGCGTCAATTCCGGAACTTTGGTCTGACCAGAGACCGAATATTTTTTTTTTTTGCCTAATCGTCCGATGATCAATCACCATGACTCGACAATGCACGTTTGGCCATCAAATGGTGGCGCTATCCATGCTCACCGTGCGTCGAAAGTTTATTAGGTGGTAACCGACAGCATTTGGAGTCTTAATGTGTATTGTTATAAGAAATCGTGTCAAGTTGGGAATGAGCACCAGTGTAATCAAAGTGGTGAAAGTGTTTATTGAATAAAGGAATCGCTCCGGTTTCATTTTGTTCCGATGAGAAAGAAATTGTTGTATTTTCACTCTTTATAGAAAAAAAAGGTTTCTCTCATTTATCTGTGTGCTATTCCTCCCATGCCTGTCTATTTATTTAAGTCGGTAACTCGGTACCGGTAGCGCATTCAGTGGTAAATTAATATGAAGAAATTCCTCAATGCACAGGGTTAGGGGCGGATCCATGAAGTTTTGCAGGGGGGGGGGGGGGGGGGTCATCAGCAAACAAATCTGAAATGCAGACAGGTTTTCTTCTACAAACACTTGGCCTCCAAAAATCAATAGGGGGTGGGGGAGGGGGCTCGTACCACATTTTCAATGGGGGCGCTGTTCAAATCCGACATCTGTAGAAATACCCCAGGCCGGCCATGACCACACAATTAAGCCGGCTCTGTCTGTACGGTGCACAAGCGGACATTATTACCAGTATAATTTTTAGCGGGGGGGGGGGGCGCATTTTTTTTTAATGAATTTCTATGATTTAAATTGACAGAGCTGCATGGATTGTTTTCTTTTACCCCCCCCCCCCCCCCTTCCCGGATCCGCACCTATGTTCCGTAGGTTTTTCCTCCTACATCTAAAACCCACGGAATCAAGTAGGAGGGACTGCACTGAAAACCTCATCCACATATGTTTCCAGGCACTGAAAACATCTAACCTTGACCCCCCCCCCCCCAAGCCAAATTGAGCGATCTCCATCCGAGCATGCATGTACGTTGCACGTACGTACATGTACATACGGTATACGAGCTACGTACGTACCGTACCGGGTAACACGTAAGTACGTACATCTTCACGTACGTACGTCCACGTACACGGGATCTTCTTTTCTCGAGTTGAAGGCAGGAAGGAATTGCAGGCTCGCATATTGAGCCAGAAATTTTACCTTTGGGAAAGTTTCCAGAAAGAAAGGAGTAGGAGAGCCTGTAAACATGGCGAAACAGATGCAAACCACGGCCGCCATGGCCGTTGTCAAGCTGCTGCTGACGATATTTAACTTGATTTTCTGGGTAAGTTCGCCTCTAGACATGACATGACACTGTCACTGCACAGCTAGCTAAGCTATTTTGATGTTTTGCTTCTGTCGGCGCTAGCGGCATGTGGAAGCGTAGGCTATACTGTGTACTTGCGCTGGCAGGTGGCTATTTTGCTGAGACCGGCAATATACGTCCTAATGCTATTTTGCCGTGAGTGCGCTGTGATTGGCTGCTTGACAATGGGAAAGTTGTGTTTATTCATGAGAAAAGAAATATACTTTCTTGTCCATGCGGTGGCCGGCGCTCATTTTCTTTCTTTCTTTGAAAAAAAATGTTGCAACCTGATGCTGCTTTTTTCTTCATGTATCATCTCAACATGTCTCAATGAAGGTCAATCATTGCAAAACTGATGATAAGAGTTAAGACATGAATCTGAGTGAGACTGAGAAATATTTCCAATTTTGTTTTCAATCTTGACTGTCCATTAGACTTTGTACACAGCCGCTGAAGGAGCGTCAGGTTGCAACATTCTTTCCCTTTTCTTTTTTTTTTGGAAAGAATTAATTCCATAGGTACGGCATTAGTTTTTCCCTCGGAAAAAAATGTTGCAGCCTGATGCCACATCTGCGATTGTTGACAAAGTATATGGAGAGTCAAGAAAATTTTCTACATTGTAAGTATTTCCTAACAAAATTGGAAATATTTCTCAGTCCCAGTTTCATGTCTTATCATCATTTTTGCATTGAATGACCTTCATTGAGATCAATGAGATGATATATGAAGAAAAAAGTGGCGTCAGGTTGCAACATTTTTTCCTTTCCCTGCAATGACTCATCAATCAGAGAGGGATAACATGTCCTAAAAAGTGAAATTTAGCACAATAGCAGCGAAAATATTGAAGTATTTAGTGAGAAAACACTTTGATTATAGTAACTTAGTTGGAATTGTTCAGACCATAGGGTTTGTACACAGGGTGTCAAGTGGCGTATGTTTATTTATTTCCAATACAAAATTGTGTCTAAACTGGAGCTGTCTCAGCCGTCACCCTTGAGCTACATAGCTACATAGTATATTCTGAGAAAACAATATTCTAGGATCTTGATTTTTAATCCAAAGTTACATTTACTGAGTCATGTTTTGAATTGGGCCTGAATTCAGCATCCGAGACACATTCTCACATAAGCCAATTGTAGCTACGCGATGTCGCACACTGAACCGACGAAATATAGCATCCACCACGCGTGTGTGTCGTGTCAATGGGTACGCACGCTTCGCCAAATTAAAAAACAAACTTGTCATGGAAATTTCCAACAATGCGTCTTTAGACGCATCATTGGAAAGGCCTTCTTTCATTGTCTTCTTCAAAATGACAGCTTGCCAAGAAAGACTTATTTCACAGCAAGTATGCTTTTCAACAATAATTACTTAAGTTACTTTTTGGATAGCTGCAAATGATGGACTATTGCTTTAAAACCAAGGGGGAAAAATGGTGTCCACATGACATAATGCAGTCGCATGTTGTTTGATTCACTGTTAAATCAACTCAGTAAGTGCGGTAATTCTATGGGAGTTAAGAAAGAAAAAAAGGGGGCTGTCTCATGGATGAGAAACTATTTTTTGTACTCGGCCTTCCTTAGTTTGTATTTAAGTGTACAATACTGGGGTATAAAAATTCTGTATTAAATTTGATGTTTAGGAGAGAGCGTACACAGTGCCTACTCTTGCAAATTTGCCAAGCCTTAAAGTCAAGGTTCCCAGTTGCCATGGTGAATCTGCGCTCTTTGTCATGGATTAATGAAGGAGCATATGCATCCGTGGTCTTGAATGTGTAATGTATGTATCCTTGAAATGGCAGGGATATCAAGTACGTGTATGTTGCCAGTGCATAGTTTGATCAGTGATGTATCTAATAATGTGCTTGCCACGTATATGTACCCCTAGGTCATTTGTTGATTATTATAAGCAAAAAAAAAGAAAGATTTCCATATAGAAGTTCACTCAACACCCTGTGTACAAACCCTATGAGAGTGGACTGAAAAATTCTAAGTGTTTTCTAAAAAAATGCTTGTATTTTCTCACTGCTCAAATTGACTTTGATGACATGAAATTGCTATCTGGGGGCTTGTACTCAATACAGAGGAAAATTAGTGAACTTCTTATATGGAAATCTTTCCAAAAAAATTATGCTTTAACAGTATTTTATCTTCAAACATAAAACTGACAATTTAGAATGAGGATGTGTATCTTTCAGTTCCTTTGGTGTGTTTGTATGCTAAAGAACCTTCCAGCACAGTAACAGTCCAACACTGTTTTAATTTAACCCTAACCCCTTGGGTATTTTTACTAGAAAGTTTCCTGAATCTGTCAAAATCCATCAATTTTGCCATGCAATAAAATGTTGGTGGCCAGTGAGTCCATCAGAATCCACCAGTTAGCCGGGAGTAAATCTGTTGAGATCCTGAATCCATCAAAGTCCCCCAACTGCTCAATATGGAGGTATCCTGAATCCATCAAAATACTGCAGTACTGCTAGGCTTACTGTCCTGAATCCATCAAAATCCCCCAACTTTTTCAATATATGGAGGTATCCTGATTTCGCCAAAATCCTCCAAAACAGGGGTGTGGATTTTGATGGATGCAGGTACGATGGAGTTAAACCAACAACGCATTCCAGAGGCCTAGTGGGTGAATATTCAATGACAAAATCGCTCTGACAAAAGATAAAATATGTACTAGTACATTTTGTGCATTTAAAAAAGCATGAAATCCATCTTCTGCATTGTGTACAGTGTACATTTTTGTACAAACTTTAACAGCAAGCTTTACATGTGCATGTAAAGTCTATTACAGTTCTGCACCCATCAAAAGTCTGGGGAAAAAAAAATCAGTTTTGGGCAGAATAAATTTTGGGAGATGTGGACATTTAGGCAGTAATATGATCAAACAAAATAGCCTCCTAATCTAACAAATTATTTATTGAGTTAGCGTCAAAGTAATAGCGTCTGAAAATGAATCTCTCTTGGGAAGTCTGACATTTGGCTGTTTACATTTTAGCAAGCGTGGAACCATGTTCCATTTCACAGGAAAGTAGGATGTAGTGGCTTAAACTTAGCCAGACAAAGAGGAAGTGATAACTCAAAAAAGTTAAGTTTATCACCTACGACCTTTCCAAATTCATTATCCATGGATAATTTTCTGAAATATTCACTAAAAAGGATCTTTCAATTGTTTTTGGAGGGGGGAGGGGAACTGTGCATTGTAAACAAATCAGAACAGTTTCTTAAATGGGTGATCAACAGTAAGTAATCTTTTTGTCTTTGAAGTATATTCTAATGAACAAAGAAAAGTAAAACCAACTTTGCTGTTCAAAACCCAGACTATTTTTGTCACTGGCCTTTGCCAGCCCAATCACAACTTGTTATTCACTGTCTGTCTTAATGACTTCCACTTTCAGAGGAAATATCCCACATTACTGTTGGGAAGGGAATTTTATTGTATTTATTGTACAGAACAAGAGCTTCAAACCCTATGACAGACAACCTAATTGCAAAAATTAAAAGAAACAAAATGTAATAAATCCTTCTGATTCCTCAACTGCCTGGTTGAGTTTGAAGGATTTGGTTAAGAATCTCTCCCAGCTGGCAATTTCAACAAGGCCAGCCCAGCAGTCAAAATACATTGTGTGACTGAGAGCTCCCTGCCTCCATAAAGCAGGATTGACTGGCTGTGATTGTTGTGATACTCATCCTGCTGTTGTCTGTTGATAGAATTTGACTGTTACAGTGCCTACGAGAAATATGATCTGACTGTTGGTGACTAGGTGTAAAAAGGCATGGCAGGGTAACAGTATTGAATTTTGACTGTCTGTGACTGATAAAACAAATTTCAATAACCCTTGCACATGTACATTAACATCAGAGGCAAAGCACTCTGCAAACAATCATCAAAATCCAGTCACAGTGATATTCCACTTCGTGTCACCTGAAATGAGGCAGACGGGCTGCGCAGACAAGATAATGAGATTGTGTCTCAGTGCTCGGCTAAGCCCCCGCTCACCGGGTCTTTCCTGTGTGTCTTGCAGCCGGTCTCGCTCGCCTCATCTATCCATCTCTGTCTTAGGCTGTTTCTCCCCGCTTTGACACTCCTCCACCTTGAGGTTGTTGATGGAATGCATTGAAGAAGAAGGAGTGTTATGAGGGGAAGGTAGAATAGCGGAGGAACAATCCAATTTTTAATTGCCGCTAATGGATGACGTTAGGCCCGCATGATTTGGCAATTTGTACCATGCAGGACTGCATGATCATATTGTGCAAATAAAATAGACTGAAAGGATTTTTTTGACAAGATGGTGACGACATGCAGAGCTAGCTGTTCACTGTTTACACAATTTTACACACATGTACATGTACAGTTGGTACATGTAGATGGGTGACACTGTATGCAATGATTGAAATGGTTTTCAAGCCTTTATTCCTCGAGGTGTTTTTGTTTCTAAAATCCTCTAAATTCAAGTATTTTTTTTTTAAATCCTTCTTCACATTTCAAGCCCATTTGTATTTTGTTCTACCGGTATACAAATTACCAAAAAAATTAATAATAATTGATCTATTAAATCTATTTTCAATATCAAAAACCATTTCTAAGACCTGAAAGGTTTACATGTACCGGTATTGGCTAAGAAAAATGGGTGGATATGTTACAGTAGTTACTCCAGAACTTATATAAAAAGAATTTGCCATCTTCCTCAATTGAATCTTTGCACAGTGCATGGAATTTCACTCATGGAAAGTGACAAGCTTTGGTTTATTCATGATTGTACAGAGGGGAGATCAACCATGAAGATCAGTCATTTAAATTACAGGTGCATGTATGTACAATGTACATGTACAGTTGTACATCAGTAGGGCATCAGGTGTTTCATGATATTATTTTGCTTCAACTTCTAATGTACACATGTACATGTATGAATGTACATGTACATGTACAGTGTGTGTGCATGAAAAACTGAAGCTTGCAGAGTCATTTACACCATGGAGGACTTCTACATCATGTACATGGTTACATGCACCATCTCGCATTGTCCGCGTAGACCACATACACAAACATTGATGTGTACATAAAAACAGGTACAGACTACTTACATAAAGTGTACACATACAGTGCATTTGCTGTTTATCCCAATGTGAAACCATTAATGTTTTAATGCATTTATAAAAACATACTTAGGTACATGTATTTTCTACAGAAGGAATTCTCATCTAGCTCGTCGCCAACCTAAATGTATTTCGCACTGTGTATGATTTGCCATTCATGTTAAGTGTGGCATTTCTTAAAAAGTTATCGATCCCATTGTACCCTGATCAAAAGCCATTTGATTAGACTCGCAGAAGTCACGTCCGGGCACAGAATGGAGCATGCATGCGAGCTGTAACATTCATCCGTGGGTAGACTATTCACATATATGGTAATCATATGCACAGCTGGCTTCCTATAAATATTTTATTAACACAACTACCTAAAAGGGGAAATTACGCCATTATAAGTAGCGTAATTACATGTTATGGCCAACAGTGTTGGAGCTCAGTTACTATACAATTTACATGATTAGAATTGTAATGTTCAGAGTGTGTAAAAAAAAAAAAAAAAGATTTCCATAACATTTACAAAATGCATATTTTAAATATTCCTATGTGGTCGAACCTCTTGCCCTCCATAGTCTACACAGAAAATATTTTAATAGACTTTACACTGTGCAGTACAATGTATGTACTGGTAGTTATAAAAATAGAATAAATTTTTATAACTACCAGTACATGTGCAGTAGTTATAAAAATAGAATAGATTTCCGCAAAATTTTACAATGTACATGAAATTCAATCCCGTTTGTACGATATCGATATACCAGTACATTCATTTGTCTGTTCTCTATCCTTCCCTTTCGTTTAATGTCAGACGGCCAAAGTTTCATATTTAATGTGCAAAAAACACCTGTCACTAGCACTCTCAACAAGAAACGCCATGGTGGGGCCTATATAATAATCATCATGCAGACACGGCCAAGCGTAGATTCCATTTCCGCCGGAATCCAGCAGCAAGCTTTCTTGCGACCTCTACCCCCCCCCCCTCCCTCCCCAGTGCTCTGAGGACAAACTATGGTTTGCTATTAATCAAGTTGTTTTCATAAAAGCAGCAGGGGGTTTGTGGTTTCTAAAAATAAAAAGAGAGAATTGAAGTACGGGTTAATTGAGGAAACGAAGGACTGCTGGAATGGGGCTGGGCATTATAAAAAGAGTGCCTTTGTTCAAGGGAAAACTTCTTCTTTTTTACGTAGCTACTTCATTAATCATGTTAATGCTTAAATTGTACAACACATGCAATCTGTCTAATTAAATTTTCAATAAATAAATAAATAAAAAATAACTTAAAATAAAACTAAGACTAGGATATGATAAATTACACACAGACACATTTTTATGAATTTATGAACTGTACTTTCCAAATCCTCCAAAATGCTCATTGAAAAATGGAAGGTTTTGCAGGATTGCATAAGGCTGTGGCAAAACATGTGTGGCTCATTTTTCAAGATCTTGGGCCGGGCCTTGTGTTGTTTATGCTCCGCCGTGCATAAGTTTAGGCCTAAATTATACTTCAAATCTTCCACGCTGCTCCAGGACATCTTTGGCTTGATCTGCCACAACGTATTGCCAGTGATAGCTGGTGGATTTTGCAGGATAGAGGCAGTGGTCACCTCTCCAAGGACCACCTTCAAGCAGTAATTAGGGAGGATTTTGCAGGATTGAGGCTGTGTATCATGCTAAATACATGGAGGCAGTTGGAGGATTTTGCAGGATTGAGGTTGCATCTTAGAAAAAATGTCTAGGGCATGTAGGAAGTTATCAGTAGGGTTAATAAAATTGAAAAAAAAATCCAACATTTTCTATGTCTTTAATTATAATGGTCATGTAGGAAATACATACAAATTGAGTCCAAACTACATGATGCATTGCAAAGCAAATCTCTGACAAAATATAGGCCTACTTCATAAAATCATTGCCATCTTTTTATGGATTTACATGTACATTGTACACTTGCATCAAGCATGTCAAGTGATAAAATGGTATCTGACTCACAAAGGAAGTCCCGACTCGGGTCACAGAATATCAATGATTTTTCAGGTACCGGTATTTTGTTCAGGTCTGTTTCTTTTGGCCTTTTGTCCAAAGAGTGGAGAATCCATGGGTCAGTAGACTTTCACTTGACAAGTATGACCTACTGACCTATGTATACAAAACTGTATGTACATGTACATGATGTATACAGAGTCTTGTTCCATATAGGGACATACACTCCTCTGTACAAGGTACTTGTAGGAACCGAAAATGCTGTGGGAAGAGCAGAAAGTCCCCATAACTCGGTCCTCATTTATTTTTTATTTTATTATTTTATATGTCTTTCTGGTAATGAAACCAAGGATCCCTCAAAAACCAAGGATCCCTACAGTGTTGTAGGCACTGTAGCCCAAAAGCCTGACAAAACCGATAGAGAGGAGACAATGGAAAGAAAGCACAGTTTTAGAGGTGGGAGGAAAAGCCCAGAAGAATATTCTGGGGGAAACCCACGGAATCAGGCAGGGACTGAAAACCCAATCCACATATTAGCCCAGGCAGGACTGACCCGGGTCACAGTGGTGGAAGGCGGGGAAAGTACCGCTACGCCAACCTGAATCAAGTTGCCTAACAATACATTTGCCTAACAATAAAAAACTTCCCCATCATGTGATGAAGGCCATGGCTATTCCTAGCTCCATGGTACAGTTAAGATGACGACTTGGTGACTGAATGTACAGACTCAGAAATTCATTTTCATCAAACTAAAGCCACTTCGTCATGAGTTGCTATGTGTATGAACACTATACAATACAGACATTAACCCTAACTGCCCTGAATCCTTCAAAATCCTCTTTGCCAAAGTGGAGGAATTTGGAGGATTGAGGTTGCGTGGCAAAAGTGCGTTACTGATTTCCTCAGATGCACTTTGTCAAGGTCTTGGGCCAGACGTTGTGTTGTTTTTGCTCAGCCAGGCATAAAGATAGGCCTGGATTATGCTTGAAATCCTCCGTACTCCTCTAGGATGTCACTGGCCAAGCCTCAGGAATCAGGATTTTGCAGGATTCAGGCAGTGGTCACCACTCCAAGGACCATATTCAAGAAATAATGGAGGAATTTGCAGGATTGAGGCTTTATGCTATCTTTCCATGGGGCCAATTGGAGGATTTTGCAGGATTGAGGCTACATCCTAGCAAAAAGGCCTAGGGAGTTGGGGTTAAAAAAGAACAATGTCTTTTCCCAGTATGGAATACATATTCCCATAAGAAAACAAAATTTGCCTTAATTTGTTCTGTCAGCTTTGAGCTAAGAAGAACATGAGAGAGATGTACAGTATGTATTCATGTCCTCTGTTCTGCTCCTGTCTGTCTGTCTTGAAGAGGCCATCTACAGAACCCGGAGCCCACCGGCATTCTCTGGCACTCGCCCCTCTGCCCAATCCTTGTTAGCATTGATTAGCCATTAAGACTCTGGCAGTCCATCTACCCAATTGCTTCTCATGTGGCATTAATGCAGGATATTTGAGACCTCGGCGTCTCGTACAGACTGTTGAAAATGTATAATGAGTGGAAGCGGCGGTGTAGAGATGTTAAAGCAACATCCATGAGCTTTTGAGTGGTTTGGAAATGTGTTTTATTTTTGCCTTTTTTTTTTCCTGATCAATTTGCAAGCTGTTTAAAATTAAACCATGCAGCCTCCTACTTATTAACTATGGGTCCCCCCCCCCCAAAAAAAATGTGTATACCTACATGTCTTGGGTTTTTCCCACATCTAAAACTGATTATTTCATCATTGTCTTGGTCAACAGGTGTCTTTAGGCTTGCAAGCTTAATGTACGTGAGCAATGCCATGGGTGCATGTTATTGGTTTAATTATCAGAAAGTGCCAATAAAAATATATATAACGAAGTTGAGAGGCCAATAGTTCCACAATGTATACTTCCAAATCTTACTGTGCTTTTATTTTCTACAGTTGGTTGGTATTGCCCTACTAGCTGTGGGTATCTGGGGCATCTTCGAGCTCAAATACTACCTGGAGCTGTCCGACACAGACTATTCCAACGTGGAGTACGTCCTGATTGGAACGGGCAGCTTTATGATTGCAGCTGGCATCATCGGCTGCTGTGCTACTGTCAAGAATATTGCCTGGCTCCTACAACTTGTGAGTAGTAGTAAAGCGAGTAAAGTAGTCACGAGTCGCGAGCCAATAATATTCCCATCAGGCTGGTGTTTATCTCCGGTTTCCTTGGCATGACATGACTGAAAATATTTGTATTTCTCCTGATGGGATTAATTTAATTTTATCAATTTCTTGTTTGAACTGGGTAGCCCATTCAGAGGAACCCACTGGTCTCCCATGGGGCCCAGTAAAGAGAATATGATGTGAAGAAATTACAGTTTTAGACATGGGAGGAAAACCCACAGAATCAGGCAGGGACTGAAAACCCAATCCACATGTTGGCCCAGGTAGGAATCGAACCCGGGTCACAGCGGTGGAAGGCGAGGAAAGTACCGCTACGCCATTCCATTGCAGGTTGCTCCCCAGCTAACATTGTTACCCATTTGTGCTCCTGGGTGGAGAGAGGCAAGTTGGGGTAAAGTGGCTTGCCCATGGACACAACATATGGCCAGCAGCTGGATTTGAACCCCTGACCCTCTGATCATGAGTCACAAACCCTAACCACTGGGCCACACTCTCCAGAAAACTAATGAGTGCTGGGCCCAATAGGCATGTGTTCCAGCAGCACATGTCATACACATGTGCACCCATGTTGGGCATAAATCACGGCTGTGATTGATCAAAATGTACTTTCATTTCTCGTTGCAGTATGGAGTAATGGTCTTCGTCATCTTCGTTGCACTACTAGCAGCAGGAATCTCTGGCTTTGTTTACCGGAACCCTGTAAGTTGGTGTATTTGTTTTGGACCTGGACCCTTTGTCCCATCCCCCTTTAAAAAAAAATATTCTCCAGTCTCCACCCCACACATCCCCACTCCACACATCCCCACCCCACACATCCCTACCCCACACATCCGCACCCCAAATTAAACTTTTCAATTAAGTATTGACTACACAAAATCAGCTTTAGCATACATACGTACTTAAAAAAATAATGAGTGTTCAGCCTGTACATGTACATTTAAATGTATACAATGTACATGTACATATGTATACTCATTAACATGTTAATTACTTCAGTGCAGTAATTCAGCACAGTTTGAATATTTTTGTGCATGGTACATAATGATAGTGGGTCATTCTATAAATGTGACCTGTTCTGTCAAAATCAGACTTTTCTGGGCATAAGGTCGAAAATGATATTTTTACATATTGTTAAGATATGTTCTTTTTCCTTTTAATAGGTGGTTTAATTTTTGAAACCGGTCATTCCTGGGCAGAGTTATGCTATTTTGAAGTTCATTGTGTCGAAAAGTAGAAAACAGAGAAAAATGGCCACGAACGTCACAAAACAGTTATTTCTTTAACTGATATACCTTATCAAAATCATCAAATATAGTATATGTAGAGTTCAAATTAAGGTTTCAAACTTTTATAATATATTTTAGACATGTTAAGGATTACAAATATGCACAAATTTGAAAATCGATAAAAATCACCCCCACAGCGTTTTTTGGCCCTGTCTCAATTTCAACCTCTGCCCAGAAGCGTCTGCTTTTGACAGAACAGGTCACAAATTTGGGGTCCACTTTTTTTCCTGTCCCTGTTTCATCTGACATCTATGATTTTATAATTCTGATGCACTCCTTATTGCAGTCGTACTCCAAGATCAATGATAAGTATGAAACTAAATGTACTACCCAACAAATAAAAAATTGTTTGAAGTCATTTTTTGTGATACTTTGAATGGCAAATGACAAAGAACCAAGGTAACAGGGACAGGAAAAAGGTCACACTTTGGACCCAAAATTTATAGAATGACCACATGTGTATTTTGAGAACATGAAATACATGCTGAGTGCACAAAATGCTGATTGTTCTTACAAAATAGCGTCCTGCCAATATTTGTTATTGGGACAATAAAAAAAAAAATTGTTTCCCAATAGCACTTGGGTGTGCAACCTATAAATCAGCATATTTTTATAACCCACATTTATCTTTGCACGCCATTAGAGAAGTCACTTTAAATGTCAATGCAATGAATTCTAGCACACAAGACAATCCTCATGGGAGTCACATACATGTACAGTACATGTAGTGCTCAACTGTTCATGCCATTATGGGACTTGAGTGTCTATGTTGTGATGATGAATGGCGTTCACATTGCCAGGCATGCAATGAATTGATAGATGATTGTTGAAATGTTTTCAGGCCAGACGTGACATGCATTTTATGGCTTGCAATTGCGCTGCCTTTTTGCCCATGAAAAAGGTATTGAATAGATGCCGCATAGACCGCATTTAAATTGAAAGCTTTAGTTGAGCATATTTGTTCATGCATATAAACCAGTTAAAGAATGTCACCTGTAGTACATACAGTCGAATCTCGTTAGTACAAACTCTGTTAATACAAAATTCTGGTTATAACAAACATAAAGCCTTGGTCCCGACTGTGCATTTATGTGCACAATGAATGGGACTGATGTTCCTCTTAATACAAAATTCTGATATAACAAACAATTTGGCTAGGTCCGAACGAGTTTGTATTAACGAGACTCAATTGTATATGTACTGTGATGTATACATGTATGCATTGATCACTATGGTTGTACATGTACCTGTATGAAGAGTAGGAAAGTGGTCAAAATAAATACACAATGTAACAGTAATGTAGCATAAATCATTACGTGTATTGCCTGGATGTATGCCATCTTGGGATATTAGGGAAGAAAATGTACCAGTTAATTTTTTTTTAACCCTAACCCCAAAAGGGCTGTTTGGGGGTCAAGTACCAAATACCACAGAATACTACATGTGTTGTGCACACTTGTATGGAAAGAAATTCATACTACCGGTTACTCCTCAGTAGTATTTTATAATAAAAAACTTCCATCTGCAGATGCTCAGTATTTGAAAATGAAAAAGTATCAAAACGCAAACAAGAACCTCAGGCCCATAGTAAATGTCGGTGTCAGAAGCAGAATCTTCTAACTTGCCACTTGGAATAATACATAATTTAGTGCTTGCAACTCAATATATCGCCTAATTATTTCATTTTGTGACACCTTAAAAGCTCAACATCAACTCAGACTTTCAAAACATCTCTCAAAACTCACTTGTTCTCCAATTCACCATAGTATCCACTTTCCTGTACATTTCCAGGTGTCTGATCTAAGTTGTTTATTGTTGGTTTTTTTCATTGTAAAGCACTTTGATCTTGTTAAAAGCGCTATATAAGAACCTGTATTATTATTATACTATTTTTTGTGTTATTTTCTACAGTTGGAAGAAGGATTTAAGAAGGGTTTGAACAGCAAGCTGAAGACTTACGAAGGACGAAAGGATCCGCCTGATTCTTACATCGACAAACTCCAGGAAAATGTGAGTTTTATCTCCCTCCTTCTTGACTTTTTTTTTTCATAACGAACATCCAATCAGCATGTGTATTAGTGACGTGGATCTCAAATTGCAAACGTGCACAGTAAGGACACGAGAAACAAGTGCAATTTGTAATGAAAACCGCATCCTTCCCTGTCCAGCCTCTATAATTAAAGACTCTTCCAGAGATACTGTCCTCCGTCCGAGCCTGCTCACCCAACTGTGAAACGGAGTGTGTAATAACATCTCATTATTTCGTCGTTGTGTTCCATATGGTTATTGAGTGCCATTGAGTTAAATGCGCTCCATGCTGGCAGGTTGCAGGTGTGCGTGATATCTTATTCATCAACTGGCTCGATTCTATTTAAAATTTTAATCAACAGGGGAAATTAATATAAACGGTCAGGACTGCAGATTTTCTTTTTTTTTCCACAGTGTTGCCCTCAAAATCTTATCTACAAAAAATATTTTAAAAAAGGAAATTAGTGCAAAGCGAACTAGGAAATTGACTTCAGTTGGATATTGCTTTAAAAACATCTCACAGACAGGCTAAAAAAATGCTTCTCAAACAAACAAGCAAAATGCCATCTTTTAATAAATTTGATTTGTGTTTCCTATTTAAACTTCAAGTACTGTACATCTTCAGTTTGAATTTATGATTTCATCTTTCAGTGTCTTTTCTAAACATAGCAAGGCTAGGAGAAATAACAGTGTTGATGAACATGTGTGCAAGAAAAAGATTAGTTCAGCCAAAGTTACCCACATCCTGTTTTGATGCTGAAGATATTTTTACCCTGCGGTGTATGTTTTCTGAGAAAAAAAGTTGTGCAGGTCGTTAGACAGTTCTGGCAAATTGCCACAGGGAATGTAGTTTTCAAGTTTTTGCTTTTCCAAACTCGGTCCACAAAATCTTCAACTAAAGTTGTGTAGAGCAGGCGCTCACATTACATTGCTTTCAGTATTTGATATTTACTCCTTGCTGCAAATGTCATGCATCGTCCCCCTTTGTGAAAGTTTCACGGGAAGACACATGAAGCTTAGTGAAGGTTATATCATTGTCAAGCATTATATATGTCAAGGGTTTTCCCATCTTTAGCTTCACCTCCATTTTCAATTTAAGCTTATTTGTGCTTCAGAAACTTCATGTCTTATAATACCAGACCTGTAGTGTACATGTGTAGTTTATTTCCAATTTGGGTTAGATATTTAAGGCTTTTAACCCTTCTGCTGTCTGAACAATCACAGGCAGTCAAAAAATCAATCCTTTTCCCTGCCATGCCTTTTACACAGGCTAGTCACCAACAGTCAGATCTTATTTATTAGCAAGCACTGTGACTAGTCATATTCAGTCAACAGACAAAAACATGCAAGTGGTAGGCACAGCTGGCTTATCAATCACCTGCAGTCAAAGCATAGCTTTATCAGGTTACACACAGTCACAGCCAGTCAAACCTGCTTTATGTATTTAGGCTGGGAGCTCAGTCACTTGATTGATTTTGACTGAAAGGACAACTTGGCACAGGATGTGTGTTTGCATAGGAGGTTTAATGATTCTAATGAATTGGAGTTTAGACCAAGAGATGAAACCATGGTTTTAAAATGCCCGAAGGCTCTGTGCATACATCAGGCATGCAACTTTTCCTCGGATCAGCTGATTTCCTCTTTTTTTACTCCCCATGTGTGCCATTGAAAATAGAAAAACACTGTACAAAGTCAGGGAAAATTTGAATGTTCTCTTTTTTTGTGATTTCCCAGTTGCATGCCTGATACATGTTTCCTGCCGTCTTGTATTGAAAATGAAGGGGAAAATCACACATAGGCCTACAAAATTCAAATTTGGGCACAAAGAAGATTGCATACCTCAGTTTTAAACATGTTAAAGGAACTTCCCTAATTTGGATGTTGTTAGGAATCTCACACCCCCTCAAGAGTTCATGCACAAACCCATTAAAATTTAATTATTTCTGCCCCCCCCCCCCCCTCAGCTGTTTTGCTGTGGCTCCAAAAACTTCACCGACTGGCTTCAACCGGACATTAGTTGGTCCAAGACCCACCCAGATCTTGACGAGGTACCAGCCAGCTGCTGTAACTCAACGGTGGATGCAGAGATGTGCGACTCGGCCGAGGGAGACATACCAGTCAGGACGGATAATGGAACACTTCTGGCTTATAGCGAGGTATGAAGGAAGGGGAGGGGGGGGGGGAGGGTTCACAAATACGGGCCTTGAGCTGCTGAATGTCCAGATTCCCATCAACTCAAATTGGAATTTTGGATTTTCCTTCACTTCTCATTCTTAGAATCCCACTGAGTTTTATTACCAAAGTCCGTCTGAATTAAACCCATTAATTAACCCTAACCTCACCTAAAGCTACAAAATATTACTGACTAGTAACCTGTAGTATGCATTTCTTTCCATACAAGTGTGCACAACACATGTAGTATTCTGTGGTATTTGGTCCTTGACCCCCAAAGAGCCCTTAAGACGTTAGGGTTAAGATTATTTTTCAAGACATAGTTGCCTAATACAGGTAACTTCTCTCCAAAGATGTACACATGTATTCCAGCAAAGAGCATTATTGAGTAAGAAGACTTAGGAATATATGAGCATGTGCTTTCTCTCCCAAAGTTCCATTCGTACACAGCGTTTAAGTCGAGTCGAGTCCATCACAAGTCTGATCACAACGGTCCATTCACAAGTATTCCTGCAAGGAGGATTATGCTAATCTGGGATAATCCTAGACAGCAGACTGCCCTTGGGGATAAGATGATATGATGGAAGAAGATTTCATTTGCTGTGAAAAGTCTTTGTCTTATCATAAAGTAAACCATTATTCAGCGGCATTTGTTTCTTCTGTTGCTGCTGGCATATTTAATCCAATAACTACATGCAGCGGGAAGACGTGATCTTAATGTATGCACGTTACCCATACGTGGATGGATGTTAATTATGTTCAATATCAAACAAAATGTAATAGTGCGATTTGGTTGCTTGGCCACAGGGTTGCTACGAGAAAGTGACAGGTTTCCTTGACAACAAGATGGCAATTATTGGCGGCAGTGCACTGGGATTTGCTTTCTTTCAGGTAAAAATTGCTTTCCATGATATTTGATTTATCGGAATTGTTACTTAATTTCTAACATAGCGTTCCATATAGTGTATAAATTCCGTCAGTATTATGAACCATTGTATTTTAATAATTTTTGAAAGAATACATTTTTTTTGCCGATAATTTGAAGAAGCAATGTTATTTAATTCACAAAATGAAATGTTTGACTGGATGAAGAGTTTGTAATTTTTGTAAAATAACTAATCAGTTTTCTTTAATTTCCTTCTTTTATTTTTAGCTCATTGGCATCGTTCTTGCATTTGGACTGGCCAAGCTCATCAACACCAACAAGTACGAGATGATGTGAGGAGTTAACAGCGCCCTCTATGAATGAACAGCACCCCCTGTTGATGTCCATTGCTCATTTTAATTTGCACATTTTTTGGGTGGCTTGTCATCTCGATATTTATTGCTCATTGGGCAAATTAGTATTCAAAGCTTTGAATGCAGAGTTTATCTGCACAAAAAGATTTATTGAATTGTAAAATTTGTTTCACAGCTACATTGGGTTTAATATTCAGGGTGAAAAGTTTAACATACATAGTACTTTCGTTGATGGTCAAAAGTACAACATTGTTAAAAAAGCTGCTAAAATTATTATGCTTAAAGGAGCGAAACTGTCTCAAACTCTGTAGAGATTTGAATTGAAATTCTGCAGCGTTGTCAAAAGTGACTGCTGTCACAACTGAGCTGCTTGTTTTTGTTTTTTTATATAAAAAGCTTGAGCAAAAATATATTGAGAGCTCACAAAAATTAGACTTCACCAAAACCAATGAGTAGGACATTTCGCACAAGCAAAAAGAAAACTATCGCATCCATGCTGTCAACTGTAAGTTTAAAAATACGGTGTAGAGATAGAGCAGTCGAAAGAATTAGTATAGAAATATAAGAAAGCATGTGGAAAAATGCATATTGGATCACATAAAAATATGTGGTCAACAACATCACTCGATACCTTGTAATTTTGCCTTTTTTAGTGTCCCTTCGAAGTGCTTTGTGTCTGTTACTGTGTGGATCAGTGTGTGTCACTAGATCTGTCTGTTTGTGTCACTAGATCTGTCTGTGTGTAAGCCCCACTGTCGACATTTGCCAATAATATTTCCAACTCTGTGGTACCTTTTAGTGTTAATATTTTTGCCTTAAAAAGTTCTCCTTCATATAAAGTTCTCCTTCATTATCTTTTTTCCCGACTTTCTTCTCTACAACTTCTTCTTCAACGAAATAGAGCGAGCTGATGTATAGATGAACTAAACCTTACTAAATAGTTTTTATTTTCTACAGAATATAGTCAACACCAGGGTCACTTTTAGTTAGATTCTTTTTACCATCTTTCATGGCCTTTATCTTTGCCTTTAAAACAATGCATTTTAAAATTTTACTCCATATATTTTCAAGAGGCTGTTTATTAAGTTTTGTTCATTTGCAAAAGTGTATGAAAGGAGCCACAAAAATCCGGCCCTTCACAATTTTAAGTTCCTAATGGAGGTTATATTTTGGGTTTTGATTACAGGGTAGCAACAACTTGTAAATGCCCGATAATTAAAGAGAAAGAAAAACTATTTTTAATGTTCAAAAGAAAAACCATCAAATTTGGTGCTTGATGTGCATAGTGGTACTTAAACTCTTTTTTTTTTTAATTTTGTATTTTGTTAAACATTTAATCACTCATAAACAGCATTCATCAACTCGATGCAACTCATTTTTTTGTTTAAAAATAAATTTAATCCTGATTTTAATTTTACCTGATTTAACTTGAAACTCTTGTCTATCATTGTATAAAATTCTCGGTAAAATGGCCTAAAATTACGTCTAAACCAAGAAAACTCACTGATGTATGTAAAAAAAAAAAAAAGTTTTGTATTTTAAGTAAAGTTTATTTTTGCATGCGTAGTGTTCTGTATTATGCACTTATACGTGTACAGTTTAGTGTTTAGATTCTCTATTAAGACTTTCCCCCTGACATTTTCTGTAATTTGCCTTATTATCTATTAATTTTAAGCTACTTAAAATATTTTAGTTAATAAATATGTGGTGTCTTAATAAGCTTTGAGAAAATGCATAGCCTGAAAAGTGTATGTGTAGTTAGAAAAAAGCTGATCTTTCCTCAACCAGTAGTCATATTCTTGGAATTTAAAATTTAATGAGAAATAATGAGTTTCAATTACAGTGAGAAGTTGTTATGTTCAGTTCTACAGTGATGTTCGTTATTAACTGCAAAAAGGTTTACAAAGCCATGTTTAGTTTGGAAGAACACAAAAAAATGTTCTGTCATATATCCATAGTCATATCAGAAGAAATGCACAAAAGTTGGTCATTTAACAATAATTTCAATTTCTACCTTGACTCAGACGAGGAGAAAATCTGTTTCCAAGAATTTTTTAAATTTTTTTTCGGTTTGGCTTTTCACGTTTTATCATAAAACTGATTTGCTGCCACAAAATGAAATTCTGTGATTTGCATATCATTGAATAGAGCTTCAACAAATCTTTACCATATTGTTGGTGAAACTGCATTGTTGTCTTTGAAATTGCAGAAGAATTTGGCAATTTTTAGAATCAGGTCACACAGCAGGTAAAGAGAGTGGAGGCCGAAAAGAAATACATGACTTTTCCTTATGAATTTTTGTGCATGTTAATTAATTGGTGTCTTGTAAAACTTGTAATTAATCATTGTGAAAGATAATCAGCAGTATTAGGCCTATGCGCTGTGTGGAAGGAATCACTATGTATATGCAATTGTTAAGTATTATAACAAACAAAATTTCAAGCTTCGTAGGATTGCTGATGTATCCAGCCAATCAAATAGAACGATCTATTAGGCCCCGCCCACTGCCGGCCACGTGGGCAACGTGACAACACGTACGCCTCTCCAATGCGCTACCGCAGACGCGCGCGTCATGTGCGCGTGCACGCATGTCGGTTATAAACTACGATGTGATTGGTCAAAGCATCATGGGGCGGAGCTTAGTCGGTCTGTATGCTACGACAGGTTTGCGAAATGGAGTCACTTGATCCGCCCTGCCTGTTATTATATTACCGGCTATTCACTGCAATAAATTAGTATTGTGAAAATGTACAAATTCATTGGGAATGTTTGATTGATGTTTGTTCATGTGTCTACCATTTTTTAATGGAGTTTTTTCGGGGCGGAATCAGGGAGAAGAAAGTTCAATGGGATGAATATTACCAATAACCCGTAAAGAAACACCCTTCACGATTTTTAAAAGACAATGTAAAACGCGAGCATGCACAATCATAGGTTCATCAAAAAAAAATTAAAAGGCCCCCCCCTCCTATTTTGCGTGAGAGAAACGTGCAAATCATAAAACGAGGAATGTGACTTGAAAGTTTGAAACGCCCCCCCCCCCAAAAAAAAAACGCTTTACATATTTAACTTTTTTGTCAGATGGCATTTTTATCAAACTTTATCAGACTTAACAAAAGTTTTACAAACTTGGAAACACTCGACCTTTGCGATCATAAATTGGAGTGATTACCACTATTTTATTGACACACCAAAGTACATGAACCACGATCGGCTAGCTGAGCATTTCTCTGTGTTGACTCCACAAACAAATATCCTTGAAAATTCACAGTTTAGCCCGCTTAGTTCGTGATCGCTGTAGCATGCAGTACGCGAGGTCACGCACCCCTAGCCCTGTACCCACCCGTACCTATTCACCCTTAGGGGTACGTGTTGCTAGGATGCACGCTACGCGGAAGTCATACACAACCAATGTGGTCAGTGCAGAAATTCACTGCAACTTCTCGTGTTTTTAGGTCATTTTGTCCTGTTTTCCCAAAAAAATGTAGTGTTATCGGATTGGATTTTGTTAAAGACTCCCTTGTAAATCCCGCGAGTGAAAAGGTAATCCCTCTTTTTTTTTCAATCACTTTTCTCATAAATAATTCGGTTCTTGTAAGTTCAACCAAGGGTGTATCCAACCAAGTCACTTGGGGATCGTCTTAGTGAGACGGCCCTTTTGTCAACTAGTAAATAAAGAGCAATCTTTGAAAACCAGTCGGCTTTGCTCTCCCTTGATCAAATATTCAGAAGTTCCTGCTATTGTTCATTTATCCGGACATTGTTTGGTTTATAATGGACATCATGTAACCAAGCAATGACTGGACAGATCACAGCTAGACAGGACACGAAGATCGATAGTTGAAGAGGGTCACTCGGAATCTTTGGGGAACACTCCTGCAAGTTTTAGCGATTTGAAACGTGTGGATATTTGTTTTTCAGAAAGGAATCTTGCTGTTTCCTCTTTTGATTGAGTAAGTATCCTCCATGATTGAACCAGACTAACTGAAGTCAAGATGGAAGTTTCATGTAAACATTGGCAAAAGCCTAAGGTGATTTTGAGTATTTTCAGGATAAAAATGGATATTAATTATAGGCTGTAGTGTAGAATTATATTCCTGGAAACATTATGTTGTCATAATTTCATTGAAAATGTCCTGTATTTTGATCTTATCGACAGTTCAATTGTTAATATTTGAATAATGCTTTGGATGATGTTAACTATATATTTTTGTTCAACCTCATTTTAAATGAAATTTAATTACTAATTGCTGAATATATTTGTTATTGATTCATAAACTTATTTAATAATAGTGGACCCAAATCTGTAATCAGCCCAAAGCAACCAAATATTGTCTAAAATCCACTTTTGTTTTGGCTATATCCCCCATGGTTGAAAAAACATTATTACCAGACTACTATTGCTTCACAAAAAACCTCATGTAAAACTCACAAATTGTTCTAATTAAAAAGAATTTATCTTAATTTTTCTTCACAAAATACTTCAATATAATTTTAACTAAAATCAATAATTCCCTCATCCCAATGTTCTCAAAAGTCACCTGAATGTCCCCTTTTTCCCAGATTTCTGCAGCAAGAAAGGATGACCTAACGATACCAATGCCCTGCCCATCTTAATCCGCATCTTGTCTGCATCATCTGCAATCTAGGAGGATGGAATCCTGCATCCCTGCTGGCAAGACACGATACCCTCGCAAGACACAGGTAAAACTAAGCGCATAGATGCATGAATTAATTATAAGAATTCTAGATTAAAAGAGCGAGGTAGCGTAATCCTTGAAACAAGTGGCCAACTTAAATATTTGTTCACACAAGCTACATGTATCCCCCAATTAAGGGAGGAGCTAATTTTAAAAGGGGTGGGATGACATTGACTAATCATTAATGCAATAAGAAATTTTTCGGAGGGTGGTGGATATGGGTTACTTATAAAAAAAAAAGTCTTGAAAGTGTCTGGCTTTTTGAAAATTGTAAAACTACACCCAGTTTATTTGAAAGAGTGGGCGGGGTTGCGAGTAAAGTGGGGGGGGGGGATTTGACAATAATAGGCACCATTTCAAACTTTATTTTCTACAATGTGCGGTGTTTAGGGCAAATCATAATTTGTCAATTATTTACCAGAGGGTCAAGATTTGAATAAAGCGATTATGGTGTTTTTTCTTATAACACATTTACCAATTAAATTTTAAAATCAGATTTTTTTCATTTTTTAGCAGCGTTTAAATTCAAGGTGACTTTTGTTATTTTTTGAAGCAAATGCAGTCAGTTTTTATGTCTTCAAACAAAACACTGGATTCAAAACAAAATTTGTCACTAGTTGACAGCATCAATTTGCCTTCTGAGATTGTGAGTTTAGCATTGATGTAAGAGGAAAAAGTTTAAACACTATCCTATTCTCTCTCCTTTTATCGATGTACAGACGGCGGTCTCTTACCAGCATCTGGACTGTGACTTCATCACCGCATCCCGTCAAGATGCCGCCACGCGTCGCTCGCGTCATCACGCCAGAGCCAACACCTTGCCCAAGATAGCCACGGGCCGCAGCGTCCGCAGTGCCAAGAAACTCTGGGAGGACTACGAATGCATCGAGGTGCGGTCCAGAGTACAAACGGTGAGAGGACATATTTCTTGATGGAGTCATCAGTGAATCCAGAACCAATGTTTTTGTGTTGGTGGGCGGGGTGGGGGCAGGGGGGGGGGTGTTTGACGGTCTAAACTCCCTTTGAGCCACAAAATACAGGAATATGGCAAAGAACATATGACTGCTACCACCCCCCCCCCCCCCCCCCCCCCCTATTGATTTAAGGGGGGGCCTGGAAAAGATGATATAATGAAATTTAAATTTTGTACATCATAATAAATTCAAATTCGAATCCATCAGAAAACTTGTTATAAATTGCAGATGTGTGTTCCATTCATAACAAAATCCATAAAATTCAATGAAATGCAATGGAAATCCATCAAAAACTAATTGAAGACAGTCTCTAAGTTCTACGTACATGTATATCAATTCGTAACTGCTAAAAAAGATCTTCAGAATAAATAAAAAGTCCTCAGTCCATCTTTTACACAATTTATCATGCGTCATCTTGAAGATAAACTGCCATATCCAACCGTTATTTCTACACACAATCCCTTTATGGCTCAGACATCATTGCATTCCTTGACACGATAAATAAATGATCAGTTTTCCTCAGCAGCCGTGCCACACTCACATTTTATGCATGGAATTTTTTTCTTTTCAATTTCGGTAGACAGCTAGACGTGACTCACCGTACATCAGCTGTCAGCTAATATATATTCTCCCATGTAGTAGTCTTAAGTACCCATTCTTAAAGATGCAGCATATCGCAATATCACTGCAGCTTTTCGCGTGTGTATATTTTTTTGGCAGGTCCTTTGAACTCATCATCACAAAAGAATTAGATAATTTTTTTCCAGGGGGATGGGTTAAAACTCACTTTCAGTTATTCTTTATTTTAATTTGAGGGTTTTTAAAAGAAAAAATAACCAATGTAAGAAAACATCAAATTTTGATATGAAATGAATTTGGGAGATGTTTAGCAATGTTAAAAGAGAAGAATAACAGACAACCTTGGATTACCTTACGTACATATATTGAGATTTTGTTTTAAATTTCCTTTACTATTTTATAAACAACAAAGTTGTTTTCCTTACACAAAAAATAGATGATACACTTATAGGATTATGTTTATTTGTGTGTATTTGATTTTGAGTTTAAGACATGCATGATTTTGTTATTTGCCCTGTTAAAAAATGTTCAGGCTTTCAGAACTATTTCAAGTCAAATATTCCAAAGTACTTTCAACTGAAATATTCCAAACTCATTGTAACAAACACCCTTCCGAGGCTTTGTGGTTGTTTTCATTTCATTACTACTTCCATCCTCAGGAGAATGAGAAACAACCCGAGGTACCGCCACTGAGAGTCCCCAAGAATCCCCACAGTCTCTACAAACACCCCGTTAAGGCGGTCAAACCATTCCACATCTTACACAGTCCGTCCGACTATGGAGAAGCCAAGCATCAATTGCGGGAGCTCTATGCGCAGGTCACTTATCTGACCAACGCTGTGAGGAACTGTGACGGATCAGCCAGTTACAAGGTAATTTAAGATGTTATGACAAAACAAGGGGTGGGGGAGGGGGTGGGGGAAGGGGTGGGGGAGGGGGTGGGGGAGGGGGTGGGGTGGGATAGGGCTTGGTGGGGGCGAGGTAGGGTGTGGTGGGGTTCTTAACCTCTGTTTTTCCCCTCCTGCTTCATTTTCATCTCCAACTCCAAAATCATCTTTTGGAGGTTCCTAGTACAAATTTCAATTATTCCAAGATTTGTGACACTCAATAATTTCCACTTTTTTTGTTTTTTTTGGTCCAGGGCATGTGCAAACGCCAACGCAGCTATCGCAGCGACGACAACAACCCCTTACATCTGCACTGGCCCTCCTCGGACGACACCATACCAATACCCCGCCTCCTGTTACCAGTGATGCCGGGTACCAACACCAAGTGGTACTCTTGGAAGGTGGACACACCCAGAGAGGTGGCCTCCCCACGGGGGAGGGGCGAGCACCTGGGCAGGGGAAGTGACAAGAGAGTTGCTGCATCCGCACCAGGTTAATTTGAAGTTATAATCTGCTGTTGGCTGCCGAGACAACTGGGATATTAAATAAAAACAATCTTTCACATTCAGTTAACCATGTTAAATTCTGTTTCCCTCGCAGTTTCCCGAAGTTTGGACTTTCTTGAGAGATACGGCAAGAATGCAAGCCGTGTTGCATTTACTGTGGACGACACTGAAGGAAGGCGGTCAAAGAACAGCAAAAATACCGACACGAAGTCCAGAGACGGTCACTTGAGCGTCAGAACCCTCGAAGGGACAGAGGTTACCGAATCCCTGGCTTCAAGTTCGCTGTCCTCAATTGTGAAATACGACGCGGGCAAATTCAAACTGAAAGAGCACGAAGTGATTGCTGGAAAAGCTATTTTTCTGACACAGTCAGAGCCTAGGAAAATGTCGAGTGTACAGGAGATGCACACAGATGTAGCAGGTGTCAGTTGCCATGGAGATGAAGAGGAAAAAGGAAAGGAGACAAAAACAGTGAGGACTACGTCAGATAATGTCACTGAAGAAAAAGATGAAGGTTTGCCAGATGTGGTCCGGGAACAGACTCCCGAGGATGAAATGGACGTAGTTGCAAGAGCAAATGTTGCGGCGACGGAACCATCAAAAAATGCTGCATTGGAAGAGCCTCAAAATTCTACACAAGATGCTGCTGTTGCAAGTGAGGACCTTCAACAAGACACAAAATTGACTGAGCAGGTTTCCATGGGAACCGTTAATGAATTGGCGGAAACTGGTTCGGATAACGGCCATGAAAATGACTCCGGTGATGCAACACGTGATGATATGCAACACAGCAAAGACAATGCCTCTGTTACCATGGCAACAGATGGAGCCACTAGTAATCATGATGCCAGTGAAGATCTAGAGAACACTGAAGATGTTGACAATGGGAATCAGGATGGAGAAAATCTTCCCGCTGTTACCATGGCAACAGATGGAACCACTAGTAATCACGATGCCAGTGAAGAGCCAGAGAACACTGAAGATGTTGACAATGAGAATCAGGACGGAGAAAATGTTCCCGCTGACAAGGTCGAGGAAAGTCCAGACAATCTAGACTCTGGAAAAATGTCTCAAGACAAAGGCAGTTCTTGTGAAGTCGAAGAGGACAATGAACAAAAAGACAATAATTCTGGAGATGCTTCGAAAGAAACACTGATAACGGATCAGTCTGAAGACAATGATACATGATTGTGTCAACTAAATTTGTTGTTTCAAAACTGGACTGTTTCTGAAGTTATCCTTTATTTTTGCTAGCATATACATGTATGTATGAATAAGATCTGAATGTTGTTAGGCCAAAATATGACGTGGTACTACCAGGCACAATTGGGCAAAACTACGAATGGAGAAACATCTGCCATATGACATGGGGTGATTTTCAGTTTTTTATTGCGATTTTCATAATAAATTTTTGATTTTTTTTTTTTGGCAAATCAATAAAAGGCCAGTTTCTTTGCTTCTGTATACCTGTCGCCAAGGTAATGTTGTTTCATAATGACACCTTTTCCGAATAACTTTTTTTCGCAAAACTCAAACTTAAAAGACCTGTTTCTCATATTTGACATTTTGGACAGTCTGATGTCAAAATTCAATAACTTTGCTTTGGAATATCCAATTTCAATAAAAACAAAGCAGCGTTTGAAATATTTTACTAATATTGCAATAACTGAAAATTTAGTTCTTGCTCAATTGTGCCTGATTTTGACATACCACATCACAAATGTGGAGCTACTAAACTGAAAAATAACACTCAATTTTTGTTTGAAATTGGGCATGAGGCAAGTTGATTAAAATCTCAAATTGCAAAACTTTAGAAACAATATACACTAACTTAATTTAACACCTTACAAAAAAGGGAAATATTAACATGAGTATGGCTCAAATGCTTTTATTTTTTTTTAACTTTTCAAAACTTCATACTAACACGAAATAATTTGTACTGAGGTAAAAAAAACACAGAAAATAAGTTAATTTTCCAATTTGTTTTTACACCCGCATTGGAACTTTGATATTGGCAAGACAATTACAAGATATCAAAAACACAAAAAAATATGCAATAATGTAAAAAATAGAATAACGTATTGTTATACAAATAATGAATGTTTGTGAGTGCAATGGACAGAATAATTTCATTTGGTGACAGATGGAATGTTCCATTCCACGAGGCGAAGCCCAGTGGAATGGAACATTCCATCTGTAACCGAATGGAATTATTCTTTCCATTGCATAAATGTGAAACATTCATTATTTGTTTTATACAACACCTGAATAAATCTCGTCATCTGATTGGTCTGAGCCACCAATCATGTGACCGTGCAAAGGAACTTCCATTTACTGTGGAATGGAACTTCTATTTTTACAGTGCAGCCGCGCCCTGCATTGGGACAAATAATTCAATGACACGTGATCAACAAACTACCAATCAGATGACAGGGATTTATTCAGGCACTGTATAAAATCTAGTGTAACTGTCGAAACTTTGATGTGCAAATAAATTATTTTGAGACTAAATGATATACATGAATGGTGTCTTTTTTTCCTAATCTAACTGTTTATAAATGTTGACAAGTAAACAAAGTATATTTACCAAAAAAAAAAAAATGACCATGAAACTAAAAAAGTCGAAAATAGGAGGTAGGGAATTAACATATGGGCACTGTTGTGTACTGCAAAAGTTATTCTCTGCAGAACATCTACAGCAAAAACAGAAGCCACGGAAACAACAATTCAGATTCAGACATGATCTAAGTTAAAAATACAAAATAGAGAGAACTAGTTTGGCTTGCTCCCATTGCCTCTGGATGAATCGGGGCACGTGATCATGGTACAAACACAAGGCCCTCTTCAATGGCAAAAGCACTGCCCAAGCTATTGTCTGAATATTAGCTGGTACAATTCTTTCGTTATTGAAAGGGGGCCTTTGTGATATAACTTCATGTACCCTGATTGTCTATAGCCAGCCTCAGGCCGACCCTCGATTTTCTTGCGCGTCGACGGAATCGTCGGCATCAAGTACACAAATTATGCCCAGGTCACAAAACTGAGAAGTTGTGTGATGGTCGCGGAACATGCGCAGAAATTGGATTTTTTTTACTCTTACGACTGGTGATTTTTTTGTGAGCGCCAACTGATGCTGATCATTTTAATATCGTCGCAGTTACACTCGGGTCGCGCAAAATTGGCGACTGAGTTGTTCCCGACGGTCGTAGCTCAGACGCAGCTTGATCCTGAAAAGTCAGTCGCCGACTGATCTGTGTCGTCGCAAGGTCGACCTGAGGCTGGCTTATAGAGCACTGGTGACCTTATTTCTATGCACTCTCTTTTGGTACATTTTGTAGCATAACAAGTCAGCGCTTCAGTGTGCGCATGGTCAGTTCGCACAAAATGCAAGTACAAGTACAATGTTTATGGCAAGCAACCTGCCCACTATGCATTGCAACGCCCGTGTTTCCCTCACAAGTTTTATAAAAGGGATCAATGATCATCAGCGCTCTGGATAGTACAGTAGCGATAAGCGATTTAATCAGTCAAAATCAATGCGGCCATATCCCACGTGGGTACCGTCTTATAAATAAGCAGAAGTCCTTCTCGGAATATTTGTGTACCGTACAATGTGTCCCAGGCCTTCCCATCAAACCTCCTTCTTCCTCTTCTAACACATTCTCAGACATCGTCTCCTCTTTCTCGCGCCATCTCGACCTCTTCCTTGTGCGCCTTGCTAGTCATGTGAGCTCCATATGGCTTCGGCCCGTTCAACTTCTTATCGCAAATGCTGCAGTAGTAATCGTTCTTTTCTTGCTCTTTGCTCTGTTCGGGGTTCTCTGTCTGCTTGTTGTAGGCCGAGACGTAGGGTTTAAAAACAGCTGTATGAAAAATGAGACTTTTTCGATCAAAACAATACAGCAGCTTTTATCAAAAACGTTAAAAGGGAACAAACGACAGTTTGAGATTTCTTTCCAGTTGTGCGAAAATTGAAACAAACATTCATTTTCATTTTTCAGGCAAAAGGGCAAACTGAATATTTAGATCCCCCTGATACAGAATTCCATCATACATGTACCAGCCATAGCAGTTTGGTGAGGAATTTGTTTCCAGGAGTGTCGGGGGGGGGGGGGGGGGGGGGGATTTTTTGACAGATTTGATAATTTTTGAACTGATGACATCTAAAGCTGCACACCCAAAACAGTACAAGGTACAAGACCAAAGGAAAAATCGATTCACTTAAAAACTTAAAAAACAAAAAAATCAAGTTGAAGAAAATTCTTACGTTTCTCTGTGGGAACTTCTGCTTCTTCAACTTTATCAGCGAGCCATGGCAAGATGCTTGGTTTGGCTTCTTCAATCTGAAAAAAAAAAAAAATGGTGAAAAATATGTTTCCCTTTGTTAAAGCTATAGTCCATCATTTGCAGCCATCCGAAAAGTAACTGGCGTAATTACTGTTAAAAAACAAACTTGGTTGAAAGATAGTAAGGGAACTAAACTCCCTGTGAAATTATTCTTTCTGGGAAGCTGTCATTTTGAAGTAATCAACGAAAGAAGGCATTTCCAACGGTGATTCTTAAGAAACACCGTAGGAAAATTTAAATTAGTAGTTCGTTTTGTTATTCAGCGCAGCGCGCACAAGTATTGGAACGACGCACACGCGCGCGCGGTTGTTATAATTCGTCGGATCAGTGCGCGACGCCGCGTATAGCTGCAATTCAAAACAGTTCAAAACATGATTCAGTAACTTTTGATTTGAAATTGAGATCTTAGAATGCTGCTTTTCTCGGAATGTACAGCTGAAGCTTAGCTGAAACTTCATCAGGTTAGTTGCTCAGTATCCTTCATTAGATTTTGAACACTTTTGTTGCTTCAAACGAACAAAATGCACAAATGACAAATGATGGACTATAGCTTTAAATACTTCAGCCAATGAGGTGTTTATGAGGGCAGACAATGGCCTCGTGCTTTTGATAATCTTATTGGTTTCTACTATGCACCATGACAAATTGAGGTACCTATCGATCTCATTGGTCAAGTCTAGAATCTAGGCTTCAAAAGAGAATCTTCAACTCACCTTCATGTAATTGGCAGGAACGTAACCCACGGCTCCCGTCTCATCCCGGACTTTCCACCAGTGTTCGTTTGTTGGGTGTTTCTCTACTAGAGTCAGCTTCTGGCCCTGTCGGATGTTGAGTTCCGAGAAACCCAGGGGGCTTTCTGGGTTAGCCTTATAGCTGTACTTGGCAAGTAACGTCTTGGCTCTGCTGTTATTGTCACCAGCTGAAAGATGGAGAATTTTTTTTTTTACATTTTAGAAATTGTTGACGCCTTATTAACTCTCAATTAACCCTCCTGCTGATATAACTATCACAAACGGTCAAAAATCTATCCACTTCCTTTTCCAAACCTTTTGTACAGGCTGGTCACCAACTGCCAGAAACCCTATGGATTAAACCGTAAAACTGTCACAGCCTGTTGAAGGGGTTTGATAGATAGGGTGACCATTAATACTGCTACAGCTTGTGTAGCAGCCATTTTTAAAGGGTGATGCCTTTGTTTGGCTGGAATGCATGAGGGAACCTTTTGTGCCTTCATTGTTATTGAGCTAAATCCATCATTGACAGGCAGTCACCAGTGCCGACAAACCACATCTATCAATGTCAGTCAAGGCATGGTACCCTCAGTTAACAAAACTACCACAGCCTGTCAATTGTACCAATATGAGGCCAGTTAACAGAACTGTTGAAACCTGTCACCTGATGGATTTTGGCGTATAGGGTAACTCTCTACAGATTGTCACTGAGAGAGGGAGGGTTAACAGCTGATAGTTTATATGGAGCAGCATTGTAACTGAGTTCATCACCAGTCAATCTCAACTCATTCACAAGTATCCAGGGATGAACAAAAACAAACAAATGCCTATGCCACAGTTCATTTGAATAGCTTGTCAGCACTGTTGAAGTCGAGTCCGTCACAAGTCCATCACAAGTCATCCAGTCCTATCTTCAATTCACAAGCTATTAAAATGAACTCCAACAAAAGATTTGTTTTGTTACTTTTCATCCCCTGTTACTTATGACTGGACAAGAACTTGTGATTTACTTGTGACTGGACTTGTGATGGACTCGACTGCCACACTGCTTGTAACTTGATTAGAGACTAGATAACTTGTGATTGACTTGTGATGACTTGCGATGACTTGTGATGACTTGCGATGACTTGTGATGGCTTGTGATGATTTGTCATAACTTGTGACTGGACTTGTGATGGACTTGTGATGGACTTGATTACCACACTGCTTGTAACTTGATTAGAGACTAGATAACTTGTGATGACTTGTGATTGACCCGTGATGACTTGTGATGACTTGTGAGTACTTGTGATGTCTTGTGATGGCTTGCGATGATTTGTCATAACTTGTGATGACTTGTCGTAACTTGTGATGACTTGTGAGTACTTGTGATGTCTTGTGATGGCTTCCGATGAGTTGTCATAGCTTGTGATGAGTTTGATGACTTGTGATGTCTTGTGATGACTTCTGATGACTTATGATTGACTCAATACCACCTCTGCCCCTTAACGGGCGTATCAACCTACCCATGCCGTTTTGCATCGGTAGTCTTGCTGCCGTGTTACGGCCGTTGTTCCCCCCATTCCTTATGTCACTGCTGCAATTCTGCGATCTTCTGTCTCCCTCTGCTGCTGGCTGCCGGTTGGCTGGTGGACGGACCATTTGCTGTTTGTGCCCATCTTGGAATCTAGACGGACCTGATGATCTGGCATTCTGGCTTACAGATGATGCATTATTTAGTCTTTCCTAAAGAAGTGAAAAACACTTTCCAATTATAATCATATTAAAACTTTATACATGATTAATTTCAAGCTTTTTATGTGTTTTTTTTTTTGGGGGGGGGGTGGGATTAAAATCCAGATTTTTTCAAATTCTGTTTCAATTCCACCATTCGGTTTGAATTTTGGGAACCGGATATTCCAAACCAACCATAAACAAAAGGAAGCCTTCAATTTTTTTGTGACAGGCTAAAGAAAACAAGTGGAACATCCCCCAAGTTGCTCCATGGTCTCTGATTGTGACTGCATTCACTCGTTAGTGATCTTCTTGATTATGAACAGCCTGCCAGTTTGACTGATCAGAGAGGTTTTTCTCACCATTACAGCTTTGGAGCGCATTGTATGTGGCATCTCAATTGTCACTTAAGTTTTTGGCATGACTATGATCTGAATGGAAATTTCGGGTGAAATTGGATAATCGTTATTCGGTTTGAAAAAATCAGGATACACTGATTTTGAAATCTCCAATTTTTCCTACCACAATTTTTGATACAAACGTCTTCCACATTGGTAAGAAACATCTGTGAATGCCACGCCTATCAACATCTGTTTACAGGTACATGTACGGTATTTTGAATTATGCATGTTGTCACAAGTTAATTCTGTTTATTCAAAGTTGTGTAATTTACGCTTGACTGAGCCAAGTTCGCTGTACTGGGGCATGCCTAGTGAATAAACAGTGTGGTCATGCATGGATGGTTACTGCAAGTGCAACCACTGTACACTGAACCATGGAGGAATAAAAATTCCTCCATGACTGAACCATGACTGAACATACATAGTAGCACGGTTGATCAAACAGGATGTTATCCAACAGGGTATAATAAGGCGCCAAAAAAAAAAGGGGCTGTGATTTGACTTTCAGTACAAATTGTCATGACATAAATGGACAGCACATGTCCAATGTCTAACCCTAATTTTATCCTCTTGAAAATTATCCCCTTCTGTTGATCCTTGGAAAGAATGTTGCATCTTGATGCCACTTTTTTTCATTGTATAGGCCTATTATCTCAATGAACTTTATGAAGGTCAGACATTGCTAAAATGTTGGAAAGACATTTACAGGCATGCAACTGTGACTTTAGAAAAAATTAGTCAACTCCAAACTACACAATTTGTACGGTATTTTTCAATTTGTAATGGCATTCATGTGAGGTAAAAAATGAGGAAATCAGCGCATCCAAGGAAAAGTTGCATGCCTGAACTGAATCTGGAACTGAGAAACATGTCCAATTTTGTTAGAAAATACTTTGAAAATGCACTGGACTCTCCATAGACTTTGTACACAACCAAAGAAGTGGCGTCTGGATTCTACATTTCTTTTCTTATTCTTCACCTGTTGTACATGGCCAGGTCTCGTCTCTTTCTGCGTCATCTGCTGAGAAGACAAACCAAGGACGCCTCGCCCACGTCCGATCCATCGTCTCGTTGGTGTTTTGGCATTGCTTGAATCCATCGTGACAAATCACGGGAAAATCAGAATCATCAGATCCGTCTGTTTGGGAGAGGGGAGGCCTGGCCTGGGATCCAAATATAAACATGATTAAGTGTGAATGCCTTTTTGTAATGTGTATCCAAGTAGAACTTAGCAATAAACCTGAAAGCAGCAATTATGACAAGTCATGACAGTAAATGCTTTTTTAAGGAAGTTTATGAAGTTTGAAGGGATCAAATAGAATACAAGTTCGTACAGCCACTGTCAGTGTCAGTAATAATGGCACTAAAATATTAGTACATTTATGAAATTCCTGGTACTGACAGGAAATGCCCACTATGTGCCCACGTTTTGCCGGAAGGTCCACACGCCGGTACACAGCATACGAATGGACAAGCACTTCGAGCCAAAAACCAATCAAAAACGATTTCCATTCCCAACACAAAAGACCCAAGTTCCAATATTACATTTACAAACTTAAAAGAATAATTATTCAATGCTACATGATCTTCATCGGTCCATAAGTCATCATTTTTTTTTAAAGAGAATGTTAAAGTTAAACTCACCGATCTCAGAAGTAATGAAAAGACCAACCGATTCAGACTCTGTCAGTGTCAAGTGTCAACTTGTTATACTTCGTGCGTCATGCATGCATGAAGCGCGCATACACGTGTTAACAGCTGACTTGTAAATGAAAACAGCGCCCTCTCTTGCTACGCTGATCACAATCCCAACAGTCGGTACTCGGGAGGCGAGGATTTCAATAAAAATCCCCCCCCCCCTCCCGCATGATCACACATATTGTGCGTTTTATATTACTTGCATTAACAGTTCTTTCATTCAGTGTCGACCACCAGTAAAAACAAAAACAAGCCAAAAATTGCAAGAAAATTGGGCGTAGCCAGACTTAAGTAAAAGAGGGCTGAGACTAAAGCTGAAGAATATATGGACAAAATAATCTATCTCCGGCCGTAGGCCTATCCCATAGTTTCTGACCACTTCATGTGACAAAAAAATAATTACATAGACCAAAACGTCGATCACACACAAAACAAGCGGGTATTTGACTGAAAAAGATCAACAAGCTTGCCAAAGTTCCCCAAAATCCGGACGGAGCACACAAGTTATGAATCATAAATAAATTAACGCCCATTCATATGCAAATCAGTCTTTGTCAGCTCTCAAAGTCCAAGTACATTTGCTGGGCTTAGTCCAATCGTGTGAAATAAAAACATATATTACAAAAGAAACAAATTGACCCGACGCTACACTTGGTAATGATTAACCACGCTCGGCATTCCTCCAGCATTGGATCACACAATAAACCAATGTGTAAACACAGTGCGCGTTGCCGAATGGCACAGCCTAACCCTGAATTCTTCGAGCTCGAGTTAAAAATTAACTACCAAAAAAATATCATAAAACTACTAGAGATAAGCATTCACGGCTAGACCGTTGTAAACTTGTGCCGTGCAATTAGTTGCCGCCATCATTGGACGCCATTTTGGGTTTGATCATAGAACAAGGAGTTACTCAATAAATTCTTCGTTTTTGGTAGTGTTTGGCGGTGTGATTCTCGCAAATTATAACAATTATATAAAAGTCCGTGCTTGGAAGTAACATCTTGACTGTGAGTGATGATGGTAGGTTTAAATTGCTGAGCAAGTCAGCAACATTCGGTGATTGTATAGGCCTGTACTTTTGGCCAAGTTGTGATTGTGTGGTGAAGGTTTATCGTCTGCGCAGATAATTTGAACTCGCTACTAGAACACCAGTTCGAGAAATGGCCAAAGCGGGACTCGTCATCTTCGCCCTTTGTCTCCTGGCCGCGTGTCTGTTCCTGGTCATGCTGCCGTCTCTGATCGTCACGGCTCGCCCCTACTCCACCTGGATTTTCCAGCCTGTGGACTGCCGCTTCAGCGCGCAGAATGAGGAGAACAGTCGGTTGGACTGTTTCCCGGAGCTCCAGATGCCGACGGAGAGGGAGTGTCGGGCCAGGGGGTGTTGCTTCGTCGATGTGACCATCAATCGGGAGCTGTTAGTGCCGGAGTGCTACCTCCCGATCGGGGTTGGGTATGAGGTGAGAAAATAAATCAACCAAAGGCATATTTATTTTTAATACAAACTCATACAAATTTATAGACATCAGTCAATCTGCTGCCCTTGCTCGGCGTCAGACAGCCTCGTTTTAATTATTAGAGGGACTTCATGTTTTTTAATTGGTCGTTGTTTCAAACATTACAAAACGCTTTCTTGTCATCATCAAATTCTGAGAGGAAGGGGGAGGGGTTACAGGCCTCTAGGGGAAGGGAAGGGGAGGGATGCCGAGTTTCTACGCCGGTTGTTAATTCGTTGCGCCTTGAGGATGGAATGATGGCTTGATTTAAACTCTATTATCGTTGTTTACAATTAATTCCATTCTTCAAAAGCACTTCTCCTCGTCGCCATGTTTTGGCCTTTAGGGATTTTTTTATGTTTTTTTTTTTAATTTACCTAAATATTTTGGACTTGTTCGTAAGCATTTACAGTGCTTATGGTTGTCAAAAGTCTATCTGTCTGGTACCTACCTTGTTTTTATTGTGAACTTAAATTGCGTTTAAAATTGTATTTTTCTTCCAGCTTGTAGTTTGGATTTTAAAAAAATGCTACATGATGTTTCTTTTGCAAAAGATTTCCACTCATTTCATCTTTGTATAGGCCTATAATGTGTTTAATTGAATTTTTAAAAATGGAGCAATTTTATGGGAACAAAGTTGAATCGCATGCATGAATTTAACTCAACTGACTTGAATTGTAAGAATTTTCGAATTTTAAGAGTTTGCATTTTAATTTTGAATTTGAAGAATTTTAAGGCAGGGATCCTCGCGATACATGATCTCTTCTTTTTGTTAACCCTTTTCCCCTAAGGTCATGGGGCAGCCGCAGTTGTTGACGTCAGGTTACAACCTCTATCTTCAGCGGATACACACCCCTCGGTTCTTCTATCGTGAAGCCGAGAACCTGGTCGTGCACGTTGATGAACAGGCGGAGAACAGACTGCACATCAAGGTACGGAGAAGAGAAACCAAAATAGCCAGCTAGGCTTAGTGTCTTAAATCGCATCTTAAATAAAATCTGATCAAATCATTCAGATCAAAATTAAATCAGATAAAATTACAATCTTGCAAGTTTCCTGATTCTACTGAAAACTATTTTTCATTTATCAGTTTGTTTTCCCTTAAAATAATGTTATCTTACGGAAAACATCCTGAAACATTAAAATGATAAAGACAAGTTTAATATTAACAACGATTATGGCAATATTAAGGACAGGTGAATTATTATATATACATGTATATGGGTGAGTCTGGCCTACTGGTTCGACTCCTGATCAGAGGGTCAGGGGTTCGAATCCAGCTGCTGGCCATATGTTGTGTCCCGTGGGCAAGGCACTCTATCCCCACTTGCCTCTCTCCACCCAGGAGTATAAATAGGTACCGGCATTAGCTGGGAGTAACCTGCGATGGACTAGCATCCCATCCAGGAGGAGTAGAAATATTCTCAGTCGTTTCATGCTACTGAAACAGGAGATAAACGCCAACCTAAAATGGGCCACACGATCGTGACAGACTTTACTTTACTTTACTTATTATTCTAAGGATGAAGCGTGTGGAAATTGTAAACTTCATTTATCGATTACAACCCTCTGTCACTGTTTCGAGAATCGACTAATCGAATTTTCTCTCACCATCAAACACCAGATTAATGAATTTCGATACGTGACCTACCAAGACTGGAAGTTTCCGGAGTTGGAGGATCGCATGTGGGTCCCTCGCTACGAGGTGCCCATCGACGTGACCAGGCCGGCTCGTCAGGCCTCGTGGACCGATTACATCTTCAACTACACACGCAGTCCCTTCACTATGCAGATGACTAGACGCGCATCAAGTCGCTTCAACATGTAAGATTGAACGAAGACATAACCTATCTAACAAAAAAGGCATTTTTTTACTCTAGTAACACATTTGCAGCCAATATTCCACTTCAAACTTAAGAGCCCGTTTCTCATCGTTACATAATTATTCATGTAAAACTCCCCAAGGAAACTCTTGCAAACAAGCACTGAAACCTTTCCTTTTTTTATCAGGATCGATACCGCTTTAGGAGCCCTGATCTTCGAGGACCAGTTCTTGCAGATCACCTTCAAGCTCCCGAATTCCGTCCTCTACGGCTTCGGAGAGCAGAACCGAGAGCGGCTGAGGCACAACATGAACTGGAAGGAGTGGGGCATGTTTGCTGCTCCGGCACACCCAGACGATAAAATAGTGAGTTGGATAATCTCTTCACGGGTATCGTTCATGTGAAGGGAGGCTGATACTTCATCCAGGTTTTGTTTCCATAGGTTTGACCGGATCCCACGAAATGAGGCTAAGTGACAATTTTTTTTAGCTTTTTAGTTTTTTGCAGCATAATCACTCAGCTTGTCTTAACTTTGCACACATATATATCAGTGAGGTTCATGAAATTTAATGTCAACCAATCCTATTGATTTCCATTGAGAAAGATTTCATTTAGAAAATGGGGGGGGGGGGGGGAGGGGTTAGGTTGAGGGATGAAGGGGGGGGGAAGAAATATTTTTTGGGAGTGGGGGAGGGGCAGGAGCTAAGATGCAAGTTATGCAATAACAGCCACTATCATGACACATTAACTCAGTTTGTATATTGCAACGACCTACTTTGTGCACAGAACCAAAATTTCCCTCTCTAGTTTCAACTGTAGTTCTGATTCTGAACCGCAAAGAAAATAAACAGATCTCTGTGTTGACAACGTGTGGGGGAGCAAAACTTGCCCCTGCCCCTCAAAAGTAGCTCAGGCGGTCAGAAAATTGTATAACTCCTGTTTGATTTGAGATTAAGCATTAATGTGTTACTTAATGGTGACTAATATTTGTGAACAATGCCGCAAAGTGTTTTATCGCTACCACATTCTGGCAATAAACTAAAAGATCGTGCAAAACCATGAAATGAAATATACGAAAGCCGGATGAACCCATTTCACATTGAGACAGCAATGAAGCTAAATTAACGAGAAATAATAAACTGTTTACCTACAGACCAATGCGAATATGTATGGCCACCATCCGTTCTTCATGAACATTGATGACGACGGAGAAGCATTCGGCATGTACTTCCACAACAGCAACGCCATGGGTAATTATTACATAATCATACTAGGCCTATGTTTCAACGACAGAGGGCGCGATGCACTATTTGATTTATTAAGCTCAAGAATAACGACAATTTTTTTTCTTTTTGTTTGTTTACAGAATATTATTTTCAAATATGCAATCTCCATTCTCCAAACAACAGAAGGAGCAAATATAAATATATGGTCAGCGTACATACCACCAGACCAAAACAAGATGTGGAAATAAATATTGTAGGTTTCTTCGTCCCCCAGTTAACTTTAAGCTTAAGGAACAATGTTAAGGAGACGTACATATTCTGTCCTCTTTATCTGATGACAATTTTCTCATTCCACAGACGTGCATCTGACACCGATGCCCGCGGTGACTTGGCGAACAACCGGCGGAATTCTCGATTTCTACATATTCACCGGGCCAACACCGGAGCAAGTCATTCAACAATATCAAGAGGTTCGAATTAAACAAATCATTTTTCCTACTCACATTCAGAGAAGAATTTCCCCCTTTCGCGATTGAAATGATGTTGCCACCCATTATTGAACCGTTTTTTTTTCTTTTTTAAACCACCAGGTGATTGGGCGGCCTGAAATTCCGCCGTATTGGGCGCTTGGGCTACATCTTGGAATTGAATCCTTTGGGAACGCACAGGCGCTGGAAAATTTTGTCATGGAAAACGTAGAGGCACAGGTTCCATTTGTAAGTAATGAAGTTATTAGCTGAGTAGTGTTCATGTGTAATCATTACAGTAGTATTGATTTCGCTGATTATGGTGATTATAGCGGTGATCATGTAAGGTAGTACACAGTTACCGCGCCATTAAACGGTAATCCTGAGAAAAAGTAATCAATGCCGTTTGAGGATGCAGATCCAATTGCCATTAAACTTTCATGATTCGTACTTTTTAACGTTTTATTTTTATCCTTCAGGATGTCATTTTTAGTGGCATGGACTATCAAGAGTACTATCTTTCCTTCACCCACGACGAGAAAAAAGTCCGCCGGAGTTTCCTCGACAACTATCTGCACCCACGAAACTTGAAATACGCCATCCACTTGGTAAGATTCACAAGAGTGTGTTCTCTATTAAATACAAAATTATTGGAGTCGAAAACTATTGTATTTCAGCAGCCAGAGCTGCTTTGTTCATTCATAAACAATAGCAACACAGGGTCGTCATTTTTCTACCAATCAGACAAGTCGTTTACATGCGCATTTTGTATATGGACAATTATTCTTAATTGGCTTTAATTACTGCCTCCCTTCTATCCACTTAGACTCCAGCTTTGAGTAATCAGGTGCCGACGCCGAAGTTGAACTACTGGCCGTATTACTACGCCGATAAACACGGCCTCCTGGTCAATCGCACGGACGGTTTCACGCCCGCGTTTGGCGTGGTGAGTAATACACCCTCCAAAACTCACGCATGTTTACGTTACATACCTAGTGTGGACATTCCTTGTTTTCGTGTAATTAAGGAAAACCATTGAAAAAACTCATTTTCTCACACTGAAAACTCTTTCAAGTGAAATGTTTTACTTTATAATTCCCTTGAGTGTTCGTTCATTTTGCGACCGATACTGAACCTAACTCCAAAATGTCTCTAAGCCTGTTTTTCCAGAGAGGGGGGAACCTTTAACCTTGAGTATGTCTGTGTGGACGTGGGCAGCGCAAGTCCACACAACGTATCCGAATATTGGTTTATGTGGACATCTTTTATTCGGAAGTCCCATTTAAAAAAAAAAAATTGCAAGTTCACGGCATTTGTTTCTTTCATGATTTTTCTATAGAGCTGGCATGGTGAGGCATCGTACCTGGACTTTACACACGAGTTTGCCAAAGTTCACTGGGCTGCCTTTGCCGAATTTCTGCACCAGCAGCTTCCCTTCGACGGAATCATCATTGTAAATATGTTCTAAAATTAATTTTAGTTTCCAAACGAATGAAAGCTTATTAGTTTGAAAGTTCTTTTGCTTGTGTTTTTTCCAATGATGATTTTAGTGTTTTTTTATTGATGGTTATAGGACCATACAGTCTGTTGTTGCACAATGACGTGTGAATTAATTGTTGACGGAATAGTTACCTTTACTTTTTTATTCATTCATTGTACAGACGGAAAACGAGCCGGCTAACTTCATGAACGGTTCGCGAATGGGCTGCGACTTGGAGAGCAAGTGGAACAGCCCACCTTATACCCCTAGTATGTAAACAATTAATTGAGTCTCGTGGAGAATACCATTCTCCGTCAGAAGGTTATGATCGTGTAGATTCATCCCGTTTTAATGAAAAATAAAAGTGTGGTTTCTGTTGGTAGATCTATAATCTAACATCTTTGATCGGACGCAAGTACTAAGCGCACTGGGTTTTTTTCTTCACGGTAATCGTGCACAATTAAGTTGTCGACAACGTCGATTCAGTATGTGTGATCGACAGGAATTATGCAAACTTCTACTAACGTTTACATCCGACCATGTTTCGTTTGATAACCAGAACTGAAGAGCGCTATGTTGTACTACGAGACGCTCTGCATGGACACCAAAATGGCTAAAGGCATTCACTACAACTTGCACAGTCTCTACGGCCACTTTTCCGCCGAGGCTTCTAATTAGTAAGTCCAACGAGATCTATTTCGTATTACAACCAAACTACAGTATATAGTTAAACAAAGATTGTTTGTTGTTTTTATTGCCCTTCATTGTTTCAATGCGGTTCCACACACATAGAGTTATACCTACTGTCAATTTGTCCATAAGTTTGTACACAAAACAACACGGAGCCACCCAGTCGTACCGCGGGCTCCATGTTGCTCTTGGTCAATTTAACAAAGCTGTGATAGTACCAAACGGATGTCGTTTCTTTTCCCTTGATGCACTTCGGGTTTTAAGAAGCACAATTTGCGCCTCCAACGGCAAATTATTATAATTTTTTTTTTTTATAAATCGCTGGTATGTCTCTTTCTTCCTCGTAGTGCCGGTAGCTTGTTGTACAACGACAAGCGAGCCATGACGCTGACCCGTAGCTCGTTCGCAGGTACCGGCAAGTATGCCGGCCACTTCCTGGGCAAGAACAGGGCTTTGTGGGCTGACATGTTCCGCTCAGTTATAGGTAACTACGTCGACAAACCAACTTCACTTATTTGGACTTGTCGTTTGCTTCATCGCAATTTTGAAAAGGCCATTATTTTCGTACGAATGCGGGGGCGGGGGGGGGGGGGCTGCAGTGACAGCACCAGTTTTGGAGCACAAAGTGTTCGGACTTGATTACCTGTTATTTACTAAATGTTTACATACGGCTATGATTTACAAATACCAATAATTATACTCAATTTAATTTGTTGATTATTTAAAGTAGGCTATATAAAGTTGCTAACCTGTTCCTATAAACGCGACATTTCAACTGTTGGTTCCAACAAAATGTTGTCGTTCAAATGAAATTGATCGTGTAAAAAAATGACGCTTTTTTTTGTCAAAATGACAATATTTTTGGTCGTACCTTTTCAGGTTTAATTGCTCGGAAAATGGTCTCTGAAAAATAGCATTTGCATATTATCAACGTTTCTTTTCTTTTTCTTTCCAGAAATTGACGAGTTCAACATGTTTGGCATTCCTTTCGTGAGTCCTTCTTATTTTGGTTTTCATTTTACAATAAATTCTCAACTACCTACGTTGAAGGCATGCAATCGACGTCTAAGAGGACACGTGTTAGACACACACACAAAAATAGTTCTGTATAGGTTTGGAGCATATTAGACTCGTAAACAAAACCGATCCTATTGGTTAATGATTCAATTTCTTCAAACAGATATTTTCATAATAACAATTATGTTTTTATATTTGAATCATAATTCATTTTGATGAACTTGTTTTGGTTCTGATTTTTGTTCAATCACGGCCCATCAGACGGGAGCTGATATCTGCGGCACGACAGGCGAGCCCGAGTCCGCTGAACTCTGCCAGCGATGGATGCAACTCGGCGCGTACCAGCCCCTGGCAAGAATCTACAGATCACTCAACACATCAGTAAGGAGTCCTGGTTTTTACACCGTTAATCTCGCAATCCGATCCATGCTTACTCGTTTGGGATGTCATCTTCCGTTTGGGAGCAAGCGTAGACTTAATTTCCCCCAGTTGTTAAGTTTCAAACAAAAGCATCCCGAATTTTGTTTTGGTTCATGATGATCAAGATCGTTCGAGTTTACAAGCCTGATAACTGAGAATGACTGAAATACTATGGTCATATTCCACTGATTGACCCACGGAGACTTCTTCTGCCTATTTCCATATGATCATGGTCATACGCCATGGACTATTGTTCACCTTAGCATTTTGAACAGGCTTGAAAAATACAATAATTTGGAACATTTGATTTGATCTGTGAATTAAGAACTGAGCTCGGCCTGAGCTACTTTAAAATTTAACCCGTGACAAATCCTCTATAAAATGGCCCTACTAGGGCCTATATCAATAATTGCTATGCCGAAGAAATCTCCCAAAGAGTTTGATCGTTAAAATTAATATAACTCCGGTTTAATCCGGAGTTAATCCTTCTAATCATAATTAACATCACCACTCGTAATGTTTCCAAACTGATAATCCTTGTTTGGGATCACATAGGTCATAATAATTATATGCTACAGTAATATTGTATTTGTTGATACTATTGTTTGTGTCGTCTGTCCAATGCGCAGAGAGTAGACCCGGCCTCCTTTCGAACCAGCGACCCCACTGCCTTCAACAACATGAGAGAGATGGCTAGGAGGCGGTATAGCATCCTGCCTTATCTCTACACTCAGCTATACCACGCGCACGTTGACGGCTATGCAGTCACCAGGGCACCATTCTACGAGTGAGATCTCTTAAAAGTTTAGGGGGGGGGGTTAAAACTTGTTAAAATTAAAAGAAATTTAGAGGTTAAGGGGACGAACCTGTGTTCACGTAACAGGAACGAAATGCCCATCTCTCTTTCGAAGCAATTGGGCCAGACTCAATCCTGCTGCTGTGGCCGGGGATCGCCACACCTACTCTACAGCGACTCTACTACCTTACCAGCATTGAATAATGCCGGTACCCATTTAACACCTTGGTTAAGAGGAGTAATTGAGGTAAAGCGCCTTACTCAAGGACACAACACGCATTGCCACGGCAGGGCTCAAACCCACAATCTCGTGATCATGAGGCCTGCGCTCAATTGCTATATATAGGCCACACGTGCCCACAATATTGGTCGGATAATATACTTCATTTAAGAACAAAAGAGTATCTCTAGACCCCCAACTTTTCTGATAAAGACACGGTTTCACTTCAACAGTTAGATTCTATGATAGATGATTATTCTGCTTCTTTTTTTTCTCCAGTTTTAATTTCGACAAGCTCAGTGTGTGGGATGTGGACTGGGAGTTTATGCTTGGTAACGCGTTGCTGGTGGTGCCTGTATACGAAGAGGTAAAGATGAGACCTGAGTTTTAAACCTTATTTGTGTTTATTTGATAAAACAAGGAGAGCTTTTCTCTAGCCCAAGTTCGAACGAAACTATATTATGATCGACCATTGTATTACTTTCGTTGCTAGAACCCCCGCTAGAAACTAGTTTTCTTTTTATTTAATTACTAGGGTGCAAGGACCGTTACCATGTACCATCCAAACTGGCGTTTCTATTATTTCTACGACCCGCAAGAATCGGTAAGTTAGTGTACCATAATTTAATACCAGATTTTAATACACTTCACGTTTACGTAAAATGAAGGAATTCAAAATGTGTACCTTACAAAAAGAGCTTTTAATTCTTAGTATGGTGAAGAATAGATGCTCTTTGGGAGCAAGACACTGAATGTTATGATTAGGATCCCCAATGTGAGAGCGCCATATTAAAAGTAATTCATAACGCATACCCATAGCTCACTCTCTTTTTTTTTTTTTTTTTTTTTTAGTTCGAGTGTTTAAGGTGAAATGCACTTTAAAAATCATCATAATAGTTTAAAACTCACATGCAGACATAATGATACCTCGGTGGTTTGAAAAATGGAATTTGCACGTTTTACGATCTGTGGGAAGTCTTGCTTTGTAATTACATGTGTCTTTACTATACCAGGGCAAAGTGCTGGGATCTATGTTGGAGACTGCTAGCGAGCTGTCCAACGTCACCGTCTCTGCACCACTGAGCGAGATACCAATATTCATCCGCGGGGAGCACATTATTGTCACACAGGAACCCGGCAATTGCACGTACTACACGTGAGTTCAGGAGGAAGAGCACCGTCATGGGCACACTTTGTTATTTTTAAAAATTCACTTCATTTTGCTATAAACTGAGTCATGCTTATAGATGAAACGATTCGGTGACATTATAACTGAATAAACATCTTACACGATTTTTGATTTAGATCGCATTCAAGGGCCATTTTAATTGGTAACCATGCATAGAAATATTCGAAGCAAAACAAAAATTGTTTCAGCAGATACTGCATAGTTACCAACCAAACAGCGTACGGAGGCCTATATGTGGCCTGCTTTTAGCCGATTTAGCGCAAAGCTTAGTAGTAACATTTACTTGTCCAGGTGTAAAATATTTACTCAGATCGTACTCGTTAACACCTTTCTTATCCTTTCTTGTGGATACATTATCTATGTTTTATTGCTGCATTTTCCTCGTTCTCACAGCCGTATGAACCCATTGACGATTTGGGTGGCAATGCCGGAGAACAACGTGGACATCTCAAGGGGCGATTTATTCTGGGACGATGGTGAAACACAGAGTGAGTTGCATAAAAAATATACCACCAATATAATGGCGGCGGCAAGATCACTATGAACCTGAATGCAAAGAACCTATGTTAACTCATCCATTTGTATTTTTTCGGCAGACACGTATGAACGCAACCTTGATATCTACATGGAGTTCTTCGCAGATCTCGTAAGTTCTCGAGCACTTGTTGATAAATTGCTCCCTCCAAGGCGGTCCATTACCAAAAGATCACAGTACACTACCGACTGAATGAAAGCTATGATTTAAGTTAGGCACATACTTACACTTTGTCAATCCCAACACTGGGTCAGTGTAATGAACCTCAACATCTACTTTCATGGACGCTTCAGTTTTTTTGACCTGGATTTTGTTTTCTCCAAATTTCCCAGCTCAAACTCGAGATACTCTCCCAGCGAGTCGGCATGGTTGCCGAGGTCCCTGAATTGGTAGGCCTATTGCCGAACATCACCAAAGTCAAGTTCGTGGGGCAAGAAAAAGATCCGGCAGGCCAGCTGTACGTCGACAACGTACAGCATCCAACGTCTCTGTACAACTATGACTCAGTCAATAAGGTGAGCACTCTTTAGGACCAAGTGAAGTCATTGTACTCCATATTACCACTCCCACAACAATGGAATTGTAAACAAATCTAATTTGCTATGTTAGTCTTTTTGACTGATCCATTTTTTTTTCGATCAAAATAAATCCTCAGCCAAAATAGATTTCTTTATAAATGAAATATGTTTTCGTGTACTTCAAGAGTCTACTTTGTGTCAAGATACGATGGGCGTTGTGTACACTGGTCCCCACACAAATGATTCCAATGGAGAGAACTGGAACCAGCGCGTAAATCGGTTGTACAGCGCGCAGTGGCCCTTGCAGCTGTCCATATTTTTTTTTTTTTTTTAACGGAGATCACTGTTCAGCCCCAGGGCACGACTCTTGGCGGCGCTTTGAAAATAATAGGATTCTTTTGAATAAGCCAAGAATCTTCCTATTCGTGGAAAAAGGAACGTCATTTTACAGTCACAGTGAGTTCAGCATTATTTGTATTATATAAGGATTTAATAAAATCTATTTTTTTTTTTTTTTTTTTTTTTTTTTTAATTTCTTATTTTTTCCTCCTTTTTTCCTGGACAGATTCTGGATATCGAAGGTCTTTCTCTAGACATTATCTCGGATCATCGGATCGATCTTCAATCACCGAACTAAGACGCAAGACGCCAATTACAGGCAACAGCTAAGCACACATTTGCTGAGAGTGAGCACAGACCAAAGAAATGCCCACCAGAAAACGGGATCACGTGTTAAACTGTCACGTGATCTGTACTGCCAGTGGCTTAGTGTGGCTATTTTTAGCTGAAGTGAATAATGGAAAGGCAATAATTTTTGCTTAGCCGCTACACGAAAATAGGATGACCGCGATATGATTTAATTTCAAACCTCCGAATGAATTGCATGTACAGGCCAACTTTTATTGTAACAACTTCGTTTCTGTTATCGATACTGCAATCTTGAATAGTGAAAATAGTGACTTATTTCTCTGTTTTGTAGAACTTGCTAAAAAAAATATAGTCGCTATACTTAAGACATACGCCAATTGTGGTAGCTTTTGACTAGATTTCCAATCAATCGTAGATTTTCTAGTTATAGTGCTTTTTGGGGTAAAGTTATTTGGGTAGATGTTCTTTGTAGCAATACCCATCGACTGACCATTAATTCCTGCTCATGATACATGGTCTCGCTGACATTAAGAGGTGAAGGCCTAGTCTAACATTGGTATATATTTTTTTTGACGGTAGTGTCCTGTTGTTCAGAAGGGGAAAAACTGTTTTATGTAACCATGCTGTGCTATTTTACAAAGCTTTTACGTTTATAACAAGTTTGTATTTTTTTCTTTTCATTGTTTTATGGTTGATAACGTCTTCCCTTCCTAGACTTACAAAAGGGTTGGGGGAAATCATGTAAAATATCGAGTTAGACCAACAACCTATATGGAGTAGGAATAAAACAGATTTTTGAGTTAGGTATTCCGCAGCTTTGTTTCAGTAATATTTGCTGAAGAAAAAAAAATGAAAAAAGGGTTTCATTAATCAAATTCGAGAATTTTAGTTCAATAGAGAATGACCAAGTCAACATCGACGATGTTTTGGGTGAAGTTAGAGCTACAAAAGAAATTACACTTTACTAAAACATCATGAGATTTGACATCTTACTTTCAACGAGTAAACGATTATAGGATTGCATGTTTAGTGCATATTTGTTTTGCTTGTTACTACACAATTTCCGTTTTTAAAATTGACACAACGTCATTTTGGTGTCTAACTGTAAAAAAAAACAGCTTTGCCGCTCAGCCGAAACTATTAATTTCATAGTATTTAGAATCTTCTAATCGTCTAGATCGATAAATAATGGTAATGAGATTTTTAAGTTAGTGCTAAACTGCTTTTGGTACCAAATAATACATAAACGTATGTAATAACAAGGGAGTACTGTACATATTTTTTGATGACGATTTTGTAGACTTGTAAATTTTAAAGCAACACTGAAATTTTTGGAAAATCTTATTGCGAATAAAACATGAATGAATATAATAAAATTCAATGATACTATATGTTATTGATTTGTAAAGAAGCGTTAGACGACAGCCAATGAATAAGCTACTTCAATTTTAACAGGACAAAAAATGACTGAATATATCAAGGTGAATTATATAATAATATTGTAATACTTAAAGTGGTTACGAACTTGTCTAAATCATGTGTGAATAGCGAAAGAGAATTACTCAAAATACCAACGCTTATAAAAATGTGCTGGCTATAGTCAGCCAGATGTAACTTTGAAAACAAAAATGACAAGTACCTTGCAATGACCACAGTAATAAGCCTGTGACGTCATGATTCCGTTTCAGTTTCTCAAAGTTCAAAGTAGTGACAAATCTCTCCGTTCTCCCGCATAGCGCCCTCTGTGTCCGCCGACAGCCTCGCGTCGTTCAGCTGGCACACCATCGCCTCGCGTGCTGATTGGCTGATACTGAAGGAGTGGCAACGCAGCTCCTCCCAACAGGCGCGGCCACAAGCCGTCACGCTCTCGAATGGGCGGGTCTCGATGGCATGGTCCAGCATGCAGTGCTGCAGGGCGTGGCCGCGCTCGCCGATCACCTGACAGTAGCTCCCCCAATCGGTTGCCTTCATTTCGCACACCGCTTGCTTCACTTGCTGGCATTCGGCATTGACCCAGCTGCCACGAGCAGTTATGCCCAAACGTACACAGCTCCTAGCATTATCTAGCTTTGGATATCCGCGTCCGTGATACCAGTTGGTGTAAGTTTGGGCATGGTTTCCACTCCTTCCTGAACAGGTCACTTCGTCCTTCTCCGCTGCAAACTTGCAGTTAATCCACAGTCCTAATGGTGGAGATCCGTCGAAGAAGTCGAGAAAGCTCTGCCAGATGAAAGCGTTCTCCTCGGCGGAGTTTGGCGCCGCTAGATCCCCGCCCGGGCGCCGGCAGATCGCACGGGCGCCGGCCCAGTCGTACGAGCCCCTCATGAACAGGTAACACGTCTCGCGCCATTGTTTCCAGCCAGGTGGGCACTGGCTACAAATGATGATGGGAAAACAGACCACAAGGAATCCAAGACAGAGAAGAAATAATGATCTCGACGAATGCATTCTTTTAACACTCAACCACAACCTTTAAGTCAAAAGGAATTCTAGTTTGATACGTCAAAATTGAAGGCCTATTGGCCAAAAACAGCAGTAACAACAAAATTTTCGTCCGTACAAAACATACCAACAAATTCAGAACTCCTGCACTGACAACTCGGACTTCTGTATCCTGCAATTCCAGTGGTGTTTATGAGCGAACTCACCGGTGTTGACGCTGTTAAATTGCCTTCATATTTTAGTCCTTAAAAGGGTAATAAAAATAAGCCTGATGCATGCAAGCAATTTGCACAGCAGTAATTTTGTCTTTATAGCCTATTATGGATGCACTTGAAGCGCCAAGTGCCAATAAAGCAAATGTCTCTAAGTCACGTCACGTGCGTGGCCATGCAGTAGGCATTATTGTTAAAAACAATGCAACTTATAGTAAAGGATGATAAAAGGGATGATAAAAGGGCCAAAATGCCCATACTTCAAAATTCTTTTTAAAAATACTCGGAAGTCTCACAGGTATGTATAAGATGCACAGAAAAATGATGATCAACACGTCATCTTTCATTTTCTTTTCCTTTTGTGGTGGGTTCACTGGGTTGACCATTGACTTTTCCAGAAATTCTCACCAAAAGAAGACGACCCCTATTTTTCCCAAAGCGGAAGTAGTTATCTTGAAAAACGATCTCTCCACAACATGTATAGAGCGCTACTTTCGAGCCTAATTGCAACCAAAATGTTCAGAATTGGAAGCCCCAAGTCCGGGCCAGAGGTTCATTGCCATATCTCTTCAATTCCCCAATTGTATGGCTCTCAGAACTCTCTAAAATAGAATATTTTGAGGGTTAACTTTTATTCATGAGCTCGGCGGATGGGTTTAAGTCTATTTACCGGTGTGCAACCATAATGTCGCATGAACAGCGCCACCCATCGTCATGCAGGGAGTTCATAATAATAGGCGTGCTATTAATTTAATTGCTAATTAAAGTAATATAGTGCCTGGTCTGTCCTGCTAGACTAATGGTTACGGTGTGTTAAATTACCCGATACTTCACTTAAGCTCACTTACCACTGTAATGGTCATTATATGATGGTTGGGCATAAACATAATTATTGTTGACTGCTACGATTATTAGTGTTTTGCGATTATTGCAATACTAATGCGAAGCTTCTCAGACGTTGCACACTTTAATTTTTGAGCGTCAGGCTATTAGGCCTATGCTGTTGAACTTTCCTTGCAAACTCGTAGGTACTTTCACACAAAAGGCTATTAAATGAAAGTGGAAAACTTCGGTTGACATCATCCATGTTGTCACGCTTAGACGACAACCTTAGTTTATCGGACATGTTTTAAGTTATTCCAAATTGCTGTAATCTGAAATATTACCCGGAAAAATATCATATATTCAGCGTACAGTCCCACCCGGCGCTCATTCGCTCAATGTCCTATTTATTATGAAAACATTTTTTCCAGTCCTTGCTTTATAAATAAACGAGAGGTCTTTTCCTTGCGGCTGACATCCGTTCTGAAATCATTGCCTTGGATGTTATGAGTAGACGCGTTGCCAAATCGCTCATATCAGCTCATTCCGGTACTTTACAGCCAGCACCGTGCAAACCCCGTAGGGGAGTTACGCTCACAAGAGCCCTTACAACCCCCTCAGCCCTCGCCAACCGTTTGCCAGCACCGGTTGAGGGGATAAGTTCTCTTCTCTTTCTGCGTTTTTTCCCTTGCCTCCGTCGGCGAGATTTTCCACTCGAGTTGGTCCGAAGCGGTGCGTGTACTGTAATGAACAAGAGGGGCTGTAAAGCTCTGAAAAAATGTGGAGAGTTTATTTGCCGAGCATGATGAATACGAGTGTGTGAGTATTGACGGGAGCGCGCCACTGTGAGAGACGTTAGAAAAGGTAGGCCTACACAACCTTGGGAGTTTTTTGTTGTTATGATTCAGATGCATTGGTGGAACGACGCGGGCTGGATGGGTTAGTTCGGTAGTTGTTTTTTGAGTATCTGAGAGCTATAGAGTTTGGGTTGGTTTTGTGTATACGTGTGTGTTCGGTGACTCGAGGAGTACTTTTTTGTTTGCCTCTTGTCTTCAAGGGTTTACCGAGCATAAAGAGAGAGGTGACAGGGAAGGATTTGGCTTGGTCCCCACCGGCAGTGCCTTGAGAGTATGAGCAGCGGAGCGGACCATCTTCCGGACCGGCGAGTTATGGAGAACGGCGGCAAGACACCACGGGTCGGTAGCTACATGGAGACCCCGCACGAACTCCGGGAGACCGACCCCAAAGCCGGTATCGCCAACACATTGAAACACTCGTACCACGACTCCACGAAATGGAGGCGGCCCCAGTGCAACCTGACGGCCTACCTCACTCTGTTCCTGACCCTGTTCGTCTGCCTGGTCGGGGGCATCTCCGTGCTCCGTATGAGAGAACTGGAGAAGAGGTTAGCATGGCAGGAGAAGGAAATAGAGGATCTTGACGACAGAGTGAAGCAGCTCTCCCGTTTGGATGATACTTACCTACCAGAAATAGAGGTAGGCCTAAGCTGTTTCTCTTATATCTGTTAACGAAGTACAGGTTTTATTTTGTTTCAATTGGAACAGAAATTGGAAACAACTTACATTGCCTTAAGCGTTTTGCTAAGCTTTAGAGACAGCCCCATTTATTAAAATGTCACAGTTAACTAACTTATACTTGTCTTAACTCAACTAAGAGCAACGTGAAACCTCAAAACCGAGAAACGCGGGTGCAAGATATTTTGATCGTGATGAGCGCTTGAATCTAACTTGACAGCCGATTATCGACACATATCGACAAATATTGACATATATCGACACGTGTCGACAAATGTCGGTCACAGCATTTGAAGGCAACGAAGAATGACCAAATCTGCTGACTAAAGTCAATGAGGTTGTGATTGTCAAGAAAATTGTAATTAAATTTTATGTTAAAGCTTATAACTATTAAGAAAAGGATTGATCGACTTACGATACTTCACGTTTTCATCTCATTTTTAAAAAAAATCCTGGCTTATAATGAGCTCATTTAATGTTTTTAAACTATCTTGCTTTTCCTTCAGTAATGTCTATATCGAAGGCAAATTTTATTTTCCACTCCAGTAAGTAATAAGCATTCAAACTCGCACAGGTTGTGTTTTCGAAATACCAATAACATGTTTACGATGTGGAAAATGATTAATTCAATTTTAATTGACACTTGAAATTCGGCACTTGAAATGTGACATTTAAAAGGCCTCCACTTGTATTTTCAATTGACATTTTGCGCGGGCGAAAAAATGCTAACATTGCTTAAAAAACAGCACTTTTGCTCTATGAATATTGGATCTAAATATAGCTCTTTTCAACATCA